GGCACCAGGTCTTTCATTGGACATAGGGCTTTTGGCCAGGGGACTTGGGAAGGCGGCATTCTTTCTGCTGATGGCATCTGCTGCCTCAGCCTAAGCCCATATGGGAGGTGCTGAGCTTCAAGGCCCTCTTGGTCCACACTGAAGAATAGTGAGGTTCCGACCCTCATGGTTAGGACTGGTCCCACATGGGATGATGGCATAGGCCCTGGAGTCTGATCTGACTCAGGCAAGAGCTACAGGTCTGACTTGGCACGGGATACCAATGCCCCTGTCAGCCTGAGATCCCTGTAGACTCGTGTGCTGTATCACGTGCTAGAGTAAGCACTTGACAGCTTTATTTACTTATTGGGAGGCTTATGACAAGATGTTCCAAAGCCTGAGACTTGTGAGAAGAACCACCTGTAGATGGACTGTGCTGATCAGTATAAAAGGGAAGGACGGAAGGGAGTCTGTGGTCACCAGTGCCTAGCCGGAGCACTAAGGCAGCAGTGGATGAGTGGATGGGAGCAGAATCCCAATGGGGGGGGGGATTGTGAACGTGTGTGTGTGTGTGTGTGTGTGTGTGTGTCTGTGTGTGTCTGTGTGTGTCTGTGTGTGGTCACGTAAGTGTTTGTGGGTATGAGGACCTGGGGGAGAGGGGGATATCTTGCATCCTCTGATGACTCATGTAACCCACAGTCTCATGCACCTGCTGCCGTGCCTTCCGAGCCATGATGGACTGTATCCCCGGAACTGTAAGGCCAGCCTGGCCTACAGAGAGAGTTCTAGGACAGCCTCCACAACAATACAGAGAAACCCTGTCTCAAAACAAAAACAAATATAGACTAGCTTGGAGGCTGTAACCATCGAGGCAGGACTGCAGATGTTCTAAGGGGGGCATTGCCCTCCTTGGCCCATTAGACCTTGGAGACAATGGACCCTATGGAGTTGAAGTTTCCCTAGGAGTCTCACACTGAGAAAGTAAAGGCTGGAGTTCTGGTACCAGCCAGAGGAGGAGCTTGTCTCCTGGGAAGACATTTCCCCCAGTGCTGACAACCTGAGGGGCCCTCCAAGACCCAGGAACTGAAGCAATGATGCATCCATGTAGGGAAAGATCATACTTGATGGGGACTGCTTAGCTATGCACACCCTTTACCTTCTATTGCAACCTGAGACTCACGTCAGGATCCCAAAGACAGACTTGGGGGTGCCTTTAAGCTTCTGTTTGTTCCCCTTCAGTGTGACCATAGTGAGGAAATCTCCTTTCTCTGCTTTTCATTCGTTTTTGTCTGTTTAATTGGCCTACTGAGGACAGGTGGCCAAGCCAATGCAACCTGTGACCCTAACAACTCCAGTAACGCCGGTGTCTAGTTTCCATGTCTTTTTTTCTGAGAGAGTGTTCTGTCCCGTGGTGACTCACACACTTGAGCAGGAGAGAAGGGTCCTCCAACCTGCTTTTTCATTTGAACTTCTTGGCTCTCTATGGGCCAGGATCAATTCAAAATGTTGAGTTTTGTGATTAGTATCTGTACTGAGATAACCATCCAGTTAGGAGTGAGGACACCTGGGGAGCTTCAGAGTCCTGCCTTTTCTAGAAGCTTCTATCTAGCTGGAAGACCTCAATGGCTCTCCTTAGGTCAGCCCTCAAGAGCCAAGGATGGTTGCAGGGGGGGCCTTGGGCTTGCTGGTGGGAAGACCGTGTACTCCCCTGACTGGGTTCTTTGAATGGATCCCTTAACTGCTTGTGGCCTTTCTCCTGTAGCCATAAAACAGGGATTAAGGACAAGGTCTTTTGAAGGGTACACGGCACGCTGGATGTGAAAGCACTTGGTTTATGGAAACCACACTATGATTACAGAGGGACTCCAGCAGCTGGCAGCATCCGAGCTGCCTCCGTGCCAGGCGACTTGCAAGGCTCCATTCAACACATTTCCTTTCCCTGGGGCACCCACACCATTAGAAGGCATGGGCATGTGCATCCTCAGACAGTCGGGATGTCGTGGGAGAAGGGTGGCGGATGAAGCGTGTCCAGAGAGCTGGGACAGCCTTGTGACTAGGTCAGGCCCCTACTCCCTGCAGACACCTTCTCGCTCCTCCAGAAGCTCCGTCACCTTTGACGCTGTCTCGGGCTTGCCATGCGCCGGGATCAGGTCTGTATTTGTTGGCATGGCTCTTGGGACCCTGTGTGGTGCAGCCGGCTCTGGGTGGTTCTCTTGACTTCTTCACTTCTTGAACTGTCTGCTCCATCCACACCGAGCTGATTTCCATCCATCTTTGGCTACATGTGCACCTGCTTTTGTCTGGACTCACTTTCTGACGTCACCCCCTCAGGACTTCTCCAGCATGCTTGCATTGTGACCTTTGTTGATGTCCCCCCAACCGAGGGCACCATGCCTACCTACGCTGGTGCTGCCAGCCTTGGGGTAGAACACTGTGTGTCTCCACCCAGGGCCCTGCTTCTGGCAATTTCTATTCTGCTTTATGTGGCTTTGTCATGAGGGAGAAAGGAAAGGGTAGCTGGACGGCTGTGGGGACTGGGGACAGTGATGCGTCCCCTCGGGCTACTTGGGACGGGTAGACTCCTAGCCAGGGTTTTCTATGAAACAGGAGACAGCAGAGCCTGGAGTGAGCATGAGGCCTGGAGAGCAGAGCAAATACGAAGAAGTGACCTGGCCTGGGGACTCTGTCCTTAAGTCAGGACATTTCTAGCCTTTCTGAACAGTGAGTATAAGATGCAGTGCTCAGCAGCCAATCAGCATCAAGGTCTTGTCACTGTTACAGGGACTTAGATCTGGCTTCAGGGATCCAAAGGGGGGCAGCGGGGAGGTTGAGGCAAACAGCACAGATACTGTGGAGGGAACATGTGCAGAAAGTCGTGATACATGTTGAGGACCGTGGGAAGGGTTATCTCCAGCCTTGGGGGACTTGGGCGATGGTAGGAGCGTGTGACTCCTGACCTGGATCTCCAGGGGCTGATAAGGGTTTGATAGCTGAGAAGAGAAGGAAGTCATTTCAGGTGGAGGTGACCCCTGGACCAGAGGCAGCAGCAAAACGAGCTAGGGTTGGGTGAGGGCAGAGGGCAGAGTGTCCCAGAGTGGTTGCCTCTGGGAAGGGAGGGAGGGAGGGGACTGGCCAGACCTGCCCTGAAATGGGTAGCATGGAAGGAGACTGAAGATGGCATCCGAGGTATCTCCAGTATTACTAGCTCATGCTCAGCTGGGTTTCATAAGTGGCCGAGAAGCCAAGAGAGCAATGGAGAGCACCAGACAACTCCACGAGGACAGGTGTTTAGCTGACCACTTTCCGCACTCTGGTGCTGGGCCTTGTTGGGGCTAAGAAGGAACTGTACCACTGAGCTACAACACCTTGTAAATTATTTTGTTTGAGACAGGGTCTCTCTGTATAGTCATGTAGACGGGAGGACCTGAGCTCCTCATCCTCCTGCCTCCGCTTTCTTAGTGCTGGGATTACATGCCTGTGCTGCCAGACCCTGGGTTTGACCCAGGCCTGCACACATGTGAAGCAAGCACTCTACCAACTGACTAATACCCCCAGCTCCCGGTAAAACACTTAGAGAGACTAAACAGAAGGGACATCCAGTGACCACCCAGGGCTTTGAGATTAGCAGCCTGTGGACTAGAAGAGAATCAGGGGGCGGAAAGAAGTCTGAAGGACAGAGAGCTCTATTTGGAGCATGTTAAGCAGGCACTGAGTCCCCACATGTGGGCATGGGGCCCCTGGCTCCGTCTCCATACATTTGAGGGTGGGGTTATTGCCTCCTCTTGGGAATAGCCACCTGTGTTCTCTGAAAGTTCTAGCTCTTTGACTCTGACCACTTCTGCCGTCTTAGAAATTATATTTGGGGGTCTGGAGAGATGGCTCAGTAGTTAAGAGCACTGACTGCTCTTCCAGAGGGCCCGAGTTCAGTTCCCAGAAACTCACAACTGTCTGTAATTCCAGTTCCAGAGGATCTGACACCCATGGTAAAACACCAATGCACATAGAATAAAGATTAATAAATTTTAAAAAAGGGTGACAGAAAAGACCCATTTTTTTTTAAAGAAATTATATTTGGGACTGGAGAGATGAGTCAACAGTGAGGGGCACTTCATATTCTTGCAGAGGACCTGAGTTTGAATCCCAGTACCCACAGACACACACACAGCATACTTATATAGGCATAGACAAAGTACTCATACACATAAAATAAAAAGAAATAAACTTTTAAGTAAACTACAAATCATGTAGCCATGTGCCCAAAGAAACCCATGGGCACTGCTGCTTCATCTGTCCATTCATTTAATGTTGGTTTTTTCTGTTTTTGTTTTTTGGTTTTTCAAGACAGGATTTCTCTGTGGCTTTGGAGACTGTCCTGGAACTAGCTCTTGTAGACCAGGCTGGTCTTGAACTCACAGAGATCCACCTGCCTCTGCTTCCCGAGTGCTGGGACTAAAGGCATGTGCCGCCAACGCCTGGCATTTAATCTGGTTTTTTTGAGAGTCTTGCTATATAGTCCAGGCTGGTCTTGAACTTGTGATTCTCTTGCCTCAGCCTCTTGAGTTCTGGCATTATAGGCATACACTTTCGTGTCTAGTTAAGTCCTATTTATTTCAATTGAAGAAACAGAAATCCACGCAACTCTTAGATAACATGGCTAGGCCTTGAAGCCATGTGACTGGCCCTAGTGCCCATGCTCTTAACCTGCATGGTCTTGCCAACCTTGAGGACCCAGGGCCCTCTCACAGAGGGAAGGATGCCTAAGGTGCCTCTGTTGGAGGAGGAAACCTGCCTGTGTCATATCCTTGGGGACGGAACAGCATTTGCCATGTAGTGTTCCAGGATTGGAAGGGGGCCTTGGAGTCGTCCTGTTCACTTTGTAGCCGAGGAAAAGGGACAGGGAAGCACTTGTGGATCTGCTCTGGGTGGCACTTTCTCACCCTGCCACGTCCAGCCGCGCTACAGCTGATCTGCGCGCCCCATGAACTCAGCCTTCTTCTTTCTCCTTTCTTATCACCCCCCAGATTGATAAGTATCTGTATGCCATGCGGCTCTCTGATGAAATTCTGATAGATATCCTGACGCGCTTCAAGAAAGAGATGAAGAATGGCCTTTCCCGGGATTTTAACCCGACAGCCTCGGTCAAGATGTTGCCGACCTTTGTTAGGTCCATCCCTGACGGCTCAGGTGAGTCTCTGAGAGATCGGGCTCCCGAATGTTGGGTGAGACCATTCGTCCAGCAGGTGTTTGCTCGTTTTCACTCATTCGCCGTTTCATCCCCGGCTCTCCGACTGATCTGCCTACCGTCCCGCCACCCACCCGCCCGTTCTGACGCTGATCTGTCTCCTCCCTCTGTCCTTCCATCCACTCGCCTACTCTCTCACCCGCCTGCTCTCGGTTGCTCCCACTATTCACTCCCTCATCCCCTCATCCCACTCACCATCCTCCACTCACCCCCTTGGCCACCCCTTCCCTCGGTCTCCCGTTGATCCCTCTGTCCATCAGCCCATCTGTCATGTGTCTGCGAGGCACACTGATGACACCACATTGGACAATGCTGACCAGCCCTCATGGACGGGCCTGTGTGACACTTAGAAAGTATAGCATTTAGGGGTTGGTGGGTGCTGTGTTGGGGTTATCTTACATCTCTAGTAGAAACCAAAGGTTCGTGGGGAGAATCCCAAACAGCAGGTCATCTTCCCTTTGGTGCCCCAGATAAGTAGCACGCCTAGTGGCCAGGTAGGGCTTGGACTCAGAAGTAGGACATACAAGTCCCCCTTGGAACAAATTCCCTACCCAGTATCCAGGTAGCCCCAGGAATTCTCAGTCTGCTGTCTTGTGGTCCTGCCTGCTGCGGGGAGTTGAAGGACTTTCCCTGAGGCCTGACAGCGCTCCTCTCCAGGGAATTGGCATCTGCTCTTCACTGGCCGAGTGGAAGCAGGGAGGCTGTGGCAGCTATTTTCCCAGCCAATCCATAGTTGCTACTAGTTTGCAAAAGTCCATGCTGAAGGCACTCCAGTACCAGTAGGGGGTTCACCTACAGCATGCCATGAGGGGAGCTAGGTTCCAGGAAGTTGTTTCTTTCTGAGTTCTCTCCCATGAGTGTGGCCTCTGTCCTTCTGCAATTTCTTTCCTGTTCTGGAGGCCTGGATTTTCAATCTTGTCTCGAGATGGTCTGAAGCAGTTTGTGTGCAAGGCTTCAGCTCTTACAAACGTTTTCCCAGCAAAGGGCAAGTGCCGGACTTGCTGTGCAATCTGGCTAGAATTGGAATAGTCCGGCTATAGCTGGCCTTGGGGAATATCCTCACTGAGTCTCCGGCCTGATGTCCACTTGTGCCGTTTGTCCTGTTTTATAGATGGGACTCACTGTACACACATCACTCTCTCTATCTGAAGCTTCTTTGTTAAGGAATTAACTAGCTCCAACTCAGGACCTTGTGTTTCTTCAAGGGCTGGTGACTAGCAGTTCAGCTCTTAAAGCAGTTCTAGCCAAATGACCCTGGCTGCTATATCTTTGGCGCGTTCTGGTGCCTGTGGCTGGGGAAGGGAGACCCCTTGTGTTGTGTCTCTTTTTCTTAGCCCTGGGTGAGTCCATTAGCAGGTGACTAATCTCCCTGCTGTTTGCAGCTGAGTGGGGAGAGAGGGGAAGTGAGCAAGTGAGCTGGGCTTGGGGAAGCTTGGGAAGGTCACATGATCCCGTGCGATCAGGGAGGAGGAGGAGGCAGGAGAGGGGAGGAGGCAGGAGATGTCTTTTCTTTCTTTCTGAACTTGCATCTCCCACCAACTTCCCCCAAGTACCCTTAGATCAAGCAGTGCCCCTCCCCCACTTTTCCCACTGTTCATTTCCAGGGTCTCAAAGTGTGACATAGTAACCTAGCCACCCAACACATACACACACCCCACCCAGATATGCTTCCAGACAAGGCCCACTTTTGGGAAATACCTCATTCTCTAGTTCCCTATGGGGGTCCAAGGTAGATATTAAAGGCCCTGAGCAGTCCCGCATGAGAAGGACCTGTTTGCTTTAGCATAACTGCTCCCATGTTTCATTCATCTGGATTCACACATTAAAAAAAAAAATCTCAGAAATATGTATTGTTTTGTATTGCATTCCATCCTTTTTTTTTTTTTCCTGTTATTCCCACCTTGTAACTAGCCGGTGGCATTTTCTTCTTGGTTAATGTTTCATCAGATGATTGTGTGTCTCACAATCAGTGGTATCTTAAATGTGGTGACTCACATAGCTATATGCTCATGTTGGGATTTAGTTCCAGGGTCTGAGGAATGGGAGGCAGCGGCCTGGGCACTAGGCCTGTTTCCTCTAGTGCTGACAGGCTTGAGTGTTGGGGCTTCTGAGGAGCACAGGTGGATATTGACAATGAAAAGAGGAGGGGGAGAGAGGAAGGGAGGGTGAAACCGAAGACTTGAGCAACAGTGATTATTGGATCAGGGATGGGTGGGGGCTCATGAGCTGAGCCTCTTTTCCCTGGTTACCATTATCTGTAAGTCCTCAGGGAGCGGGAGGCCTCATGGCAGGGTATGGATGGGCCCCGTCTTACACAGATCTTATGCCGATAAACGCAGTGGTGGTGAGGTGGAGAACACAGCTGTGTTGTCATGTTCTGTGGCAGCCTTCCTCCTTGCTGTACCCCCTTCTCCAGCTCTTACGTCCTTCCCATCCCCTCCTCACCATTTTGCCTGAGCCTTGCAGGGGTGACATTGATGTCCCATTTATGGCTCAGCATCCAACAGTCCCTTGTGAGTTTTTGTTTACTGTTGTCCACTGTAAACAGGAGTTTCTGAGGCAAGGCTGTTGGCAGCACTGACCCCTGGAGACAAACATTCATAAGGCCACATACCTTTGGGTTTTTTTCCAAAGATAGATCTTTCTATCTATGTTATCTATCTGTGTATCTATGTATCTATGTATCTATGTATCTATGTATCTATGTATCTATGTATCTATCTATCTATCTATCTATCTATCTATCTATCTATCTATCTACCTACCTACCTAGCTAGCTTATTTGAGATAGGGCCTCACTGTGTAGCCCTAGCTGACTTGGAACTTACTATGTAAACCAGGTTGGCCTGGAACTCACAGAGATCCACTTGCCTCTGCCTCCCCAAGTGGTGAGATTAAAGGTGGTTTTTTTAAAAAATGTATTTAAATGTTTTGTTTGCAAGTATGTATATGCACCATGTGTGCACGTGCCCTCTGAAGTCAGATGTCCTGGAGTTGGAGTTAGGGGTGGTTATGAGCCATTAGGTCAGTGATGAAACAGAACCTGGGTCCTCTGCAAGAGCAGCCAGTGCTCTGTCTCTTCCGGCTCCCTTGGATTTGGATTTTTTTGTTTTTTGTTTTCTTTTTTTTTTTGTTTTTGTTTTTCGAGACAGGGTTTCTCTGTATTGTTTTGGAGCCTGTCCTGGAACTCGCTGGGTAGACCAGGCTGGTCTCAAACTCATAGAGATCCACCTGCCTCTGCCTCCCGAATGCTGGGATTAAAGGCGTGAGCCACCAACACCCAACCCCTTGGACGTTTCAGTATTTCTCATGAAGTTGCTCCAAACTGACTGTGTCTCATTCCTGAGGTTTCCCCTGCCCCGTTAGTGCTAAGGATATTGTAGGTCTTGGTTAGTCCAGGAGCTGTGGGAGGCTGCTGCATATTCTTGGAAGTTTGTTTCTTTCTCATGTTCTTTACAAGGGAGAAGCCACAAAACATTTCCTGGAAATGCACAGATGTACCATTATCTTCTTCCATGCTAAGCAGAATGACTTATAGTGTATTTGGTCATTGATGGGGGAAGTCCTGTGTATATGTCAATAAAGCACTGTTGGCCAATAGGCAACCAAGATAAGTGGGACTAGGAATCCAGGAGGACTCTAGGAAGGAGAAACAGAGAGTCAAGATGTAACGCCATGGGGTAGGAAGCCCAGAAACCTCTCCAGTAAGAGAAATACTTAGATTAACAATTATGGGGTAATTAGTTAAGTCAGAGCTAGCCAGTAAGAAACAAGCAAGGCCAACAGCTTCATAATTAATATAGCCTCCTGTATGTTTATTTGGGACTGATACGGCTCTGGAATCAGGCTGGCGGGAAGGCTTCTCTCAAGGAAAAGGCTTCCCTTTACAGGTCATATCCCTCTCCCCCTTTTTAATGAGATAGTCTTATATAAACCTGGCTGGCCTTGAACTAGAAGCCTCTCCAGAGGTATATTTACAGGTTTGTGCCACCACACTCACAATGGTGACGGGTATATTTTTATAATAATTATTTTTATTTTATATGCATTGGTGTTTTCCCTGCATGTATGTCTGTGTGAGGGTGTCAGATTTTGCTTGGAGTTACAGACAGTTGTGAGCTGTCATGTGGCGAACCTGGGTCCTCTGGAAGAGCAGTCAGTGCTGGCTCAGGTGGGGCTTAGGATGAAGATAGTCACCGGGGCTGGCTTGCCTGTAGCTCACTCACAGAGCGGGGCACTTCATGAAGGCAGTTTCTGTTTGTCTTGTGTTCCAACACAGGCTGGTGCACAGAGACACCTGGCCCTGTGTTTGCTTTCCATTATTTCCTGGTAATAATGGCCATCGTCAGAAGGGAAGAGATGCCAGGCCCTTCAGAGCGATGCTTAATGAGCCTTCTCGTGAAGAGTGGCTCCCTTCCCCCAGTACGATGGGAGATGCTGGCAGGGGTTAGAGTAGGAGGCCCCTGGAGTGGGAAGGCAAATAGGGGACCAAAGATACAAAGAGAAAGCTGGAGGGAAGCCCACTGCTGGTGCCAGAAGCCGGACTGGTGAGAAGAAACAAAACCCAAACTAATGGAGAAGTCCCCAGCGCTTTAGTGCGACCTTGGGGAATTTACTTCAGTCTCTGTTTCCATTGCCTCTTCTGTAAAATGGGTATGAGGAGGGAGTTTGGCGACTCTGTACCTAACATCCCAGCATTTGGGAAGGCTGAGGCAGGAGAACTGCCATGAGTTCCTCAGCTTAAAGAAATAACTAATAGGACTGATCAAAATAATAAACATGAAACGGAGGGCATGATGCTCCCTGCTCTGGCTGCCGTAAAAAGCAGGATGAAGTGGAGAAGCTTCGTGGGCTCTGTCAGCATCGCATTGCCCTTGCTCTTGGCGTGCACCTCATGGGGAGGGCCTTTCTAAGCAGCATTCTCGGCGATAGAGTCCTTGGAGGAAGGGTGAGGAGGGTTTTAGAATTCACTGGTATTGCTGATGCTGTGAAAGGAGACAGAAAGAAGGTGAAACATGGTCAACCTCCTCTCTCCTCAGCCCCCTCCCAGCTGGCCTCATAAGACTGGTGAGCCTGAAGTGGGCCTACTGGTGTGCTGTAGTCTGAGCACTAAGGAAGTAGAGGCAGGGAGATCGCAAGTTCAAAGTCATCCTCAGCTGCGTGTTCCAGACAGCACTGTGCTGTGTGTGACCTTATTGGGGAGGGGAAGAAGCATGGATGGATGGATGGATGGATGGATGGATGGATAGACAGACAGACAGACAGACAGATAGGGCAGTTGGCTGGCTGGCTGGTTAGCTGGCCAGCCGGCAGGCAGGCAGGTCTGTAGGTAGATTGGTAGGTATATAGATCGGTTGGTAGATGGGTAGATAGATGGATTAGATCAGTAAATAGTAGGTAGATAGATAGGTCCATAGGTAAGTAAGTAGGTAGATGATAGGTAGATAGGTAGACAGATAATTGATAGGTGGGTAGATGGAAAGATCTGATAGCTAGGTAGATAGGCAGGCAGGCTGGTGAATGCCTATAATCCCAGCTACTTAAGTGGCTTAGGGAGGAGGATACTGAGTTTGAGCTAAGGAAATGCCAGGCATCCAACAGAGCTCACCAAATGCCCTGTGGCACTCACCTAAAACTATTTCCCTTTGTCCCTGGCCTGGCAGAACAGAAGAGCAAACAGACCTTGTGACTGACCCAGGCGGTTCCTGCCCAGCCAGCTCATACACTTAGATTGTCTGCTGTCTGCAGACGCCACTGCACAGGGCAGCAGGTGACATCACCCTGTCTCCAGCTTGCTCTTCATTCACCCAGCTGAGGAAGAATAGACCTGCAGACATATTTAAAAAAATGAGCATTGAATGAGAATGGAGGGTCCCCATGACCACTGGTAGGACCAGTTTGCTTGGAGCTTTCTTATCTGTAAGTTGTGGCATGGAGTTAATATTTCCCCAGCATTTCCTGGGCTGTGAAAGTGGTTTTCAGGCAGGCGTGGCAACCTTTTTTTTTCCTCAGACACCACACAGCATATCTCAGATGGAGTCACAGAGACCCCGGGTAGGGAGGATCACTCTTCAAGAGAGGCCCCTTGGCTCTCAGCAGTCACCCAGCAGGTGTCTTTTTAATTTGCCGTCTTGTTTGCTGTGGTCCAGACACTGCCATTTGAATCACTCTGAACTCTGTCCTGGCATGTCACAGGCGTCCTTTCTGCTGTCACCTGAACTCCCTGGAACCTTGCTGGCTTGAGCCTGTCTCAAAGGCTGCGTGAAGATGGGGTGGGTGAGCAGGACAGGGTGGGGTGGGCCAGCCCAGTGTGCCTTACTTCTCAGCCAGCTCAGCCTTCAGTGATGGGAAACCCACTTTCTTTTATTCATCTAAACATGAGACCCAGTTGGCAACTGGAAAATTTCCCAATTATAAAAGTTTGTAATGAATTTCAATTATAAGCATATATCTACTGTGTAAAAGAGAATACTATATTTTGGCAGGAAAGAAACACTAACTTTAAAAATAATATAAAGCCAGGTATGGTGGTGCATAACTTTAATCCCGGCACTCAGGAGGCAGAGATGAGTAGATCTCTGAGTTTAAGGTCAGATTAGTGTACACAGAGTGTTCCAGGTCAGCCAAGGTTACACAGTAAGACCCTGTTTCAAAACAAAACAAAGTAAAACCCTAAACAAATAAAACATACAGAGAGACAGAGACACACTTTCATGGTCAGTTGATTTTTGGCAGGGGTGCCAAGGCTATTCAATGAGGGAAAAGAGAGTCTCTTCAGCCTGTGGGCCAGGATGCTGAGCGTCCACAAAGAACCAAGTTGTACCTTTACTTCATACCCTACACAAAACATTAGCTCCAAGAAGATCAAAGTCTTAAATAAGAGCTGGCACCATGAAACTCCTAGAGGAAAAATAAATGTGAACCTTTGTGACCTTGCATTTGGGGGGTTGGATTCTTACACACAACACAAAACTAAACAGCAAAACCAGAAATAAACGGCACTGCACGAAAATGTAAAACTTTGGTTAATGCTTTTGCCCAGCCCCACAAAAGTAAGAAGAAAATTTTGGAATGTTTGCACTTTCTTTATTGTTGCTATATTTGAAAACTTAGGTTTATTTTATTTATTACTATTGTGATGTGTATAGTGGCACCCAGGTACCGTGGTATGTGTGTAAAGCTCAGAGGACAGTTCTGTGGAGTTGGGGGATCTTTATGGGATGGGTCCAGGAATTGAACTCAGATCTTCAGGTGTGCATAGAGAGTGCTTTACCCATCTCATAGCCTGGCCTCATAGTCTTTTTACCCCCATATATCTAACGCCAAGACCCCTCCAGTTTTGATCCGAGTAAAGGGTCAGTCAGTAGGTGGACAGTGCTGTAGCATCAGCCTTCATCAGAGAGATGAGAGTGACAGTGAAAATGACGTCATACACACATTACTGAAGATGTGGACAGACTAGAGCTTTCATTCATCACAAACAAGGCAGTGATACAGCCACTTTGTCAGACCATGGCATTTCTGCAGACCAACCATGCTTTATCAGGCAGTCTGACTCCGCTTATACCGGAGAGAAACGAGGGCACTTGTCCACATGAGAACCTTTGTGCCAGTGTGCCTAGCTGTGTTAACCACGCTAGCCCAAAATGGAAGCAGCCATGCTGCCCGGCTAATGTAGGGACAAGTAAAACATGGTAGTGGGATAGTTTTAACTGCAAAAAGAACGAAGTGCTGATAAACAAGACAGCATAGAAGCACGCTGGAAACATTTTGCTAAGTGATAAAAGCCAGTCACAAGGAACCATTAATGTGAAATGCCCAGCACAGAGCCATTACATTCCCATTTATTTATGTTTTGTTTGGGATGCTGTGGATCAACCCCAGGGCCACTCATATGCTGGGCAAGTATTTTACCACTGAGCTACATCCCCAACCTTTGGATTTTTAAAATATAATTTAAAAACATTTAGATAATATTATTACACACACACCCAGATAAGTTTTTACCATGTAGCCCAGGTTAGCCTTGAACATGAGATCCATATGTCTTAGCCTAAGTGCTGGGATCACAGTCATGCACCACCATGCTTGCTTGGCTTGAGCATACACTTGAATGGATGAGTTGCGTGCTATGTGACTCAAATTGCAAAGTGTGCATGCGTGCATGCCTCTCTCTGTGTGTGTGTGTGTGTGTGTGTGTGTGTGTGTGTGTGTGTGTGTGTAAAATCTTGTCAGGGTAAGCAAGGTGCCGCCAGTCTGATATTGATAGCCATGGATTTGTGAGGGCTACTGGGATTTAGGGAGACAAGAGTGACTGTCACTCCTAGCTTGCACACACAGGCTACAACATAAATGACATTACACTAAGTAAAAGCCACCAGTCACAAAAAGACAGTTTATGCCTGATTCCACCTATATGAAGTGTCTAGAGCAGGCCACTTTCAGATAGTGACGTAGAGGTTACTAGAGTTGGCCAGGGGTGAGGAATTACTGCTTAATGAAAGTTTTGCTAATAGTGGGGATGGCTACTTAACATTGTGAATGTCCTTAGTGACACTGAGCTGTGCACTCAGAAAATGGTTCCAGTGCTAAGTTTCACATCATCTATGTCTTACCACAACAATGGAAAAACAATCCAAGGAGTAACTGGGGCTTTGAGCAAGCAGTGATTGGCATCTGAGCCAACATGGAAGGAACCCCGGGCATGGGCTGGACCTCAGCACAGGCTTTTCCTGTGCTGAAATACTGTACAGGCTGGGTGTGACAACACACACCTTTAATCCCTGCAGTTGGGAGGCCCGGGCAGCAGGGTTGGGAGATTGGGGTCATCTTCAGCTTTATCGAAATGTTGAGGCCAGCTTGGGCTCCATGAGACCCCATCTAATCAAAATAAGAAGCCAGTGTTGTGTGGTCCTTATGGGCAGCAGTGCTGTCTTTATTTTTATTTTTTATTTTTTTGGTTTTTCCAGATGGGGTTTCTCTGTATTGTTTTGGAGGCTGTCCTGGAACTCCCTCTGTAGACCAGGCTGGCCTCAAACTCACAGAGATCCACCTGCCTCTGCCTCCCGAGTGCTGGGATTAAAGGCGTGCGCCACCAACGCCCGGCAGTGCTGTCTTTAAATAGGCTAAGCAACCAGAGGAGTGTGGAAAGGAGCTTTGTGCCTCATTCCACACCTCTTCCTCTGCAGTGTGAGACTAGAGTTGCTCCAGCAGGACCAGGCAAGGTAAACGCGAGTTCTGCTGAAGGTGCTATGCGGTGGGCGGGAGACATAGACAGGGCCAGATCCAAAGGGTAGATACCGCTCATGGCCACCTTCTCACACGAGTCCGACATGATCCTTCTTTTCTCCCTTGCCAGAGAAGGGGGATTTCATCGCCCTGGATCTTGGCGGCTCTTCCTTCCGAATCCTGCGGGTGCAGGTGAATCACGAGAAGAATCAGAATGTCCACATGGAGTCTGAGGCCTATGAAACCCCGGAGAACATCGTACACGGCAGTGGAAGCCAGGTGGGTTCCTTGTCCCCCTCATTCTGCTCCATCAAGCCAGCATCGCTTGGAGCACCTCATTAGAGGTCTGTCATAAGAGTGTCACTTGTAAAGGACTCCCAGGGGAGGGATGAGGCAGCTGTGTACCTGAAGAGGCATGCACCGTCTGGTGGACTGTTGGCTTGGGAGTGGGTGAAAGCTGGGGGGAGGGAGACCCTGTGGCACTGTTGCAAGTGCTTTTGTCCCAAAGGATCGCGGGTTGATTCCTTGGCACAGGGTTAGTCCACTCTTGGGGTAGAAATGTCCCTCTCTCGGGCCACTGAAATACTGTACAGGCTGGGTGTGACAACACCCACTCTCTGGAAGCCAGGCCCTGTGGAGTGGTTCCTAGCTTGGGACATCAGGAGCTCTGTACTCTGATTTAATGGTGCACACGCACCCTTGGCACGGCAAGCAGAGGCTGCAGGCTTTGCTTTGGAAATGGCTGTCCCTCCTCACGCTCGTTACCCAAAGCTTCTCCCCTTTCCACAGGACCTTGAGCAGGGCCATCTTTCCTGACTAAAGCACCTGTGCATACCCGAGAGGACCTGTTTTGTGATGTGTGGTGGGTTCCTATCTCCCCAGGGCCCTGTGACTAAGGTTCTGACAGTACCCTCAGGGTTTTATTCATCTCTGAGTCCCCTGAACCTACCACACAGCATGCTCCATTACTCCAAGTGACGACTGTTGTGGATACGTGTTGAGTTTGTGCCCTACCCACACTTCACATTGGGGCTGTGGTGTTGGTCCTGTTGAAAGTATGTCGGGTTTCTGTTGGAGAAGGTGTGTGTTCAGGGCAAGGTTCGCAAGTTCTCCAGAGAAAGCAGTGGTTCTGGGGTGGATGGTGAAGTGAGGCCCAGGGCCCTCCTCGATAGGATTCCACTTGGTGCCTAAGTTACTGTGGGTCAAAGTTGGGACAACCCACCTGGATAAGAGCTGATCCTGGCCTTGAACTCTGCCTGCTGCTTGGGTTCCGAGTTTTTCAGAGCACAGCACAGTGAGCATGGAAGTAAGCTCTGTCTCTGGAGTAGGCAAGCCACTTTATAGTCAGCCACGGAGGCAGGTAAGGCACGTTAGGTGGTCCTGCCTCCGTCACTGGGCTTTGGAGACTGGTCCCTTCAGCTCAAGGCTGCTGCTTGGGGGAGGGAGGTCTCCCGCTCATGTCTCCATTGCCCACTGTGTGACTCCTTTTCTGCAGGTAGCCAGCAGCCTGCTTGGCAGGCTCGGTTCCACCTAACAGGTTCTGGGTGATCATGGTTGTTCGTGGTCCGTGGGTTTATCCACTATCAAGACTGTCAGTGTGCACACATTCCCTGTGTGCCTTGGCCTGGCCTCTTAGGAGCAGGGCTTGTTTAGGGGGTGCTTCCATCCCAGGGGACACCTCCTCAGTAATTTCCAGCCTGTGTCCGCAGTCTCCCTTATTCCCAGATCATTTTGCTTCCTGCTGTTTGCTTCTCTGCTCCTAAGTCATCTAAAAAGATAGTGATGGTGGTGATGTGTGGTTTTTTTTGTTTTTGTTTTTTTCAAGACAGGGTTTCTCTGTGGCTATGGAGGTTGTCCTGGGACTAGCTCTTACAAGCTGGTCTCGATCTCACAGAGATCTGCCTGCTTTTACCTCCCAAGTGCTGGGATTAAAGGCGTGCACTACCAAGCCCAGCCTGTGGTATCTTATTTTATAGCACACACTGGTACCATGCTTGTAATGTGCAAGTGGCTGACGTATATACACTTTGTACCTAGTGACTCATTTCATCATCATGGCAACCTGTGGGTAGGTCTTCATTATGTCTTACACATGGGAAGGTCCTAGCTCAGCTGTTTTAGTAGCTGTGCAAATTCTGAGATTTCTGAGGTGGTCTTACCCCAGAAGTTAACAGTTTCAGCTGCTGGGAATTTTCTTCTTCTTCTTCTCCTTTCCTTTATTTGTTGATTTTGAAACAATGTTTCGCTGTGTAGCTCTGGCTGTCCTGGAACTCACTTTGTAGTCCAAGCCAACCTCAAACTCAGGGAGATCCACATGCTTCCGCCTCCCAGTGCTGAGATTAAAGGTGTGCATTACTACATCCAGCAAAACATTTAAATGGGTATATGTGTGGCTAGTGTATGTAGTATGCCACGTATGTATAGGCATAGATGCACCAAGAGGCCAGAAGAAGGCATTCGGTCCTCTGGAATTGGGGCTACAGGTACTGTGATCCACCTGATACGGATGCTACCAACAAAACTGGAAGAACAGCAAGCGTTCTTAACCTCTGTCATAGTTAGGGTTTCTGTTGCTGTGAAGAGACACCATGACCACAGCAACTCTTATAAAGAAAACATTTAATTGTGGTGTCTTACAGTTCAGAGGTGTTCAGTCCATTATTGTCATGGTGGGACATGGCAGCAGATGTCTTGCTGGAGCTGAGAGCCCTACATCTTACAGGCAATAAGAAGTCAACCGACCACTGGGTAGTATCCTGAGCACAGGAAACCTCAAAGCCCGCCCCAACCGTGACACACTTCCTCCAACAAGGCCACACCTACTTCAACAGAGCCACACCTCTTAATAGTGCCACTCTGTATGAGCTTATGGGGGCTAATTGCACTCAGATTACCACAACCTCTGAGCTTCTCTCTATCTCTGTTTCTTAAGATTTTGATGGTGAGAAAATGTGGCTGTGGACAGGAGCTTAGATCAGGGTAGGAAGACAGACAAGAATGAAGCCGGAACATCTCCTGCAGTATTCTGGTGTTAGCGGTCAGCTGGTATCCAGTAGCCCATCTCCTGAGTTCTCTGACGTCTTCTATGGAGCTCATGTTACTCGTGGAGCTGCTCAGACTCAGGCTATGAGCAATGAAGGCTTAAGGGTCTGGATCCTGTGGAGTTCTCACCCTCTGTGATGTGCAGATGTTTTAAAATTGGTTTTTAGCTTGTCGTCTGAAATACTGCTAAACCGAGAGATGAGCAGACAGTGTGTTCACCCTGAGGGGCTCCCACACTCAGTCTCTTTTTCTCCCCTCCTACCCACAAAGTATCTCCAGCCTCCTGCAGTTTTAAGCTTTATGATTCCAGGAGCTGCGTGCAACATTGTTAAGACATGGCTTCGGTGACTGGGGAGACCGCTCGCTCCGCAGTCATTGTCCTTGCTGCATAAATATGAGAACCCGAGTTTGGATCCCAGCACTCACATAAATAACTGGGTGTGATGGCAGTGGTAGTGCATGTCATTAATCCCAGCACTCAGGAGACTGAGTGAGGCAGGTGGATCTTGTGAGTTCCAGGCCAGCCTAGGCTACAGAGCAGTTCCAGGACAGCCAGAGCGGTTACACAGAGAAACCCTTTGTGTGTGGGGGTGGTGGTGGTGGTGGATGTGACTGCCCAAATTACTCAGAAAACAGGCAGGAGGATGGCCTGAGCTTGCTGGTCACCAGCTCAGCTCCAAATTAAGTGAGAAACCTTCTCTCAAGGTAATGAAAACAGAGATAGAGCAGAGCACTTGATATTTCCCTCTGGCCTCATATATGAGCACTGGGACACACATATGCATATACACCTTATGCACACCACACACATACACACACACACACACTCTCTCTCACTACTTAAATTAGTTTTGGTAATTTTGAATAATACTTAAAGTTGTTGCTTGTTTTGTTCTGCCATTATTTGCCCTGCTCTAGTCAGTTGAAGGGTTAAGTCCGTATTTGTGCGTATGTGTGTATAGCGTGTATATGTACAAGTTGTGTGGGTGCTCATATACATGTATGTGAGCACACAAGTGTAGAGGTCAAAGATTGCTATCAGGTAACCTTTCTCCAATACTCTCTCTGGTATCTGTATGAGACATGCTCTCTCCTTGAACCCAAGTTCACTGACTGGCTGGCCGGGCTGGCCGGTGAGCTGCTCCTGTCTTCCTCTCCATCACCAGAGCTGCACTATGCTGCCCCACCTGGCTGTTCATGTGTTCTGGGGACCTGAACTCAGGTCCTCATGCAGAAGACGCTTTACCAACTGAGCCCTCTCCCCACCCATTAAAATTTTTTTTTCTAGCCGGGCGCTGATGGTGCACGCCTTTAATCCCAGCACTCCAGAGGCAGAGGCAGGCAGATCTCCGTGAGTTCGAGGCTAGCCTGGTCTACAAGAGCTAGTTCCAGGACAGCCTCCAAAGCCACAGAGAAACCCTGTCTTGAAAAACCAAAAAAAAAAAATTTTTTTTCTAGCCAAGTGGTGGTGGCTCCGCACCTTTAATCCCAGCACTTGGGAGGCAGAGGCAGGTGATCTCTGTGAGTTCAAGACCAGCCTGATCTACAAGAGCTAATTCCAGGACATCCTCCAAAGCCACAGAGAAACTTTGTGTCAAAAAAAACAAAACATTTTTTTCTTTCCCACATGAGCGCGCGCGCGCGCGTGTGTGTGTGTGTGTGTGTGTGTGTGTGTGTGTGTGTGTGTGTACACACGCATGCACACCGTCTGTGGTAGGTGCCCATGTGCCACAGTGGGAGTATGTGGAGGTCAGAGGACAGCTTGGGAGAATTTGTTCTTTCCTTCCATCTTGTGGGTCCCAAGTGTTGAACCCAGGCTGACAGTCTCGACGGGAAGCACCTACCTGCTGAGCCATCTCATTGGCTCTAAAATGTTTGTTTGTTTCATCTGGCTCAGGCTGGCCTGGAACTTGCTAACTAGTGCAGACTGGACCTCACACTCATTACCCTGCCTTGGCTTCCTGAGTGTAAGATTGTAAACAGGAGTCACACAGCTTCTGTGTGTATTTTCAAAATAATGAGCATGTTATTGGGAAGGTAGTGAGGGTTCATTCATTCATTCATTTTGGGGGTTCTGAGTATTGAATTTGGGGTCTTGGGATGCTAGACAAGTGCTCCACCACTGACTGCATCCCAAACTCATTTCTTACGTTTTATTTCAGAAGACAGGGACTCTCTAAGATACGTAGGCTGGCCTGGGGCTTACTGTAGCTCAGGCTGGCCTGAAACTCTGGCTCCTCCTCCCTCAGCCTCTCAAGTGCTAGGATCATAGGTGTCACCCAGTACACCCTGCGCAGCGTGGCCTCCTCAGCCGCTATGGGGAGGAGCAGTTGGCTTGGTTCCAGGTGCTGGTTCCAGGTGTGGCCCTGTTGCTGCAGTGGGCTGGCCCTCCACCCTGCCCTTCCTGTGCAACCATCCTTCCTTCAGCTCACTAGGAGCAGGAGTGCCTGGAGCCCCGGGTGCAGATGGCATAGACCTCAAAGATTGACTTAGTAATGGGCTTGCATTAGTCTGAAGTAGGTCACAGGAAGCTTAGCCTGTTTTCTCCAGAGAGGCTGGTCACGTGTCCTTCAGTCAGAGATACTGCTGCTGTGTAGCCTGTGTAATAGTGACTCAGACCAAGGGTCCCAAGTCAGAATGGACTGGGCGCTCCCTAACCCCAGTAGTGAGTCAGGTCCTCTCTAAAGCTGGGTCAAGGTGACTAAGATTTGGCACTTTGACACTGTCCTCTTCTGGACTCTTAAGGAGCTCTGTGACTGTGTTCCCAAAGGCACACTACCATCAGCAGCGTACATGCAGAAGCTAGGGAGCCAGGCTTCTGGACTCTTTCTTAGTGGATTCCTGTGGTGTGTATACACCTACTGAGTCAGAGCCAGCAAACTAGCATGGCAATGCTGGAAATAACACTGTGGGATATTCATAGCATGGCGTGTTCATGCGGAAGTACAGTGACGGACATGAACAGTCCTTAAAGATACATGGATGACTAGGAACAAAGGCAGCAGAGAGCATACCCGGCTCCATTTCCATTTCCATACAAGAGTGCTAGAAATCGGGGTGGCAGGAGTCACCCTAGAGCCATGAAGTGAGCATCTGGGTTTTTGTTGTTGTTATTGTTTCATTCCATGGGTTTCACTCCATTACCCAGCTTGGCCTTGAACTCTTGCCTCAGACCCCTGGGTGCCAGAATCATAGACATGAGCTACCATGTCTAGCTAGTCATGTGGGTTTGGGTATTGTTATATTTCTTTGGGGGTTAGGTCCTGGGGATCAGACAAGGGCATTGTGGCTACATACATGCTGTACACTGAGCCGTGCCCCTAGCCCTACTTGTCCTTCTTGATGTGGGAGTCGGCGATGGAGCATGTGCAGCTTGTGAGAGCCCTGTGACCGCCACACTTAGGATTCGTGCATTTTAGGGCTGCTCACCTTTCCTTCAGTACGTAAAGCAAAAGCACAATGCTTTGATGGTTCTTCAGCCATGGAGCTACCTGAAGATTTCCAGGACCAGCGTGAGGAGTGGCCAGGTGATGGAAACCCATGGCCAATGTGTCATGGGAGACTGCTGATTTTCTGTGGTTTCTAATTTTCCCCCAGTGCCAGTGACCTCTGAGAGGCCAGTTCCTTTGGAGGGCTGGAGATGTTCTGTGTGAGCTGTGTTTGCTGTTGCACGCGCATGGGGCGCGCGCGCGCGCACACACACACACACACACACACACACACACACACACACACGGTGATCTGAAAGAGTCGTCTCTCCGCCCCCAATCTGATGTCCCTTTTCTGTGCCTTGTAGCTTTTCGATCATGTCGCTGAGTGCCTGGGGGACTTCATGGAGAAAAGGAAGATTAAGGACAAGAAATTACCCGTGGGATTCACGTTTTCTTTCCCCTGCCGGCAATCCAAAATAGACGAGGTAAGGATGGCTTGGGGCATGACTGGGTTCAGAAGGCGGCGACCTCCCTCTCAGGTTTCCCTTTGCTTATGGGTGACTCGCGTGCCTCTTAGTTTTGGAATCATTTGCCAAAATTAATGGGAGGTTGTCCGGCCTGTTTCTTCTTCCCCTTCCTCTATCTACCACCCCCACCCCCAGACCTCTTCTGAGAGGTCCAGTGTATCCCAGGCTGCTCTCTGGATAGTAGCCTAGGATGTCTTTGAACTCATGGTTCTCCTTTCTCAGCACCACCGTACCTGGTTTATATGGAGCCGGTGGTTAAACCCTGAACCTAGTGCGTGCTGGACAAGCGCTCTACTCACTCAGCCAAGACAACTGTTCTGTTGGCCCTGTTACTTTAGTTGCTGGTGTACTTATAGCAACCAATTATGGAACTTATAGCCACCAGGTAGAGGGAGCCATTGAGGAAGCTCTCGCAAGTGAGCAAGGTAGACAAGGCTTAATAGCAATGGAGAGAAGCGGAGAAATCTTCATGGGGACTGGGGTGTTTACCTGGACGCCACATGGCGACTGCGAGTCTGGGCACGCGCTGCGCCTCAGGAATCACGATGTCTTCTGCCCTAAGAGAAACCTCTGGTTTCCTTGTTGAGCTCCCAGGTGACTGACTTGTCACGGCATCTTTTTATTTGTCATTTGTTCATTCATGCATCTTTTTGGCAAGGATGTACTCAGCTCTAATCCTGTGGTAAAACTGTTCCTCTGAGAACTACAAAGATGTGGAAAAAAGTAGGCGGAGCTTGTTTCTTTTCTATGTGAAGGGACAGAACAACCCTCCACCCCGTGTGTCTGCGTGCGTGCGTGCGTGCGTGTAAACAAATGCCAGGGATTCTAACAGTTAACTTTGAGGGCCCAGCAGGCCCTTGGCTGCGTTTTCATGTGCACGTCACAGCTAACATAAATCTACGAATTAGGTGTTTCCCGCTGTGGATGGAGAGAGACTGAGGCTTGCCTGCAGCCCAGTGGACAGCAGAGAGCGTGATATCACACCGGTGTGCTTTACTGCAGCATTTGGGCACTGCACACTTGTCGGCAGTGCTGGACCCCTTTGGTGATGGGGTCCGTGTTGTTGCTTTTCTTCACGCTGGAGGTCGTGCATTTGTTTGCCTTGCAGAATCGGCAGGAAGGGCTTGGGGAGCCCGGTAGCTGGAGCTCCTTGTTTTAGGATGGAGAGCAGAGGCCTCCGTGGGATGACCCAGATTACTCATGACAGAGCCAGGAGCACTGTCACAGGCCTCACCTTCCGTTTTGCGCCCCCTCCCTTGAGTTTGTGTGACATGTTCCTGTCCCTGGTTTTCTCCACCTGGAACTTGGGTAGTGCGTCCCATCTAGACTCCCTAGGTGTCTGGCAGTTCAGTACTTCCAGGCCGTTCAGATCAGCTCTCCTGGGTCTTTCTCAGCCTTGCTGCTGTGTGATAGTATGGGAGAAAGGCCCCAAGTCCCCAGAAGATGCCTAAAGTGTAGGTCATGCTGGACTGTGTATGTGTACATTCTTGCCTATGCATTCACATGCCCGAGAAAGTCTAGTTTGTACATTAGACACATTAAGAGATTAATAACTGTAACTAATGATGAGACAACTCTAACCGTTTACTATAGTAAGAGTTATATAAAGATACATTCTCAAAATACCGAAATTGCTGGGTGGGTGGAGACGCGGCTTAGCTTGACAACTGTCTAGTATGCATGAAGCCCTGGGTTTGATCCCCAGCACTACATAAACCAGGTATGATGGTGTATTTCCAACACAGCCATAACCCAGTACTCAGGAGGTGGAGGCAGGTGGATCAGAGGCCCAGGGTCATCCTCAGCTACATAGCAAGTTCAAAGCCAAAGTGGGGCACCCTGTCTCCCAAAAAGTCAATTGCTCGTTGATACTTGGCAGTTGGTCTAATAACCAAGATGGCCACTAAGTGACCAACACGATGACTAAGTGTTTGATAGGCACTGGGCCAGGCCCTGAGAGAGAATGCCTAGCAGATATGGCCTGGCCTCCACAAAGCAGTCTTTGAAGTGGAGGAAGGTGTGGTAAGAGAGACATCCTCTTGGGGACAGGAGCCTGCAGGATGGAACAGATGTGGGGGTGGGGCTTACCTACAAGCCTGACCTCCCCATGGGGGAAGGGTTAAAGGCTGGGACCTCCATTGCTCAAATTTAGACCAGCTCCATTTTTTTTTTTTTTTTTTTTGGTTTTTTGAGACAGGGTTTCTCTGTAGCTTTGGAGGCTGTCCTGGAACTCACTTTGTAGACCAGGCTGGCCTCGAACTCACAGAGATCCGCCTGCCTCTGCCTCCCGAGTGCTGGGATTAAAGGCGTGCGCCACCAACGCCCGGCTTAGACCAGCTCCATTATTCTCTTCTGTTTTTGGTTGTGAGCCTAGCCGTTAACAGCTGAGCCATCCCTCCAGCCCCCATTATTCTCTATGTACAAAATGCTCCTTGAAGGGATGGGGTAACACTCTGCCAGGAAGTAGGTAGGAGCTTGGGGAAAGGACTGGGTCTCTGGTCTCTGGTCACCCATGTCCATGTCCTTCCCACAGTACCATATTTGTTTGTTTCATTGGAAGCTGAAGGAAAGAAAACATTGACCAGGGTCATTTCCAATGCCTGGCTTAGTCACAGTTGCTCCAGAGTGAAGGATCACAAAGTCAAGGAGGGTTCGTCCTCTCCAGTCAGCCCATAGTCTGCACAGCTCTCAGAGTGAGGTCAGGCCCCTCTTCTTTGTGTGAGTCCTGGGAGGCTGGCAGGGCCTGGCAATGGGTCATCCCAAACCTGCTGTGACTACAATCTTCCCCACTGAGAAAAAAGCAGCCAAATAGAACTGTTTTACACTCTCTCTCTTTAAAGATTTACTATGTATACAGTGATCTGTCTGCACACCAGAAGAGTGCACCAGATCTCATTATGGATGGTTGAGAGCCACCATGTGGTTGCTGGGAATTGAACTCAGCAGCTCTGGAAGAGCAGCCAGTGCTCTTAACCTCTGAGCCGTCTCTCCAACCCCTTCCCCCTCTTTCTTTTTTTAAAAGCCATGTGTAAAAACCATTGAAATAGTACAAAGTATGTTGCAAAGCTAAGTCCCAGTTCATGCACACTCCTGGGACTTCGCCTCGTCAGTGTCTCTCCTGCTTGCTGCTGCTCCGTGAACACGCAAACAGGGACGAGCATCGTACCATATAGCGGTGGTCGGGGCACATACAGATGGGAGTGCAAGTTCCAAACAGCCACAGGTCCCATTAGCCAGCACGATTCCTTCAGCCCCGGAAAGAATTCTCTTAGCATTCTTTTTCTCTTTCCTGTTTGGTCATGGATTGAAAACTGAGGCCTCGCTGGAAAGTTGAGGTGATCAATCAGGTCTCACTGAATTTTCTGACTTTCTCTCCCACTTGTTTGTTTGTGCGGGATCACACGCGCGTGCCACATACTTGTAAAGGTCAGGGGGCAAGTTAGGGGATTGGCTCTCTCGGCTCGTCAGGGTTAGTGGTAAGTACCTTTACCCACCGAGCCATCTTGCCGGCCCATTGCTTTGCTTGTGCCCCCTCCTTCTCAATTTATATATATTTATTTATTGTGTGTGTGTGTGTGTGTGTGTGTGTGTGCGTGTGCGTGCACGTGTGCATGTGTGTGCACACTCACATGTTCCCACCAAGGTCAGAAGAGGGTGTCAGATCCTCTGGAACTGGATTACAGGTGCGTGCGAGTCATCAAACATGGGTGCTGGGAAATGAACTCAGGTCCTCTGCACAGCACCAAGTACTCTCAGCCGCCGAGGCTTCTCTCTAGCTCCTTTTGCATGGGGCCTGGCTGCAGAGCTGACATCCGCCTGGGTGTTAGAGGCTCTGCTGTTTACTGACGTGCCGCTTTCTTGATTCCAATACTGCAAGTTGGAGATTGTGACTCTGTTTTTTTTTTTTTTCTCTCTCTCTCTCCTTTAAGTTCCTCCAGAGGGGTTACAGAGATGGCTCTTTAAGTTCCTCCAGAGGACCAAGGTTCAATTCCCAGCACCCACAGGGTGGCTCACAACTAACTCAAGTTTCAGGGGATCTGACACCCTCACACAGACATACATACAGGCAAAATACCAGTGCACACAAAATAAAAAATAAATGAATCATTTTTTAAGAAGTTTCTCGAGAGAAACCCATTAAGTGGACAGACAGGTGGTGGATCAATATCGCTCTGGCTCCAATGTGACTTGGTAGAGGCCACTTGATGCTCTGCTGGAGTAGCCCCCAAGGCCTTGGGATGCCAAGGCTCGCTGCCCTCATTCCCCTTTTCCACTCTCTTTCACAGGCTATCCTGATCACATGGACAAAGCGGTTCAAAGCCAGTGGTGTGGAAGGGACAGATGTGGTCAAGCTGCTGAATAAAGCCATTAAGAAGCGAGGGGTAATTTCTCTTGGGTTCTGCAGAATCTGGTATGGGGGGAGGGGCGCAGAGATCTCCATCTTAAAATGACTCCCCCCTCATGTTGCCGGGAGGGGAGGGGCACAGAAGGTGCTATGGCTTGAACACCCTGACAGGGGACAAGTGAGAATCCCAGCCCAGGGGGGTAGGTCAGATGGGAACTCTCAGCAATGCCCCCCAAAGGTGGCCTGCAGCGGAAACCCCCCAGCTGTAATCTTACAGTTCCCATAACGCAATCACTACTCTGTAATCCAGTTAACTGAGTCTAGGCTGCAGTGAAGCCTGTGCCACCTACTGCCTTGGTGGCAATTGAGACTATGAACACGCCTGCCAAGCTTACCTCTGAGGCTGGGATTTCTGCACCCATGTGGGAGCTGATGGTGACATTCTCTCATTATTGGTCCCCAGGACTATGACGCTAACATTGTAGCTGTGGTGAATGACACAGTCGGGACCATGATGACCTGTGGCTACGATGACCAGCAGTGTGAAGTTGGCCTGATCATTGGTAGGGTGACCCCTGAGCTCCGTCCTTTGATCAGCCAATGAGGCGCCCTGCCCTTCCCTGTGTGGTCACAGCTTCCCACACTGTCTCTCCCAGGTACTGGCACCAATGCTTGCTACATGGAGGAACTGCGACACATCGACCTGGTGGAAGGTGACGAGGGGAGGATGTGCATTAACACAGAGTGGGGAGCCTTTGGGGACGATGGGTCCCTGGAAGACATCCGAACGGAGTTTGACAGAGAGTTAGACCGGGGGTCCCTCAACCCTGGGAAGCAGTTGTGAGTAGACTTTCTCTTCTAGCTACATATCTGACTTACGAAGCACTTAGCAAAAGACTGGGGGGCGGGGTAAGTGGGACCGCCATAAAGTCAGGTGGTCACAAATGCCATCGCCCATTGGATTTTTCTTTTGTCTCACTGGGTGTGGTCCCCAGGGCCAGCTGGCATGGTAGGCAAATACTCTACCACTGAGCCACATCTTCAGCCTTTAAACTGTTCTTTACTTTGAAAGAGAGGCTTATTAAGTTGCCTAGGTTGGCCTTGAACTTACAATCCTCCAGGCTCAGCCTCCTGAGTAGCTGAGGTGACAGGCTTGCACTATCAACCTGCCCTCTCCTTCAGATATGCATGATTGGAGTTCACGAGGAGTTCACACCTTTAAAGGCAAGATGGCTTAGTGGATAAAGGTGCTTAGTGTGTAAGCCTTGGACTTGAATCGGAGACCTGGAGCCCACGTAAAGGTAGAAGGAGAGAACCACCGCCTGGAAGTTGCTCTCTAATCCCCCTGTGTGAACCCATGCACGCACACACACACAATATCTCTGCCTGCATGCCATAAACTGGGCGCAGTGGCACATCCCATCATCAGGAGGTGGTAGAAGAGGTTCAGACGTTCAAGGCCACCCTGTGCTATACAGGTATGTTCAAGGACAGCCTAGGCTGCGTGAGACCCCCATCTCAAATGAACATATAGATAGCGTAGGAAGTGCCAGGCACAGGCAAGAAGGTCATAAGCACTCAGCCAATCGCAAGCCGGATCTCATGGTCAGGACCTCTATGAACACATGTCCTCTGCAGAGGAAATGGAGTCCTAGACAGGCACAGTGGCAACAGAACTGATGTGAAGCCTGGCAGTCAGGCTCCGCTTGCCTTCCAGCTCAGGGATTCCAGCCGAGGCTCCGCAGGGCTCTTCCCGCAGGAGCCCGGACAGTAGCCGAACAGCTAGGCCACCACAGAGGGAGCATCCATTCTCTGGAGCTGGGTGGGCCTGCCTGGGCCTGTCAGGAACAGGGAACAATGAAGACTGTGTTTGGAAGGAGGCTGTGTGCTGTGCTGACAGGCCGTAGCTGGGCGCTCGAGGGCCCAGCCGCATCTTTGGCTGCTGGATGGCACTGACGAGAACAGATTGTTTTGTTGTATCACTGCCAGCTCTGGGGGTGCCAGCTAGCCAGCCAACCAGCCGCCCTCAAGAGGAGTCCCCTGATCTGCTTGGCTTAGGGGCTCCTTCCCGTCCCCGACCAGCCATACTTGGGTCTGAATCTGACTCAAATATGGTATTAAGCCCCAGTAGCCCTCAGACTGAGTCTTTGGCTTGGCCTGTGTTAGTTTCCATCCACAGGCTCCCCTATGGTGCTTGGACCAGAGAGGCTGCTTCAGATATGGAATCACATCTCACAAGCACATTCGCTGTGGGATTGGTCCATTCCTGAGTTTGGTCAGAGCAGTGGGTGAGCTGATTGGCCTTCACTACTTAAGACCCACCCCTGGATGTCAGGATGAGGCCAGTGGGGAAGGAGCGTGCATTTCTCAATGGCAATCATGCGAGGGGCTGGAGATGTAGCAATGCTGGCACAGTGTTTGCCTAACATGCACACAGCCCTGAGTCAGAACCTTGGTACTGTATAAACCAGACCTCATAGCACACGCCCGTAATCCCATCCCTCAAGAAGTGCAGACAGGAGAATTGGAAGTTCAAGGTCATCCTTTGCTGTAGACCAGGCTGGCTTTGTGAGAATTTGTCTCAAAAACAAAACAAACCATCAAACATAGAGACAGACTTCTGAGTTGATTGATCTGAGCTACATACCAGCTCTGGCCTCAGCTGAGTTCCAAACCCAGATCTGCTGTTGCTGTTCTTCCACGAACAGGTGTATTGACCTCTCTGAGCTTTCAACTTCTCCATGGTAGAATGGTCCTTGGGCCCCCTGTTGTTGGAAGCTTCTGGGCAATGTGAACTGAGGTCCTTAGTGCAGCGGTCCCTGACACCTGTCATCTCCATCTTCCTCATCGTCTTCACCGTCATTAAGCACCAAGGCTGTACTCAACAAATGCACCGGGGCTGGGGAGATGGATCAGCAGTTAAGAGAGTACACTGTTCTTGCAGAGGACCTGAGTTCAGGCCCCAAGATCCGTGCCAGGAAGCTCAAAACTACCCGTTGTGGGCACATATACTTCGGCACACAGACAACACATAATGTATATGCGTATGCATATGTGTATTAAATATATTGGGTTTTCAAGATCAGGTTTCTCTGGTACCTTTGGTGCTTGTCTTGGCAGTCACTCTGTAGACCAGGCTGGCTTCAAACTCACAGCGATCCACCTGCCTTTGCCTCTTGGAGTGTTGGGATTAAAGGCGTGCACCACTCCCCCCAACTATTAATGATTTTTTAAAAGTTATCTTATCAAAAACCAAACAAATGCACAAATAGCCTTTTTCCCTGTGAAGAACAGCTCCCCCACCTTCCTAAAGAAGCTGATTTTCCTCTTTTGAGCTGGGCACTTCCTGGCTGCCTTCATGTGATAAAGTACTAGGAATGAGAGCCCTGTGGAAGGCACCTCACGCAGTGGTGTAAAAGGTGACCCTTTCATTTGTGTGGGGTCCTTCTCACCTGCCACCTCTACTCTAAATCCCAATGTCCCCTACTTCCGGGCAGCCAGCCTTCCTCGCCTGGCCTGTGCCTGCCTGGCAGCATCCTCCTGGTGGCCACCCTGTCTAGAGTCAGCGTCCGTCCGTCCTTCCGTCCGTCCGTCCGTCCGTCCGTCCCTTGTTGAATCACACACGTGACCTTGCCTACCGACGGAGACTGGGAGCTTGAGAGATGCAGTGGTCCCCTCTGCTTTTCTGCTGTTCCCTCCTTGAATGCTGACCCCAGCGTTGGGACAGAGGGAACTTAAAGATGCCTATGGGGTTCCCTCCCTCCTGCAGGTTCGAGAAGATGGTCAGTGGCATGTACATGGGGGAGCTGGTCCGGCTGATCCTGGTGAAGATGGCCAAGGAAGGCCTCTTGTTTGAAGGGCGCATCACTCCAGAGCTGCTCACGAGGGGCAAGTTCAACACTAGTGACGTGTCAGCCATTGAAAAGTAGGTACCATCTGGGAGAAAGGCGGAGGCCTGCTAACTCTTGAGACTAAGTGCCGGGGGCAGCTTTTCTCCAGGGACCGGGCTGTCTGGATCCCCTCACCCTCACACAACCTCTCCAGCTGGTTTCCCTGCACGATCTTTCTGGTGCAGTCTTTCAAGAAACACCCTAGAGGGCTGGAGAGATGGCTGAGCAGGTTCAGTCCCCAGCACCCACATGGCAGCTCACAATCATCTGTCTCCAGGAGACCAACTTCTGGCCTCTGCAGGCACCAGGCATGCGTGTGGTGCACCAAAACACCCACAGACATAAAAAGCAAATGAATCTTAAAAAGAAAAATAACTTAGGACAGTGTTTTATGGATGATTTTCTTGTCTAGTTTCAAAATCAGTGCCCTCTTCCTCACCCTCACACACCACCCACAAGCACACACACATCCACTACACACACACACCTCACTCACCGTGTTCACCCTCATCCCATCCGCTCTGGGTAAGATTTAGGTCAAGGAAACTGATGATTTCAGTGTTGAGCAAGAGACTGACCAAACCTAGGCCTGGATTCTTTGGAATTCCCTCTTGGGAACCTAGAGGCTTCCAGTCAATGACTGGATGGTTCTGGGGGAATACTAGTTTATAGTATTCATTAACTAGAATACTAAAGAAACCTGATCACTGTGATTAACCCAACATTCCCCAAAACTTATTTGGAGCCCAAACCACCTCCCTGCTTCTACGTGTCCTCAGACAATGCCTGTGGACAGCCATGCTCCCTAAAATTCAGATTTAGGAAATACTGGCTATAATAGGTAGATATAAAAGGAGAAAGTTCAGGCAGTATCCTGCCCTCTACCGTCTGGCATCCTGTAATGCTCAGAATCCACTGTCTTGCTGCAGGCACAGGCCTGCATACTGAGAGGCTCACAGTACGGTGCGGTCCAGGAATACCACGTCTAAAGGATGCCTGTGCTGTGCACAGCTTCTGTGTCCATGGGGTTCGGGAGGCTTCGTGGAGCCATGGAAGGCCATTGGCAAAGACACGAGGCCACTTGCTGCTCCAGGCCATCTGACCCCACATGATCTACCTGCACTGTGCCCGCACTGGTCCTGGAAACTTAGATCATGCCAGTGGAGCTTTGCTTTGGCTCTGACAGTTTAAGGATAGCTGTCTCTGTGGCTAAAGAAAGAGGCTGCCGGGAGGGTGAGAGCTTTCCCGGGCTCTTGCTGCGTAAGCCGTGTCTTGGCGTTTGTCATGGGGTCATTCATTCTCTTTCGGCCCAGTCCTCGGATTCCATGTGTGTGCTGTAACTGGTGAAGTCTATGCAGAAGTGCCTGCCTTATTCATCTTGGCCTGTTTCTCCCATTGGTCTTTGGTTACTAAGAACCAATGAGATGGGGGGGGGGGGAAGGGATGATTTTTTTTTTAAAGACTAACCAAGTACAATAACAACAAATCTATACAGTGCCTCTGAATGAAATGAAACCATTAGAATTTTACAGAAAACACCAGGACATGTGTGTAAGCAGCTCAGGTCCTCCATGAGGGGAGGCTCTCCCCCTTCCCTGTGAGCGTTAACCCCCGGCGGCAGAAACAGCTCTTTCTCTCCGCTTGCTCACAGTCCATGTGTGCCGTTAGCCCTCTCCCAAGCCCGGCATGACATGCCCGGCCTGGCAGTGTTTCCACCAGTCATATTTCTTCTGCAAGAGCACCCACCCCAGGCATCTCACAGAGCTACGGCCATGCCAGGCTGCATGGTGGGATCTGCTATCCCCAGCTTTGCCTCCCAACTCGGGCGCTTGCCCTCCACAGCCTGCATGGTCCCGAACTCAAAGTCTGGCCTCTCGTCACCTCACAGGAATAAGGAAGGCATTCACAATGCCAAGGAAATCTTAACCCGCTTGGGAGTGGAGCCATCTGACGATGACTGTGTTTCGGTCCAGCACATATGCACCATCGTCTCCTTCCGCTCAGCCAACCTAGTGGCTGCCACGCTCGGGGCCATCTTGAACCGCCTGCGTGACAACAAGGGCACAGCCAGGCTTCGGACCACAGTTGGTGTGGACGGTTCTCTCTACAAGATGCACCCACAGTGAGTCCACCCTGTGTGTCAGCTCCCTCATCCGAGTGAGACCAAGGCCCTCCCCCAGAGGGCAGATGTGTGTACCCAGGGCCCGGTTCTGGGGAGCAAGGCTAAGTAAGAGTTGCCTCATTTGGGACACCTTGCCCTCAGTGCACCCGTCCATGTTGCTTCTGCAGGTCCTTTTTGGTCTCTTATTTCCCAAGGTGAGATAGAGGTATCTCCAGAAGGAATGAGAGGTGTGGTGTGTCCGCAGCCTGGCTGCATTTACCCAGAGGGACTTCATCCCCATTAGAACTGGAACTTGGGCTGGACACTGTGGTTTAGTCTCAGCACTCCAGAGGCAGAGGCAGGTGAATCTCTCTGTATTTGATGCCAAGTGTGGTCTACAAAGCAAGTTCCAGGACAGTCAAGCTACATGGAGAAACCCTGTCTTAAAAACAAAACAAAACAGCTGGAATTTGGTGGTAGGAGTAGTGGCAGTATTTTTTGTTTTGTTTTTGATTTTTTTTTTTTTTTTTGAGACAGGGTCTCATGTAGCCTAGACTATCAAACTGGTGATGTAGCAAAGGCTGGCCTTGAGCTCCTGATCCTCTGGCCTCTGCCTCCAGAATGCTATTATAGGTGTGTGCTGCCAAGACTGGTGGCATCCATGTTCTTGTTTTAGAAGCTTCTGGTAAAAATCCACCAGCCCCTCAGACCCTGCCGCTTTAAACAGGCACATGCCCGCTCTTGGCTTTTGAGAGCCAGAGGTAGAGTAGTGAGAAGAAATCTCTCCAGAGCGGGCGAGCCTTCCTATTGAGGTGCCTTCTTGCCTGCTGACCACTCTGGCCCATCTGAGCATCAAGGATCTCCCTGGACATTGAAAACGTGCTAGAGACTTTTTAAATGGCTGAAAGTAAATTCTGAGTCTTCGCGGAGTTTTTGCAACATCTGCCTGTGGTGTGGTTTTTGTGTGAGTGTAGTACCTAAGCTCCTTCACGCGTTTGTGTCGCCCACTCGCAGACTCTCAGCCTCAAGGATGCTTGCACAAATGCTGCTTTGGGTTGAAGTAGCTCTTGGGTGCTGAGGGGCAAGCGTGCTAGGCTCGTCAGGCGATGCTCCCTTCCAAGTTCACAATTTTGTTATTTTTCATATTTTAAAAATATTTAAATAGAAAACTATGCCATTCTTTTTGTTTGTTTGTTTGTTTGTAGACAGGGTTTCTCTGTAGCTTTGGAGTCTGTCCTGGTACTCGCTCTGTAGACCAGGCTGGCCTCGAACTCACAGGGAGTCATTCTTAGTCCATTCCTTGGAAGGCGATGTCTGCTAGTATTTTGGGAAAAGGGCTTTTCCTGATTCCTTTGGCAGACAGCCTTATACAGCAGGACCACAAGTTCTGTGTCTCACGAGGGCCTAAGCTTTTCTTCTGGGGAGGAAGGGAAGAGCCAAGTGAAAATAAAAACAAAACACAAGAGGGGTTATTGAGCCCTGCCTCATGGCCAGTTCCTTATGACAGCTCCTCACTGAACCCATTTATTTCTCAGCATTCTGTGCCTTCAGGCATTGATCTCCATTGAGTTCAAGGTCAATACTGGCTCAAGGTCACTTGCCACTGCAGCAGTGGGCGCTCGCTCCCCCTTGTTCTCAGATGGAAGCATTTGCCTTTGCTCCCCCCCACACACTTTTTGATCATTTGAAACAAAGTCTTTCTGTGTAGCCCAGGCTGGCCTGGAATTGACTATGTAGCCCAGGCTGGCCTGGAATTGACTATGTAGCCCAGGCTGGTCTGGAGCTAGTGGTAGTCCTCCTGCTTCACACAAGATGGTGTGGACCCTTGAGTTTTTTTCATAGGTAATACTCATAAAATAATAAGTCCTCCCTTTTGTTATTCTTGTTGCTATAAGCAGTTTTGGATAATCTCCTGTGGGTGTGCATGTGGGGTGTGTATGTATGTGGGGCGTGTCTGTGTGTCTGTGTCTGTATGTGGGGTGTGGGGGTGTGTATGTGTGTGGGGGTGTGTGTGTGTGTGTCTGTATGTATGTGGGGCGTGTCTGTGTATGTATGTGGGGTGTGGGGGGTGTGTGGGATGTAAAGAAACAGCAATAGTAGAGAATGGAATTAAGGCGTGCTGACTGGAGAGTTACCAGACGTCCCCAACAAGTAGCTTCCACCTTCTCCCTCAGGTATTCCCGGCGTTTCCACAAGACCCTGAGGCGCCTGGTGCCTGACTCCGATGTGCGTTTCCTCCTCTCAGAGAGTGGCAGTGGCAAGGGTGCTGCCATGGTGACCGCAGTGGCCTACCGCCTGGCCGAGCAGCACCGGCAGATTGAGGAAACCCTGGCCAACTTCCGTCTCTCCAAGGAGACCCTGATGGAGGTGAAGAAAAGGATGCGGACTGAGATGGAAACAGGGCTGAAGAAGGAGACACACAGCAAGGCTACCGTCAAGATGCTGCCTTCTTATGTCCGGAGCATCCCGGATGGATCCGGTGAGGGCTTGTTGGGACTGCCACACCTCTGTCCCAGGAACAGAGGGACTGGGTACAGGACATTTTGGACTCTCCCAAGGATGCTTTTGCACTGGTTATGTCTAATTTGACAATGACTGGATTCTTAACCTACCCCAGTGTGTGTGTGTGTGTGTGTGTGTGTGTGTGTGTGTGTGTGTGTGTGTGTGTAGAGAGAGAGAGAGAGAGAGAGAGAGAGAGAGAGAGAGAGAGAGAGAGAGAGAGAGAGATTTGGAGCTTAGAACAATTCAATTCTTCTGGTGGGACCCTCTTTGTAAAACCACTTTTGACTGGAAAATGGGAGTCCAGGCATAGTAGTGCACACCTATAATCTCCGCACTCAGGAGGCTCTGGAGTTTGAGGCCAGCCTCAGCTACATGAGACAGACCAACAGAAGAACACACACAGTCCTCTCCTTTTTAAGTACTAGTATGTGTGAAGAAGGCAGGTTTGGGGCTTTGTTTCCCAGGTAGGTTGGAGAAGCATCCTGTTCCTCACTAAGGCTAGATTCTGTGGCAATACTGAAGAGATTTTTGAGTGGATCCTCAGAATAATGACTGGGATAGAAAACTCATCTTACAGATAGGTTTTTTTATTGCTTTACTATAAACCACTCCCAATTTTAGTGGCATACATCAAGTACCATTCACTAGTGGCCACAGGCAATTCTGTTCATCCAGGCGAGGCTCTGCTGGTCTCTGCTGGGAGTCAACGCAGAGGCTAACCTCAACCTTTTCTGGATACCCAGGGTCACAGTGGCTGGCCATGGCTTTCCCACTAGTGGGTCACTGAGCTCTACAACTGGGTAGAAGCAGGATCTGGAAGCCAAGGCTAGGACTGGCTTAGCTTTTCACATGCCACACCCCTTGGGCCCCAGAACTCCAAAAGAAGAGAAATAGGTTCCTCCAATTTTCAGTTGCAAGAACTGTATACCCACATTGCAAAGAGGGAAGGAGGGCTCTGGCCACTTTTAGATTGCATACATTGTTACAAATAATGTGTATTTTTATATGAGGGTCACTAAAGTCAAGATATTGTTGTTGGGCTTTGAAGTAACCCTGGTTAGTTCACTTCCTGGGGCCACCCTTCTGATGCCAGCCCAGCTTGTGACTCAAGAGTCTCTCTCTCCTTTGAGACCTTGCTCTATATCTCAGGGAGCATTCATTGCAGTCCCTGAAATTCAGGATGGGTGACAGTTGGAGGTGGGGGTCGGGTACCGGCCACCAAGATGTACTTAGCCATTTGTGGCTTCCTCTGTGTTTCCCCTTGTGACAGAGAATGGTGACTTCTTGGCCTTGGATCTTGGAGGAACCAATTTCCGTGTCCTACTGGTAAAGATCCGCAGTGGGAAGAAGAGAACAGTGGAAATGCATAACAAGATCTACTCCATCCCTGTGGAAATCATGCAGGGTACCGGGGAAGAGGTAAGGCGGACCTGTGTGTGCACACCTATCGAGGGCACGTCACTCACCTGACCAGTGGCATCGGTGGCGCTCATGAGATAACCCATATCTGCCATGGGACAGTGTAGCTGTGTCCCTGGGGCCCTAAAGCATCAGGTCTTTCGTGCTGTGCCTTACCCATGATATTCCAATGGTCGGGGTTCCTAGAGAAAGGGTGTGTGTGTGTTTGCATGCTGAGAGTGAGAAACCAAAGAGAAGCTGGGTAACCCATTTCTTATCTCTTAAAGCTGTTTGACCACATCGTCTCCTGCATCTCCGACTTCCTGGACTACATGGGGATCAAAGGCCCCCGGATGCCTCTGGGTTTCACCTTCTCATTTCCCTGCAAGCAGACGAGCCTGGATTGTGTGAGTCTCCTGCCTGCAGACAGCAGACTTCTGACAGAGCTGACTTCATGTGGCTAGGGTTTTCTCTGACCTCAGTGCTATCCTTAGATGCCTGGGACAGTCTTATATGTCTCATGGTCACCCCCAGGACACCGTAAGACTACTCTCCTGTCATTGTTGAAAGGAGCCATCTTGCCAGGAGGTGGCAGTGCACGCCTTTTATCCCTGCACTCGGGAGGCAGAGACAGGTGGAGCTCTGTGAGTTCGAGGCCAGCCAGGTCTACAGAGCCAGTTCCAGGACAGCCAGAGCTGTTACACAAAGAAACCCTGCCTTGAAAAACCAAAAAAGAAGGAGCCACCTCTTCTGAGAACCTCGGGGCCCTTCTGTTCTCCTGTGCCCTCGGCCGTCACCTTGGTTACAGAACTTTGCACACTTAAGAAGCTCACTAGCTCTTCTTGCCTTCCTCCCCAACCCCACTCCTTTTTTTATCCAACTCCTTTATCCCAGGCTGGCTTCCACCTTAGCCACATGGCCACTCCTAGGGGTCGGTGTGGCAGGCATGCACCACCACACCTGACTTATTTGTGCTGGGATGGAACCCTGAGCTTTGTATAGGCAAGCACTCTGCCAGCGCGCTCATCCTCAGTCCTTAGGGGCTTTCCTTTTGGCTGGTTGTATGGCAAGGAGCTCGATACCTACAGGCCCTGGCACAGTTCTGTGCTAGAATGGACCTTTAGATAAATGCTGAAGCTATAGGGTGAAAGGGTCCCAGATGGGGCTTGGGTATCCACTGGGAACTAACGGGTATGGATGGGTGAAGGTTACTGTTAGGTCTCACTCAGTATCTATGACTCCTCCCAGCACTTCTCGCCCCACCCCCTATCCTAAACATTCCTCCCCCGAGGCTGATCCCTTGTAATTCAGCCATTTTGGCTATACCAGGCTCCTCTTTTGGTTGGTGACTTCTCTCTTGCTCTCCCTCCCCCTCTCCTCTCATGGCCCTGTTTAGTCTGCTGGCCCTGCTCAGCCTGGACTCTTTCTGCTTTCTCCCTCATATCTACAGCAAGAATCATCTCCATACTTTCAGAGTAGTCATGTCCTCCTCCTGATATATTTTTTTTTTCATTCAGTTGCCGTTTCTGTTTTTAGGGATCTCCTGTGCCAGTGCGGGAATCAGAACCCTGTGCCAGGACGGGTCAGGGGTGGGTGGACATATTGGGGGGCAGATGGAGATGATTATACAGAATCCCTGAGGGAGGACATCAGCTGCCCCTGGCTGTAGAAGGGTTACTCACCCAAGCTCTTCTGGTGCTTTTCTTGTTGTAGGGAATCTTGATCACCTGGACAAAGGGTTTCAAGGCCACTGACTGTGTGGGTCATGACGTTGTCACTTTACTGAAGGATGCGATAAAAAGGAGAGAGGTAATTTAATATTTTTTATTTTTTTATGTTGGGAAGGGTTTACAAAAATTAAGCTTGCTTTTTTGGGAAGAATTGGAACACCACAGAAGCATGTAATTTGGGAGTGGTAGAAGCATCCCCCCAAGTCACTGCCAGCATTAAAGTAACATTAAGGGATAATATGGGAGCTGGTAGGATGGTTCCACAGCCTGCCACCAAGTCTTCCCAGAACTTACATGATGGAGGGAGAGAATTAACTCCTGTGGTTTATCTTTTGATCTACAAACATGTGCTGTGGTGTGTGTGCGTACACACAATAAAGAAGTGTGGGGCTGGAGAGATGGCTCAGAGGTTAAGAGTACTGGCTGTTCTTCCAGAGGTTGTGAGTTCGATTCCCAGCGACCACATGGTGGCTCACAACCATCTAACATGAGATCTGGTGCCCTTGCCTGGCATGCAGGCATGTATGCATGCAGACAGAACACTGTACATAATATTAAAAAAGTGTGGAAAGGATGATATAGCCAAAGAGAGGCCAAATGACTCATGGCGATGGAAAAAGAGAAGCAGTTCCTAAGAGCCCATACAGCCAGGTACTGCTGTGGACGTCCTGTTGGCTGGAATAGACTTAGACAGCATTGCTACTCTGTGTCAAAGGACAGAACACAGTCAAGGAGTCAACCCTGGTTCCCAGCAGCATCCAGTCCACAGCATGAGCTAGCAGGATTCAAAGCAGGCCAAGTTAGCCCTTCCCTAGATCCATGTCCCTTTCTCTTCCAAGGAATTTGACCTGGATGTAGTGGCTCTGGTCAACGACACTGTAGGCACCATGATGACCTGTGCATATGAGGAACCCACTTGTGAAATTGGACTCATCGTAGGTAAGCGTCCGGAAGGGGACACTGGCGTTTCCCGGTTTGTAGAGATCTGGCAGCTCAGTTCTTAGTGGGAGACAATTGGTTTACCACCTCTAGAATTCTATACTGGAGGAAGGCTGCAGCATTCCCTTCCCAACATCCCATAATGCCGCTGCACATCAGTTATGATTGAACCGTCTGTCATGTGTGGATGGAGTGGGGTGTCTGAAACCAGCCCGTGTGGAAGAGCCCTGGTGCTGCAGTTTCACAGGCTGAAAAGGGAGCAGAGACCATGTCCTCTCCTGACCGTGGTCTAGCTGGGAAGGGCATCATTCATCAGTCGCCACTGTCTAAATGGCCCCAGCCCTGTAGGTTGTTTCCTTGTGTTCCAAACCTGGCAGAGGCCTGGGCCTCAAGCACATTAAACTGTACGGGTGTCCATGTAATTTATGGACAGTGTGTGCGCAGGAATGCGTGTACCACGCAGTGTGAATGGAGGTCCAAGGACAATGTGGGATGTTGGTCCTCACCTTGTTTGAGATGGATCTCTTGCTTGCCTCCCACCTTGCTGTGTGGGTGATAGGATTGTAGGCACACACTGTCATGCTGAGTGATTGCATGAGTTCTGGGGATTTGAACTCAGCTCCTCACACTTGCTCAGCAAATACTTCACCTGCTGAGCTGTCTTCCTAGCCCAAGACTTTAAATTCTTGAAGCACTTTGACTAGGGTGAGAAAGTCCTTTGACCTAGCATCCAGAAGATGCTAGAAAAATGAAGCACCCTATGTTCATGTTGGCTGGTGTGATATTCAGACTAGCACAAGCAACCTAGGGGGAAAGGGGTTCCTTTTTTGCTCCCAATTCCAGGTTACAAAGTAACAAGAACTTGAAACAGCTCCTGGCATAGTACCCATGTAGAGGGAAATGAATGCATAGGCTTGCTTGTGCTTAATGTGGTTTTGCCCCTCTTACCCAGGTCAAGACCCGAGCCTAGGGGATGGTGCTGCCCACAGTGGGCTGGGTCTTCCATACCAACCCAATGCAGACAATCCCTTATTAAGACTGTCTCCCTAGCTGATTCTAGGTTGTGTCAAGTTGGCAATTAAACATTGCACCCCCCCCCAACACTTCCTTCGTCACCAACATCTGCAACTACTACCTTGGACAGCGTGAAATGTCACCCCGGCAGTCTCAGGACCATTTCCAGTGTCCAGGGGTTGGGATGGGGCTCTCAGGCTGCCCTCTATGCCAGGAAAGCTTTTGTATGTTATTAAGCATCTTCAAGCGACTGCTGTTAAGACAGAAAATCTGGAAGCATGTCCAAATGGAAGGTGTTTGGCATCTGCCCCTGAGACTTTTATTTATTCCTTCCTTTTGGCAAAGCTTTCTCTATCCAGCCCTGCCCAGCCCTTTGCATGTGAATGGGCTTAGGTGAGACCTGCAAAGCCAGAGTGACTGCATATTTTCTTCCAGGCCAGGCCTCACCTTCCTGCCTGGGGGAGCTCAAGCCTGTCCAGGTCAGCACAGACTATGAGCAGCTGGTGCCACGACCTAGCTAGTTCTTGCCATCGTCAATAGCTCTGTTTGCTCAGAATTCTCATGGCTAAGAAATGCAGTTTACACAGTTTGGCTTTCTCTGCATCTTCTATTTCTGGGCTCCTTTTTTCTTTTATACTTTGGGTAGAAAGGAACTGAGAAAACAGTAACAATCCAGAGGAATGGAGCGTCTTGGGAATTCTGCTTAAGTGTTTGGTCTGGCCATCGAGGAGTGGGGGCATACCCTTGAAGTAGGTGACAGCTGCCTCCTCCCTGAGGGCTCTGCTACAGTGTGTGCAGTTTGTAGACTGCAGCATCTCCCCTAACCTTAATCCAGACCCCTTGAGTCAAGATCGAATGAAAATGAGGACACAGCCACTCCAGGGTATGGTTGAGGTGGTTTGTGTTGTAGATATGAGGGAGAGTCCAGACTGAACATGGCCAGCAGCATGGAAGAGAGACAGGATGCTAAAATGAGCCAAGACATCTGGGACCCAAGAGGCCAAGAGAGGAACCAGCAGCCAAGAGAGCATAGGGGTCGGGGGCAGGGTGAATGGGGGCAAAATGGCTTAAGTTACAAAGGAAAAGTAAAGCTGGAGAAGGGAACCCAGGGCTAGGGTAGGGGGCGGAGTGAGATGTGTGGGAGGAGCCACCAGTACTGGGTGAGACTCCTTTCAGGTTCCCATGGAACCTAACCAAGATCTTCATGAACACGAGCATCTTTAGGAAGGTCTCCTTGCCTGAGTGTGCAGTAAGACAAGTCTAGGGAGCTCAGCCTGAGGCTGTGACATTAAAGCTGCTGTGAGGACTAGCCAGATAGACCTCAGTGGGTAAAGGCACCTGCTGGCCTGGGTCTGATTCTCAGGTTCGCTCCACAGTAGAAAGAGAACTGGCTTCTACAAGTTGAACTCAGACTCTACCCATGCGCAGGCCCATACATGTGTTACACATACAGTTTGAAAATAACAAACTTCTGTGAAAGTATATCTCCCCAGTTTGTTTACACGGCCCCTTGTGGGCTAAAAACTGCAATGGTGCTCCTTCCCCTGGGTCCTGAGGGATACCAAGTAAGACATGCTCTAGGGAGTTCAAGAATGGAGACCAGAGGCCTGGAAAACCAGAATGCCCTGGGAACCACACACCACCCAGAGGAATACTTCTCATCTCAGAAGCAGCAGACATTCTATGAGGTTCATGTCCCAGCTGCCTTTATGTCAACTTGACAAGTTAGAGTCGGCAGAGAGGAGGGAGCCTCATTGAGAAAATGTCCCCACAAGATGGGGCTGCAGGCAAGCCTGGAGGGCATTTTCTTAATTAGTGATTGAGGGGGGAGGACTCCACACATGTACATGCACCGAGGGCTGGGGATGTAGCCCAGATGGCAGAGTGCCACTGAGTGCAACCAGCCCTCTTCCTCCGAGGCTCAGGGGTCCTTATGGAACAGGGGGCAGGATACCGTAAGAGCCAGAGGTGGCTAGCTGCTGTAGAAAAACAGTCTTGTACACACAAACTCCAAGATGCTCACTGTAGGCAAAAGGCCTGCGCAAGATTGAGGCCTGCACAAGGCAGACAAAAATCCCGGCGTGCATGGGGCGGGTGTCCTGAATGCCACCCTAGCTGAGAAATCAATAGCTACTTTGGAAGGAGGGTCACTTCTGTTGTCCCTGAGAGGTTCCCAATGCTCTATAGATGGCCCTGCCCTAAGATCCATGCGGGCAGCACTACCTGGGTTCAGTAGGTATTTGGGGGGGCATGGAGTTGGGAGGAAAGAGTGGTACAGGATAGGGGGAATTGGTGGGGAGGGGGTACGGCTTATTTAACTCAAGTGTGTGCATATATGAATATTAAATTTTTAAGCGCCCCCCCCTATCTTACATCAGCGCTTACATCCAGGTGTGATGTCCCCTTGGTGTGGGCCCCTCACTGACCTCCGCCCCTGTGTCTTAGGGACTGGCAGCAATGCCTGCTACATGGAGGAGATGAGGAACGTAGAGATGGTGGAGGGGACCCAGGGCCAGATGTGCATCAACATGGAGTGGGGCGCCTTTGGCGACAACGGCTGTCTGGACGACATCAGAACAGACTTCGACAGAGTGGTGGACGAGTATTCACTGAACTCCGGGAAGCAAAGGTAACCAACCCACAGAGCAAGCGCCACACTTGGGGTGATGAGGCTGGCTGAGTTCTGCTGCTGCTGTACGGACGTGTTTCCAGTCGGAGGGAGGCTGCAGGGGCTTGCAAAGCCATCCCTCTGGTATTACACTAACCTTGGGCTTTTGATTCTTGGCATGGTGCAGGATAATTCCCAACAGTGATGGTGACAGTGGACCGTGCCCCCAGGGGGTCTCAAAGAGTTAAGCCAAGCCCTGTTTGTTCCCTAGCCTGAATGAGGTGGATGCCCTTCCCACTTGCAAGCTCCTGTGCCCCCTAGTGGTTGCTTAACGTTTTTGCACCTGAGGTCACAGATTGGTTCTGAAATGGTTTCATCCACCCAGTCTTCCAAGAATCAGGATATTCAATGACCAAGACAAACTGGTCCAAGTCATGGCCTTTGGAAACAAACTGGCTCCAGCTTAACCTTGAAAGCGTTGTGGCCCACCCGACTTTCCCCTACTTTGTGCTTGATCAGTATTTTGGTTGATGGCAAAAACCATCCAAAAAACACAAAGAACTCTCTCTATTGTTCATTTAAAACTCAGCTATTTGCTTAGTCTGAAACTGTTCCGAATACCTCGGTGAGGGCCTTGTACTGTGTTGGGCTGTGACCTCACTGAGACTCCCACTCACTCCCTGTCTTCTCCGGGCCATCAGTCATTGTGTAAGGGAGCCCGTGTGTGTGTGCTGTCCAAGGGTGGCTGTGAGAGAGCCTGGAACAGGTGAGAGCCAGTCTGGGCCAGACTTCTCGTGACTAACAGAGTAGGATGGGGCCAGGCAAAGACAAAGTTGTCTCTGGGGAGGAGGCCACCTAGCACAGTTTCTGTGACTGCTGAAGGAATTCCTGTGGGGAGGGTGGAAGGCTTTCTCGGTCCCTCTCTGCCTGTGTGGGGACACACAGAGCAGGCATGTGACGGTGGTCGGCATGCCCTGGATGGGCAGCCATAGATCCGGAGCGACAGATGGACCGTGGGCGCGGGGTTCCCCTTACTTAGCCGCCTCCCCTCTTGACTTAGGTTTGAAAAGATGATCAGCGGGATGTACCTGGGGGAGATCGTCCGCAACATCCTCATCGACTTCACCAGGAAAGGGTTCCTCTTCCGGGGACAGATCTCTGAGCCACTCAAGACTCGAGGCATCTTTGAGACCAAGTTTCTCTCTCAGATTGAGAGGTGAGGAGGGAGGGGCTTTGACCACCATTTTCCTCTCTGTGAATCTATTCTAGGTGCCTCGTGTAAGCAGGATGCACAGTAGGAATGCATTCGAGTTTAGAGTACTTCACTTAGCATGGTGTTAAGGTTCATCCTTGTTGTATCCTCCCTTTGTAGGCCTGAGTAATATTCCATTGGATGCGCCCACCACGCAATGTTTTTAACTACTTCTGTTGGGCAACTCGGGCTATTTCCACCTTTGGGCCGTTCTGAAGGAGGCTATGAACGTGGGGGCAGCAAATACTTTTATCTCTCTCATGGACTTGCTGGATCCCTATGATAATTCCATTTTAAATTTCCTGACGAACCTCCATATTGGTTTCCAAAATGGCCAGTTCGCAAAGGAAGAAACAAAACAGAGCTACATAGTTTCTCTAAGGTCTTTTCAGGGTTAGTGTTTGGGAGAAGGAGGCGAAGAGCATTGGGGAAGACATTTGCTTCGCATGTGACAAGAGGCCACAGCATGGCTCAGGGTGGGGCTGGGGGCACTTCTGACCCTGAGACCGACCCTGACTTGTGTGCCTCAGTTTCCCTGGGCCCATTCCCTCCTCCTTAAAATGGGAACAATGAAAACCTGGGTGTAGTGGTGCAGGTTAGAGGGCCAGCTATATAGTAAATCTGGGGTCAGCCTGGGCTATCTGAGGTCGTGATTGTTTGTATACATGCAGTGCATATAAAATGCATATCGTGTAAGTGCTTGGGAAAGGCCAGCCATTCTTAGCTCTTTCAATTTGCTGAGAGAAAAGCAAGCCTTGGGACACACTAGGTAGTTAATATGACCATTAGTCAAGGGAACAAAGGCCACCTTTGCAGTGGATTGCAAAGTAAGCCACAATGCGGTAAGAGATGGCATTTAAAAAGGAATGTGTGTGTGACTGAGTGTGCTGAGTTATAGGGTACACATGGCAGTCAGGACTTCCTCTTGTGTGAGGCTGGTTTCCCAGCATGCTGCTGTGGGGTGCTTCAGGCTTTTAACATGGTTGCTGGAGTCCATGTTAGTTCATGAGGCTTTCATGACCAGGGCTTTACTCACGGGGCCGCCTCCCAGCCCTGATACTATTCTTAGAAAGTTAGTTTTCAAAGTGATCTTTCCTAGGTGGGCATTGCAGTGAGGTGGTGAGTTTTTAGGTCATCCTGGACAACACTCAATCTCAAGAAAGAGGAGGGAGAGCTGGGCACTGATGGCGCACACCTTTAATCCCAGCACTTGGAAGGCAGAGGCAGGTGGATCTCTGTGAGTTCGAGGCCAGTCTGGTTTACAGAGCGAGTTCCAGGACAGCCTTCAAAGCTACACTGAGAAACCCTGTTTCAAAAAAAAAAGTATTTTCCCTAAGGTATTGGGACTATGAATATGGATAAGCTGTTTTTCAATTTTCCTTTTTCTAGGGTTCCCATATTTCATATTTTAATGAACTCATTAAAAGTTTAAAGCAGTGGTTCTCAACCTTCCTAATGCTGAGACCCTTTAATACAATTCCTTACATTGTGGTGACCCACCCCCCAACCATAAAATTATTGCATTGCTACTTTGTAACTATAATTTTGCTACTATTATGAATGTAATGTAAGTATCTGTATTTTCTAATGCTCTCAGGTGACCCCAGTGTAAGGGTCATCTCAATCCACAGGTTGAGAACCACTGGTCTAAAGAGATGGGCTACAGAGACGGCTCCTTGGTTAAGAGTGTGCACTGCTTTTGCAGAGGACCCAGAGCACCGCCCCGTCGGGCTGCTCATAGCCAGTTCCAGGGAATCTGATACCTGTAACTCGTGCACACACCGACACACACAATTTTTAACTAGGGTGGGAGAGACTTAAGAGGACTTGTGGCTCTTCTAGAGGTCCAGGGTGTGATTCTCAGCGTGCACAACATCCTGTAGCTCCAGATCTAGGGGAATCCGACACCCCCTTCTGGCTTCTCTGGGCATTAGCATACCATGGCATTTACATAGGCACCTACCTTTTCATTTAAAAAGCTAGCTAGAAAGGGAATAAGCCCCCATGTTGTCATTCACAGACCAGCAGAGTGCTTTGGACCAGGCCTTTGCTCCAAGGGTTCGGTGAGCATGCTCCCTCCAACTCGCTGGCTTTTTGTCCTCCGCAGTGACCGATTAGCGCTGCTCCAGGTTCGGGCCATCCTTCAGCAGCTGGGTCTGAACAGCACGTGTGACGACAGTATCCTGGTCAAGACTGTGTGTGGGGTGGTGTCCAAGAGGGCCGCTCAGCTGTGTGGTGCCGGCATGGCTGCTGTGGTGGAGAAGATCCGAGAGAACAGAGGACTAGACCATCTGAACGTGACCGTGGGAGTGGACGGCACGCTCTACAAACTTCATCCACAGTGAGTTTGGCTTCCTCCTGGGATGGAGGGGGAGGACCCTCCCTACTGGTGAGTCCCTTGAGGGTGACAATGTGTCAACACAATTCTTCATGGGGATACAAGAGCCTGAGACCAGTGAAGGGAGTTTGGGGAGCCAGGGACGGGCTCTACTGGGCCAGCTCACACGGGCAAGGTGTGATACTCTCCCTAGTTCACCTGCAGAACAGAAGTCAGTGTAGACCCAGGGCTCTGTGTTGGGGACGGGCTTTTTGTTTTCTGTATGTTCCAAAGCTGGGGTCTTAGGAGCAGTGACCAAGTCTGACCAGAAGCCCTTTTGTATTAGTCAGGGTTCTATAAAGGACAGAACTGATAGAATGAATCTATAGTAAAATAGATGTATCAGAGTGGCTTACAGGCTGTGATACACTAGTCCAAAATGACCACCGCCCAACAGAAAGGCCATGAATCCAATAGCTGTTCAGTCCAGGAGGCTGGAAGTCTTAGCTGGTCTTCAGATCACATCGGAATCCAGTGCCTCGGTAACTGGATAGATGAACTTGCCAGTGAGAGCGAGGGCAAATAGGCACAAGGCAAAAGCTTCCTTCTTCCACGTCCTCTTATGTGAGCTGTCACTAGAGGGTGTGGCCCACGTTCAGGGTGGATCATCACCCCTCGGATAATCCAATCAAGAAAAATCTCAGCCGTGCAGCGCACGCCTTTAATCCCAGTACTCAAAAGGCAGGTGGCTCTCTGTGAGTTCGAGGCCAGCCTGGTCTATAGAGCGAGTTCCAGGACAGCCTCCAAAACAATACAGAGAAACCTTGTCTCAAAAAAAAAAAAAAAAAAAAAAAAAAAAAACCAAAAAGAAAAATCTCACAGATGTGCCCAGACCCTTGGGTTTTAGTTAATTCTGGATGTAGTCAGGATGACAACCAAGATTAGCAATCACCTAAGACCATCCTAACTAAAGCGGGCTACAGTCTGACCCAATGTCCTCAGGACGTTACCCACTTACCTTGAGCTGGTAGCATGGAGCCATCATTTAGAAGCTGTGTCCAGCGGGGATGTGACTCAGTTGGTAGAGCACTTGCCTAGCATGCGAGCAGCTCTGGATTCTATGCCCAGTGCAGCATAAACCAGGCAGTTGAGGGATTCTGAAGCTGCCCTGGACTGTCACACTTCTTTGATTCCAGCTCCTGGCAGGAATAGAAATTATGTGTGTCATAATGCTAGCCCCTAGAGTCACTTCCCTTTATGGGGCTGCTCTCTCCTGCTGTTTGAAGATAAGCTCAGAGTCTTGGCCTGTATCTTTCCAAGCTTCAGAAACCTCTTTCATAGTTTTTTTCAGGTTCCCTAGGGCCACCAAGATCTGAGGTGGGGCCAGGTTACAAGTTGCTGAGTCTGAGGTCTGAATCCATATACCCCTGACCATAAGCCTGCAACTCTCAATAGCTGAGGGTAACCTTGAATTTATGCTCTTCCTGACCTCCACCTCCCCAGTTCTGGGAATCAGATTCAGGGCCTGGGCCTCCTGAATGCTAAGTAGGCAGGGACCCCACCAACTGAACAGCCCAGCCACAACTGACCTCCTCCGTCTCTTGTCTTCTCAGTTTCTCTAGAATCATGCACCAAACTGTGAAGGAGCTGTCACCAAAGTGCACTGTGTCCTTCCTCCTGTCTGAAGATGGCAGTGGCAAGGGGGCTGCCCTCATCACAGCTGTGGGCGTGCGGCTCAGAGATGCCATGACCACCTAAGAGCCAGGATCCTCCCAGCCCCCAGCCCGCTACCCTTCCAGCACTCCCCCATTCCACCCAGCAAGCCCAGCTGGGAGACGGAGCCCCGGAGCCCACAATGCCGCAGGGGGAGGAAGGGGACCGCAGTAACGGAATATAATATAGAATACCACAAAGAGTGCGTGCTGTCGATGACCTCTCGCCTGGACCCCTCAACCCCCACCCTGCCACTCTGCATGATTCAAGTTCGACCCGGCCATGCTTTGCCCATGCGTGAATGTAGTGGCACCAAGTCTACGGCAGACATCTAGCCAGGAAAGAGTCCCTCTCTTGGACCCACCTTCTGGGCCTTCCAAGCCTGTCTTTGGAGTCACCTCCCCTCCGTGTGAAGTGTATTATCACCAGCAGACACTGCCGGACTCCTTCCCACAGGGGCATGGCCTGAAGGGCGGGTGTGGACGTGACGCTGCTGTCTCCTTCCTCTCCCAGCACCTACGCAGAAGCCTGCCATCCTGTCTGGATGTATTGTATCGATGCCACTGAGTTGTGTGTCCGTGGAACCAGTCCTAGTCACGTTATGACAGTCTTGCATTTCGTTTGTCTCGTGGTGGTGGTGGTGATGGCTGGTGGTGGGATAGGTGGGCAATCCTGTGGGCAAACATCTTGTCTCCATCTTAATAGAAGGAACCAACCCACAAAACAACGCCGTCACCGGAATCTCCCATCGCTTTAGTGAGCCTTGTACGACTAGTAAACTTTGTACTGATTCAAAAGCTCAGAGTGGTGTTTCCTGTGGGGGAGGGGAATTTTAGGATGTGGTGACAGCCAGACTAAAGGGTTTTATGGACTCCTGGGCTGGGGAGAAAGTTCAACAGTGGCACAGGTGCCATAATCCCAGCACTTGGGAGGCGGAGGCAGGAGTTCAAGGCCCTTCTTGGCTACATAGTTTCATGCCAGGCTGTTCTACATGACATCCCATCTCAAATGAATCAGTAAAAACGTCTCCAGCCCTGAAGTAGCCTCTGGCCTGATCTCCCAGTACCTGCCTGGTAGTCCCCACACCCTAAGCCCCAACCTCACGGCCTGAAAAAATAAAAGTATGTGTTCTCTTGTTGGGAAACAGTGAACTTGACCTTCTGGGGCTGGCTGAATTTAGGGAGAAGGCAATGTAGTCTTCTGTAACAGGTGTGTTGGGTAGTTGTCAAGGGGTTTTCAAGGTCAGTTCCTTGGACAGACAAAGAATTGAATGCCCAGAAGATAGAAGACCAAACAATGGAGAATAAAAGCAACCACTTTGGGAGAGGGGGGTCCCTAGGACTGGGAGTCTGATCAACTGACTCTGGCTTGGGTGTTCCCCAGAGCTTCTGGGCCTCCCTTCTCCCTGTCGATTCTGTTGAGACGCCCACCCCCATGGCTTCCCCTGGCAGTGTCTTTGGGGGACTTAACTAGAAGATGCCATCTCGGGGAGCCTGCCTTTGTTCCTCTAAGCCCCCATCAGTCCCCCCTTCTCAGAGACTGACAGATGCTGAGAGGGGGCAGAGTCTAGGGGGAGTTGGCCTGTGAGAGGCAGGCTCCTGGGGGCCGGTTCAGGGGCACTGCAGTAAAATTCCAGTAAGCAATGCACCCACGTGCAGAACCACCTATAGGAGCCAAGGGGCTAAAGGAGTGAAGATAACATCAGAAGCTGTTACAGTAAGGTGAATATAGCCCAGCCTAGAGTGGCCATTCCTGAGTGGTGACAATCGGTTGAACAAAATCCAGTTGAGGACAGTGAAGAGAACAGACAGGGTCGGACTCACACGAGGCTCAGGGCCTCCAGTGTCTCTCAGGGGTTGAATCTGCTTTTGGAGAGGCGCTTTCTCCTAAGGTGGGGTCTTGCAAAGGGCTACTTCTTGGTCCTGATGTGATGGATCCAGAGCCCATGCCAGTCACCTTAGCTTCTGGAGGCATTGATAAAATGACAGAAGGGTGCTCCCAACTGGGATTTAGAGAGGGTGTCTCTTTGACTATCTTGACCAGAGAACCAGGTCCCTGGGACACAGTGGGTAAGGTACCATGTCCTCACTCTAGACCTCCTTGTCTCATAGTTCTGAAAGGATTTGCTGGGACTTGATGTGGGTGGTCTGTGTCACCAGATGGTTAATTTCAGGCTTATGAGCAAATCCCTTGAAAGGAAAAGCTTGTCATACAAGGCTTCCAAAGGGACCAGTCACAGTCGTCATTAGCCATCGGAGCTAACTAAGGGTAGCAACTATAAGGGTTCAAGGAGTTTTGCGTTCTTGCACTAATTTAGCAAGGTGCCTTTTTAGTAACACATTTGTTCTTTGTATCTTTCTAGAAGGCTGGGGGTGCCAGGCACAGTGGAGGAGTAAATTATCCCCAAGGCCTAGGAAAGTCCCTGGTAGATTCTGCCTTGGAGGCTGATCATTATCACTGTACACCCTTAGGTACCTTAATCCCAAGAATTATTTCATTTAGAACAGTCATCATGTCCTATACCTTTTCCGCTTTACAAGGAAAGGCTTCGACCCAGCCAGTGAAAGCTTTCACCAGTGCAAGGAAAAGGTAGGACTTTGTTCCCTCTGCCAGTGAGTAAAACCTATCCATCAGTCCTCTTCTGCGCACCAGCGGGGGACAGATCAGAATGGCCTTTTGGTGTCTCTCATCTCTGAACCATTGAATGATAACACCTGATATTCCCTTCCCCATAAACATTTTACCTAGCTAGTCGGAGTTTTCCCACCCTGGATTTTAGAATCCCCCATTGTAAGGATCCAGACAGCCATACATGGCTATTATGGGCAACTCACTCCCCACCCCCAAATCCACAGTGGTCCAGGGTACAGGCATCCTCCATTGTAGGGACGGTATAGCATGTCCTCATAGTAGTTGGAGGGAAGGAGTCTTCCCATAGGAATATGTCTTAGTTACTACTGTTGTGGTGAAACACCATGACCAAAAGCAACTTGGGAGGAAGGGATCATTTGGCTTATGTACCTGAATCACAGTCCATTGAGAGAAGTCAAGGCAGGAACTCAAATCAGGGTGGAGGCAGGCGCTAATACGCAAGCCACAGAGGTGTGCTAGTTACTGGCTCGCTCATGGCTTGCTCAGCCTGCTTTCTTATAGAAGTCAGGCCCACCAGCCCAGGGATAGCACCTCCCACAATGGGCTGGACCCTCCCCCATCAATCAAAGAAACCGTTCTGCAGACTTGCCTACAGCTAGATTTTCTGGAGGTGTCCTCTCAATTGAGGCTCCCTCCTCTCAGATGACTCTAGCTATGTCAAGCTGACATAAAACTAGCCATCTCAGAGGAGCAGTCCTGGTCTCCATGCAACTGTGTTAGGAGCAGTACCTGCCGGCTTGGTGGCTACCAGAGGTCATCGGGTCCTCTTCCTTTTGATGTCTCTGGCAGTGCATGGCTGCCACATGGGAGCTGAACTGCCTCAAATAGGCGGGGGACCCAGATGCTACTAATCCTCCCTTCCTTCCGGGTGGCTGCATTAGCCAGAACCAGATATGCACATCCGGAGTCAGCACAGACACTCACCCTTAGTTTCTCACTACAGCTCAAAAGCCCGAGCCAACAGAGTACCCTCCCCTCACGAGCTCCACCCTGAAGAGATGAAATGTCATCCGTTAACAGAGTTTGGTCGGTAAAATCAGGTCTAGCTGTGTAGGGGTCCAGCAAGACCCCCTGGCACGAATGCTCATGACCTTCCTTGACAAGGAGGTAGGAAGCAGGGTTGAGACAAGGACAGACCTCAGTGGTCACCCTGGTTCTCAATTAGGAGCCTTACAGCCACAAGCGTCTTTATTTCCCCAATGCCACGGAGACAATATACAGTAAGGGTTTCTCTAGGGTTTATGTATGGGCCTCTGGAACCAGAAGCCTCACAGCTACAATTGCCCTTGGGCATCCCGGCCATCCTCCCTTTGTCACTGAGTCTGACTCCTGGCTAAGGTATCCCACTGGATGTGGGTCCTATTGATCTGGCCAGAATGCCCAGGTCAGTTCCCTCTCAAGAACATACAGTCAAAGTTGAGGCTGAGTGGGGAACCCCAGAGAAGGGGTGTGGCAAGTGCATCCTTGTATGTGACTCGAGAGTGACATAGTTGGGACTTCTCTCAAGAGATCGTATTTCTCTCCATTATGGCTGGAAAAGTTGGGGAGGCTGGGATGGTGGGGTGGAGAAATTTGAGGAGACACTCAGTTCCCTGACAGGTATATCTTTCAATGCTCCACAGAGTAACAGATCTACATATTGGTACAAAGCTACATGGGGATTGACCAGTCTATGAGGTCCTGGGCCAAGGCCAGTGCAAATAAACAGGGACTGTCCCTAAGCCTCTTGGGCAGGACGGTCCAAGTAACTTGTCTGACCTTAAAATTGTGGTCCCCAAAGGCAAACAAAGGCTGAGTATCCAGGTGCAGAGGGATAAAAAAATTTTTTTCAAATCCAAACAGAACAGTATGTTACTCAAGGCTAAATCTGGGTCAGGAGATCATGGGGATTGGGTAGCACAGGATGGAAGGGGACCATAGTCTGAAGTCCTGTACTAACTTGTATTTGTTAGGTCTCTTTTGAACTTCCAAAGGAGGTGGGTTATAGGATCTGGAACATCCCTTCCCTCTGGAGTCCCTATTCTTTAAAGGCCAAGATGATAGACTTGAATCTTCTGTCACTCCAGGCTTTATTGAGTACTGTTTCTGATGGGGAAAATGGGAGGGCCCTTTAAATGTATTGGAACAGGTGAAGCACGTTAGTTGGCCCCATACAGCAGGGGTTCTCAACCTTCCTAATGCTGCGGCCCTTTAATACAGTTCCTCGTGTTATGCTGTCCCCAACCATACAGTTATTTTTGTTGCAACTTTATAACTGCACTTCTGCTACTTTTATGAATCATAAGGTAAATATGTTTTCTGATGGTCTCAGGTGGCCCCCAAAGGGGTCGCGACCCATAGGTTGAGAACTGCCTCCCTATAGGCTCTCTTCACCTGCCCATCCTGAGAGATACATATTGACTTCTACCCAGTGTAAGAATAGGTTCCCTCTCAGGGGCAGGACAAGTTCCATCTGATACTGGGAGAGAATGTCCCTGCCCAAAATGGGTGCAGGGGTCTCTAGAAAATGAGATAACCGTGTGAGAACAGAGATCTCCCAGTTGGCAGACAAGAGACTGTGTAAAAAGATCTCTTCATGGCTGGCCTGAATATGTCCCCAAAGGCAGCAGTTTGGGGAACTGGGGAACTGGAGAAAGGGCAACACTGCACATTGGGGTCCCATCTGTAAAGTTGGGACTCCTCAAGCTGAACAGATTACGGAAGCCTGGAGAGGTAGCCCCGGGACCCATCAAATGAAGGTGGTGGCATTGAGCCTTAGAGTTCAGGGGACGCCTTGTCCTCCTCTGGTGATTGCCTTAACTGTTGGGACAGGGTCCATGTGGGCCCGAGACATTTTTAGCTCTCCCTTTCTTGGGACATTCCTTCTAGAAGTTACCTGGCCATCCATCCACAGAGAAAGCACGCCCTGAGGGGACCCTTCAGCATGGCCCCTCCTTGGGCAACTCTCATCAACAGCCAGTGGGTCAGCATGTCATTTTTTTTTCCTTTCCCTTTCCAGGTCCAGGGTACAATACAATGAGATTTCATTTTAGACCAGCAGTTCTCAACCCGGGGGTCAAGTGACCCTTTCACAGGGGTCACCGAAGACCAATGGAAAACAGACATTTACATTACGATTCATAACAGTAGCAAGGTTACAGTTATAAAGTAGCAACAAAAGTAATTTTATGGTTGGGGGTCACCACAACATGAGGAACTGCATTAAGGGGTCACAGCGTTAGGAAGGTTGAGAAACCACTGGGTTAAAGCAATTGGTCTAGGCTCTCACCTGGTTCAGCCACCAGTTTCTGGAAAAATACTTTTTCTTAAAGACAGCATCTCACTATATAGCCCTGGTTGTCTTGAACTCACCATGTAGACCAGGCTGACCTCAAACTCAACAGTGATCTACCTGCCTCTGCCTCCCAAGTGCTGGGATTAAACGTATACCCTACCAGACTGGCTTCTGCAATTCTCTATGGCTGTCTGGGGCTGACTGGGTCAGGAGTTTGTCTTCTAGAGTCATCCTCCAAGCACTCAGTGTGTTTTCTGATACCTTTTTTTTTTTTTTGGTTTTTCGAGACAGGGTTTCTGATACCCTTATTTAGTCGATGAGAAAGGTAATGGGAGGTTCATTTTCTCCCTGGCAAATGACCATCAGCTGAGAGTAAATAAGAATTTTGATCTTGGCTTTCCTGAAGCCCTCAGAAATAAGAGAGATGAAATGCTTTTCTCCCAGTGACCTCTTGGGGCTCCTGATATCCCTAGATGGATCTGTCAAAGGGGCAGCCCGGACTCCTGTGAGAACTTGGGCCTGTGAGTCTTGGTCTGAGTCATCAGTTAGTACCAATGGCTAGTGCCTCTTCCATTACCCTGTTTTTCCACTGAGGTCAAGGTCTGATCTAAGAGAACACAATCCCTCCACGCTATGTAGTAAAGACTGTTTAGACATTGGCAGGCCTGTTCGTGTTGGTCAGGATTTGCAGCAAAACTACCTTAAATCTTACATTTTTTGTTTTTTGTTTTTGTTTTGTTTGAAACAGGTTTCACTATGTAGTCTGTCTGGCCTGAAATCCACTAAGTAGATGAGGCTGGCTTTGAACTCACAAAGATCCATCTGACACTGCCTCCTAAGTGCTGGAATTAAAGGCATGTGCCGCCCACCTGCCGCCACCACTACCTGGCTCTCCCTGACTCTTTTTGATACCTTTTCAGCTCTGCTAATGAACAGGCTCTGTGAACCTATGTGGGCCCTAATCTCTCACCATCTCCTGCAAGCGAAACATCTCTAGAACTCCTGGTGATAGTTGGAGACCCTCAGGTGCAACTCCCCCAAGCCCTCCAGCATATGGTGTGGGCAGGGTTCTGTGGAAGTCAGACAGTGAAATAGCAGGACCTAGCTGACAATTGTAAGCCAATTCTGAGTAGTTGCAAAGGTATAAGATCTTAGACCATTTCACCGAAGAACTGGTCCAGCTGAAAACAGTTTTGTAAGCCAGGCATAATGACTCACACCTTTAAGCCCAGCACTCTGGAGGCAGAGGCAGGTGGATCTCTGTGAGTTCAAGGTCAGTCTAGTCTACAGAGTGAGTTCCAGGACAACCAGGGAGACATAGTGAGACCCTATCTCTAAAAAAAACAAAGAAAGGAAGAAAGGGAGGCAGGGAAGGAGGAAGTGAGGAAACAGACACACACAGAAAGAGAAACAGCATAATTAGAGTCCTCTGAGGTGGCCATCCCCTCCCTTTATCACCCAAGAGATAGTAGTACTTCCTGCTAAAGAAAATCAGGGTTGGTTGGTTTGAGTGTCTGAGGGTCCAAATCTGCCCTTGGAAGGCAGTTGAGGGCAATTTTGGAAGAATTATAGAGTCAGTTTCCCATCTGCAATGAGATGGAACCGGAAATGAGAAGTCTTGGGTCAGGGTAGCCCTTTCTCCTCTCTCCATCCACGTGAATGAGTAGGTAGTGTCTGTCAGTAGGGCCAGTTAGTGCATCTAGTCTGTCCAGAGGAGGAGCCAGACTGAGTTGGATCCCAAACCTGCATGGCCCAATGCCCTGCCATCCCCTGGTTTCCTCCTTTAGTATTCCATGATGTTTGATGCCACCAAGTCCCCCAAAACACTTGATTTTGCCCCAAGGGCTACTTTCCAGGTAAGCCATACATGCCAAGAGCTACTTTCCAGGTAAGCCATACATGCCAAGAGGCACCGGAAGCTCCAAGTATTGAGTTCATTAAGCAGGTGGCTCTATCGACGCCTTGCAGGATTCCACACGCCAGTCACTCACTCAAGTTCACACAGCTTGAGACATTGCAGAAAGGAGGTTGGTGGCTCAGGTTAGGTCCAGCCCATTATCCTGGAGGGCACAGGGAGTCAAGATTTATCTGCCTCATTCTGGGACGCGTCCACCCACTAACTGGGAAATCAAACCATTTGCAGAGACCCCAGAGAGATCATTAGAACGGTGTACTTTTTTTTTTTTTTTTTTTGGTTTTACAAGACAGGGTTTCTCTGTATTGTTTTGGAGGCTGTTGGTCCAGCCCGGCCTCGAACTCAGAGATCCGCCTGTCTCTGCCTCCCAAGTGCTGGCATTAAAGGCATGCGCCACCACTGCCCGGCTTAGAATGGTATACTTTCTAATTCCAAGAGTGAAGAACCAGGGCACTATCAGAAATAGCTCAGTCACATAAATGCCTCAGAATCTTTGCTCTCCGCCCACCTTTGTAAGTCCAGACAGTTAGCCCACTATGAGCCATAGCCAACAGGCAGGGTTGGTCCCCCCTCACAGACTTGCCTCTGCTGTCCACATCTCCTTTAGTCCCCAGGTGAACAGGCTGGAAGCCTTTTGGGGGGGACAACACCTGACACACCTGTTATCTATCCTTGAGTCTTGTGTCATTCAAATGAGACAGCTTCATGTGGCCTTTGAGTTTCAGTCAGTAAGGGTTCACTGCCTGGGTGCTAGGTGGGCCTGCCACCTGCCCATTGTTCAACAAGAACAAACAAAACCCCAGGCTCCTCGTGGGTGTCTTGCTTAGTACAACTCACCCACAACCACAAGGCTCTGTAACAAGCAGACCCTGTAGCTGCCACACCAACCTCTTTTTTAAAGATTTATGTATATGAGTCTACATGTATTCCTGCATGTCTGAAGAGGGTATCAGATCCCATTATAGATGATTGTGAGCCACCATGTGCGTGCTGGGAATTGAACCTGGGTCCTCTGGAAGAGCAGTCAGTGGTGGGTTTTTTGTTTGTTTGTTTTTTGGTTTTGTTTTTTGAGACAGGGTTTCCCTGTGTAACAGTCCTGGCCATCCTAGAACTCAACATGTAGACCAGGTTGGCCTTGAGCTCACTGAGATCCGCCTGCCTCTGCCCCCCACCAAGTGCTGGGATTAAAGGTGTGTGCCACACCCCACACCTCTGGCCCACAGTCAGTGCTCTAAACCACTGAGGATCCCATTATAGATGTGTGTTGGATACCATGTGGCTGCTGGGAATTGAACCTGGGTCCTCTGAAAGAGCACGCAATGCTTTTAACCACTGAGCCATCTCTCTAGCCCACCACACCCACTTCTTAACCATGCAAGAACCTAGAAGGAGAACCAAGTCAGGAACTCGGAGTGGGGGGGGGGGTCAGCAGCTTAGTTTCAGGTCCCTCCAGCCTAACCCCTTCTCGTTCTCCTGACCCTGCAGGAGCGGGTAGTTTTTCCAACACTCTCTGTGCCCCTCTTCTGAGGTATCCTTGAAAGGACTCCCTTTATTGACAACACTTGGCAGAAACTGAGACCGCGCTTAGGAAACGCAGGTGCCTGCAAACAGCCTATCTATCAAGCCCCACCCAGCAAGAAATTATCCACCGATGACTTGGAGTTGTGGAGATTTTCTACTTGGTTCACGTGCCCCGTGTTGGGGCCACTTTCCTTGAATTAAGTACCTGTAATCTACAGAAGAAAATGAAATCGAGAGTGGGGTGCCGAGGATGTGACATGAGCAGAAACAAAAGCGGGGGGGGGGGGGCGTAGAGAAGACCTAAGATGCCGAGCGGGCATTAAGACCCAGCAGAGCCCCTCATCTCCAGCCTCCCATCCAAGCAGCCTGGGCTTCGTTGCTCCCTGGCTTCTTTGTAGCGCCAGACTGGGTCTGTGCTGCTGCACACTCCCAGGGCCTCCTGCATGCGCCACTCAGCCTCCCATAGCGGAGTCCTACATCTAGTTCCAACCTCTGTCCTTACCCGGTTCCTGCCTTACTGTTCTATGGCTGTGAAGAGACACCACGGCCAAGGCAGCTTTGCCTGGAGGCTTGCTTACAGTTTCCGAGGGCTAGTCCAGGACCATCACGGGAGCGAGCTGGCTGCATGCAAGCGAGGCACTGGAGCTGTAGTCAAGAGCCTTACATTGTGGTGCAAAGGCAGGAGACAGAGAGAGAGACTGGGCCCAGGGAAGAGTTTTTCAAACTTCAAAGCCCCTCCCAGTGACACACCTCCTCCTCCAAAGCCACGCCTTCTTAAACAGTCCACCAACTGGAAACTAAACATTCAAAGACAGGAGCCTAAGAGGGCCATTCTCAGTCACCACCACACTCCCCATTGACTTGAGGACCTCCCCAGGCCAACGTGTAAGACAGCCAGGGCTGGGGAAGGGTTTTGTGTAGAGGAGGGATCTGCCCCACCATAGTAGCAGTAGCCATGTAGGATCTTGACAAACAGTCAAAGACTCTCAGGGGTGTCAGGACCCAACAAAGCTTTCCTAGCTGGAGACAAAACTCCCCCCCCACTCCCAAAACCCACCAGGAGCTAGGCCTATTTGAATTTTAAGGCTATCTCACCTTGAACTCAAGCTTGGTAAACTTCAAGGTTTGTCTTATCGTGTGATAAGACCCTTAAGCTTTCATTCCCCGGAGACAATCCCCAGGTGCCAACCCTTAGCTTTGCACAGCTCGTGGGCCTAGGGGTCAGGTATGGGCAGAGGAGTGGTTTCCCCGAGGATCCTTCCCTAGTTTACTAAAAGGGAAGAGGAGCTGTTCCCTAGGGCCGGGTTTACAGTGTCTCCTGTTCGCCTTGCTGTGCAAGTGGGAACTGACAGTGTCTAGCCGGGGTGGGGTCAGGGCCTCGCTGGAAAGGGGTCCTCGGAGTACAAGGTAACTGCAGTCACTTCCAAGTCCTCTGGTTTCCAGTGAGATATACTTACTAGCCTTAGGAGATCCCATGAAATGTAGTGGGGTTCTAGTGACTTTCGGATTTGAATGTCTAAAAGGTTGAGCCTCCAGAAAAACTGAAAAGCAAACCCCAAGGGAAGTAAACATTACTGCCTTGGGTGTGAGGGCTGCTAAACTACAAGCTGGCTTGACTACTTCATAGACCCTGGGTGCTCCCCTTCCCCCGGTGGGTCCTATTTAGATACACACCCCCATGCCTGCCTGCCCTTATCCCCTGGCAGTGTCTTCTGGGAACAAGAAGTCGCAGTCTCACAGAGCCTGCCTTTGATTTCCCTGCCTACCCGAGTTCCTCTGAGTCTAACCCTTTTCATCTCCCTCCCCACACACCCCGTAAGTAGCCTTCCCTCCCTCTCTGCACCCTCCAGACGGTGAGGAGGCATACCCTCTGCTCTAGTGCGTGAACATCGGAGCAGTCCAAAGAGACGGAGTGGCTGCTGGGTCTCCTCCCCAGACTTGATGACCCAGTCTGTGGGACCCTAGCCCCTGCCTGCCCCTTTTACACATCCTAGCTCAGGAGATCGCTGCTTTCATTCCAAGGCTGCAGTTTGGGATTCACCATCAGTCCTTTGCTGGTGCCCCAACAGTGCCTTCTAAGCCCTCTGTGATGTCCGGGTCATGACTACAGGTCTAAGTGACATCAGAGCCCTCTATTGGGGGTACTAGCAGAGCCAGCATCTGACACAGTGATCTTTGGGAGAGCTCAGTGAAACTTTGAACAATCGTTTACTGCTTACTTGGTTTTCAGCGGGCCCTGGGTAGGCTGTCAATGAGTCAGCACCAAACAGGGAGTGGCCCGGGCTAGGTCTGATACATTGTCAGAACTGGGACAGTCATTGTCCTCTGCCTGCCAGTGCCTTGCTGCAGAAGTGAGGGTGGGAGCCGTGTTCCTGACTTGTAGGTGGCTTTTGTGTCTTAACAGCTGGCGCAGTGTAAAGAATCATGGTTACTATTTATTGAGTGCTAATCTGAATGTGGCCTGCTGGCTTGTAGGCAAATTACTTCCACTGAGCCTCACAGCAATCCTGCCATCAAGCCCAGGGGCAGAGTGACTTCCCCCTAACATCTCAGCTGGGGTTCCTTTAGACTACTAACCACCATCTACTCTGGGCTGTATTTGAGTTGTTAAACCCTAAGGCAGAGAAGCCCTGGATGCACTCTCAGCCAAACGGGGAACTTCCTCCTGTGAGTCCTGTCTTCCGCAAGAGACGGTGTCACGGTTGTAGAAAGGAATGGAGTTGGCACAAGACACTTCAGGTCCAATTTCTCAGCACAGAAGAAATTTATTTGCCCCAGAGGCACAAAGGACGGGGAATAAGAGACAAAGAAAATAAAGGACAAGGGAGAAGGGGACGGGAACAAGGGAGAGGAGGTGAGGGGGGGCAGTATTTGTTCCAGAGGGGGAGAGGACTGCCTCTGGATAGAGAGGAGACAGACATGGCCCACAGGTAATTGACAGTCTATAAAGCAAAAGAGGAAACCCTGCGTTAGGATTAAACCCAATTTTAATTGGGCATGTTAATTAGGGCAGCCAAAGGGGGCTTTTGATTACTGGGCTTCAATGCTTTGATAGTTGGACCTTGGTAGTCAGCCTCAGGAGGAGGACGTGGCCAAACAAGGGAATAGACCCTGGAGGCTAGCTTTGGGAATGGAGCCTAGTGGTCTTTGGCAGGGAAGGGGTAACAGGGAAAGGGCAAGGCCTGCCGGAGCCATGTTTGCCCTGCTGGGGCCTGCTAGAGCCCCTTCAGTTGTGTCCTGCTTTGCTTGGCCTATCTAGCATTTATAAGCATTTTCCTGAATATTTTAGAAGCCTGGAGCTTCCAGATAGGAATTTGGGTTTCAGGCTTTATTTGAAAAATCTGGCAACAGTGTCCAGAGTGAAGCAGCTAAGTTCCCTTTGGGGGCTTGTTCTTTTTAAGCTGCCACAGTCCCCACCTTTTCCTGTGACCCTAGAATTGCATGCTCTTTTCTTTTTCCTTTTTCTTTTCTTCCCTTTTCTTCAAGACAGAGTTTCTCTGTGTAGTCCTGGCTGGCCTAGAACTCACCCTGTAGACCAGGCTGGCCTTTGAACTCACAGAGATCCGACTGCCTTTGTATCCTGAGTGCTGGGATTAAAGGCACACGTTACCACTGCCAAGAAAGGATGCCTTTTTAAATTGTGTGTGTGTGTGTGTGTGTGTGTGTGTGTGTGTGTGCTGGGTGGTGGTGGCACACGCCTTTAATCCCAGCACTCAGGAAGCAGAGGCAGGTGGATCTCTGTAAGTTCGAGGCCAGCCTGGCCTACAGAGAGAGTTCTAGGACAGGCTCCAAAGCTACAGAGAATCCTGTCTCAAAAAAAAAACAAAAAACAAAAAAAATTGTGTGTACATATGTGCATAAATGTTCACATGTACACATACACACTTGGGGAAGTCAGAGGACAACTTGCAGGAGTTGTTTTTTTTTTTTCCTTCCATGTAGGCTAAGGAATTGAACTCAGGTCACCAGGCTAGGCAGCAAGTGCCTTTACCATCTCATCATCCCTTCAACTGCCTCTTCTCATGACACCTGCAGTTATCTTTAATGAGATCCAGTTTTCCCATCCATCTTTATACTGCAGGGAGACATTTCACTTTGCAGCTCCTAGATTGGCCAAGTGTTGGCTCCCTGTCTTCCTGGCTCTTTCCTCCATCCCAGGAATGCTTATGGTGGGTATGTGAGCTCTTTGTATTAGCATTGCCTGTGGAGCTCCAGGCACCATCTTATTTTTCTATTGGTGGTTGAAGAATGGAGTGTGGGACAAGCTATTACATCAGGCCTTTTCTATCAGCTGTTTCTCAAAGGGACTAAGCCTGGCCCTGCAGACAGTCTCAAGACTTCAGGGTGCGGCAGGCTCCACATCTTGGGGACTCCCAACCTGGCCATTGGTAGCCTCAGAGTGGGTCATGTCCGCAGTCATGAACAAAGTCTCTTTTGTGTGACACCTGTTGACTCTCCTGGAGAGGGATGGAGTGCGAGTCAGCTCCAGTCTGTCTTCCTCAGTGGGCGTCACCCAGGGGCAGCACCGGAAAGCAAGCCTGAATCCAGAGCGAAACCTGTGGGGTGTGGAGAGTCACTTTAAGCAAGGGAGGTAGGGGTGCAGGACCCATCTGCCATGTGGCTGCTCTATGCCTCCCTAGAAGAGGTGCCTCAATAACTCAGGGCTGTGGAAGGATGCACACTTGAGTGGATTTAGTCTTTGGAACAGCCAGAAACACTGGGGACATGCACTTCCGAGGCAGGGGCAGGAAGAATGGCAGCAAGCTCCAGGGCAGCAAGTGGTACCCTGCTTTGGGAGGGAGGGAGGAAGAGAGGGAGGGAGGGAGGGAGAGAGGGAGGAAGGGAGAGAGGGAGGGAAAAAGGAGGGAGGGAGAAGAAAGAGAAACCATATGATGTAACTGGCTTCTAGTAGAGAATTCAAAGAGGTATCTTAGAAAGAAAGAGGAAAAAAAGAAAAAGACTTGAGCTCTGGCCATGTGTGTGGAATAGGGAGGTCACATGCCCCTTCCCTCCCCCCAGGAGCTGCTTCAAAGGAAAACTGGCACATTGGCACTACCAAGTATGGGTACATTTGCTCAGAAAAATAAACAGCTCTCACTCAAGCCTGGGTGCAGGCCTGCAATCCCAGCTACTCCAGAGAATAAGGAAGGAGGAGTGGAGCCCAAGAAAAGTCCAAGGCTAGCCTCGGCAGCCTGGCCTGTCTCAAAATAAGGCCTTGGATGTTGGAGGGAAAAAAAAAAGCTGGAAAAAACCCCAAAGTCAAAAACACCCTTCCCTATGGTGATATTTGCTCCGGTGTAGCTGAGAATGACTTTGAACTTTTGATCCTCCTGCCTGTCTCCAGAGGGCTGGGATTGCAGATGCACAACACCATGCCCAGTTTCTGGAGTACTGGAGCTCAAACCCGGAGCCTCATGCCAGCCAGGCAAGCACCTCACCAACTAGAACAGCTGGTTTGATTTTGTTCCGCTTTGGTTTTTAACTGCATGCATGCCTGTGTAACACTTGCATGCAGTGCCCAAAATAGTCAGAAAAAGGTGCTGGATCCCTTGGGACTGGAGTTCCAGATGGTTGTGAGCCACCATGTGGGGGCTGGGATTTCATGCTGGGTCCTCTGGAAGAGCAGCCTGTTGTGGGATGTTTGATCAGACTGTGAACCCCAAGACTGCATTAATAAAATCTACCTCAGGTCAAGGGGCAGAGCCAGCAGCTAGTTGACAGGAAGTGGAAGGGAGGGACTTTTGAGTTTGGTGGTCCCTTTTGGTTTGGAACAGAGGAAATGGAGCACTTTTTCTGAGGCTCTGGCTAAGGAGAAAGGCCAGCTAGTTGCTCCTCAACCTCTCTGAGCTAGCAAGTTTTCACCCCAGCCTCTGACTCCCGAGTCTTTCTTGGTAAAATCATAAGATATAAATTTAGATAAAAAACAACAGCAGCCAGTGCTCTTAGCCACTGAGCCATCTGTCCCACCCCCAGGGCTGGTTCTTTTGAAAGGTAAATCAGAGCTTGTGTCTCCCAGGTCTCATTGGCTCAAAGCCTTGTAGAACTCCCCCTGCTGGAGTACCACAAGGGCCAACCTTGACCTCAGGGCTGTCGGTTTGGCTGTTCCCTCTGCAGCAAATTATTGCTCAGGCTGCCAGGCAATCAGTCACTCCAGCTTTTGCTCCAATGTAAACTACACCCCCTCTGCCCAGCGTCTAAACCCCACCCACTTCCACAATTATGTTTGCCTACTGCAGTATGTCTGTCTCCTCTGTATGTCTGTCAGCTCTTGAAAAAAGTCTTTGCTTCTGCTCACTCCTCAACCCCTGGGACTGGAAAAGTACTAGGGGTGCATGTAGCCCATTGGTGAGTATTTTCTAGGTGGAGAGTCCATGCCACAGCACCAGACCCCTGTCCCCTGTGACAATGTTGTCACAGAATGGCACAAAAGACACCTCAGGAGCTTGCAGAGTCCAACGTTGTGCAGTGTCACAGCTGGACGACAGGAGAGTGACACTCACACAGGCATGGGGTGCTGGAGGTCTCTCCCTGGTATGACAGGGTATTCTCTAGGTTCTCACACTCATCTCATACACAAGTGTGAGGGGGATGAGACGGGGCAGCTTTGGAGATACACACAATTCCAGATCCTGTATTCATTGCCTGCGCAGGGGTTAGGAGGGTCTGCCCTTCTTAGGTTCAGTTTCCCTATCTGGATAATGGGAGACTTCCTTTCCTCTCTTATCTATCTACATGGGGAACTAAAGATTCTAGGCACCCAGTGAGCACTCACAGAGTCTGTCCCAGGTGGGTGGGTCATCTGAGCACAAAGACCTCAGTGGGAGCCCGGACACCCGAGTAGACAGCTGGTCAAAGTTAAGAACAAAGAGGCCCCGGGTCAGTGCCGCTCACACCCATCCATCAGACCAGGCTGACTCAGCGTCTACCTGTCATGACCTCTCACCTGCCCCCTCCCAGGATGGAAGGCTCACTCTGTGCACAGGGTTCCCAGGACTTGGATTCTGCCTGGCTTACTACCTCTTCCCTAACCAAGAGATCCAGACCATGACCCCAGGGGCACCAGAGCTGGGAGAGATCCTGGCCCTTCCTTCCCTGATCACACCCTGGGGTGTGGCAAGGAATACACGGTGACTCCCCAGCCCAGCCCGCAGACTCATTAGACAACCTGTCCACCTAGATCAGGCACATATCTTAGGAGGAAGCTCTTGGAAATGCCAGCTCTTTGAGCCGGTGAGATGCCTCAGTGGGGGAAAGGTACGTGCTGCCAAGCCTCGCAAGCCAGGTTCTATCACAAAGATCCACGTGGTGAAAGGGAGAGGTAACTACTGTGAATTGCCCTCTGACACCCCCCATGTGCCATAGCACATACTCATTGCACACGTGTACATGCACACAGCATAAAAAAGAAAAGCTAGCTCTGTCCTGGCTTCTGCCTCCCATTCTGTCCTCCTGCCTCTCCCTGCTCTCTCCTTCCTTCCATCTCTCTGGTCCTGCACTTCTGCCTTATCCCCGATGCAGACCCCAGAAGAGACAGGGGGACAGAGAAGAACATAGGCCCTGTGGCCCAGCATTGGACAAGGCTCTGGGCAGGAGATGAGACACAGGTTAGATCCAGGTCACAGGAAGGGTTGTGTTGTGGACTGACCTGAAGGGCAGCATACCTATGTGGGGTTAGGGGCAGCTCTGGCAGGAGCTAGAGAGGAGGTCCCTAGCCATGCAGGAGAGTCCTTGAGGGTAAAGGGCAGAACCAGAGTGGGACTCACCTGTGGTTGAGGCAGCAGTAAATGATGGGATTGTACATGGTGGAGCTCATGGCTAGCCAGAAGAGCGCCAGGTAGACCTGCTGGATGAACTTGCGGTAGTAGATGTCCTTCTGGAAGCTACCCAGGATGAAGTAGAGGTGGTAGGGCAGCCAGCAAATGGCAAATGTCAACACCACCAGTACCATGGCCTTCACAAACTGGTCAGGGAGAGGCTCAGGTCAGTCCTTGGCCCCTGAGTCCCAAGTCAACCCTCCTGGAACCAATGCGGGGTTACCCATCACTGCAGCCTTGAGAACATTCTGTAGTCAGATCTCCTCCACCTCTCTGGCCTCCGTCCCCTGGAACGTGTATTTTCTGCATGCTCCAGAGCCTACCACCTCATGGCATTGCCACAGGCTAGTTTGTCGGCTCACACTGCTCTCCTTCTATTGAAATCCCCATGTCTAGCAACCCAGTTCTGTGGTCCACTCTCCCAGGATTCTTTCCTGTGGGGGCACTTCTCCATCCTGTCCCCTCTCTTAGGAGGTCAAAGCTCTGGGACCCAAGCCATCCTTCCCTGGGATTTTTATCTACTTTAGCCCTTCCGTCTATGTAAGCAGTGATGTTCCAACCTGATACCCCATCCTCTATCTAGAAGATGTTTCTGAGCCTTTCCTGGTACCTCACATGTCTGGCATCTGCAGGCACACTCCTGCATTGTCCAGCATCCCCAAGGACCAGAAAGCAAGTTGGAGATGGCAGATAGCAACTGGAGACCAACTTCCCAATAGAAGAGACAACTGGGTGGCCTCTCTCTCTCTCTCTCTCTCTCTCTCTCTCTCTCTCTCTCTCTTGTGTGTGGTTTTTGTTTTTGTGGGTTTTTTGGGGGGGGGAGTATCTTTTCAAGACTGGGTTTCTCTGTATTGCTTTGGGACCTGTCCTGGCACTAACTTTGAAGACCAGGCTGGCCTCGAACTCACAAAGATCTACCTGCCTCTGCCTCCTGAGTGCTGGAATTAAAGGTGTGCACCACCAACACCCGGCTGGGTGGTTTCTTAAGTACCTCCTTGCTTGCTATGGTGAGAACTTCTAGAACATCAAGAAGTCTGTCTAGCAATGGTCTCCAGATCACAGAGGTCTGTGGTTCCTAGATGCACTCTCTGAGATGCTGAATGACCTGTGCTCCCCAGTGTCCCCTAGCTGGCAGACTTCGGGTCCCAGGTGGCTTCCATAGCAGGGCCCAATCTCTCTGCTTCTGCTCTCACCTTCTTCTTGGCATGCAGATGGCGCAGGTTGGCACCGTGAGCCTGGTGTCTGGGGACCGCGCGTTTCCACAGAGTGAGGCCGATGACACTGTAAGCCACGAACATCACCACAAGGGGTAGGAAGTAGACGAGGACAAAAACCACCAGATGATACCTGGAGGGAGAGCACAGACCTGGGTGGGCAGCGGGCGGCCAGATCCACTCAGGCTCACCCACGCTTAAGGTCGGTGAATCCCAGGGACCCCACCCGGAGCTCCATTTAGAGAAAAACTAAGGTAGCATCGGCTAGCATATGTGCCAAAGATGGGCTGTCCTCACAAAACGTCACTGGCATCAGCCCCAGTTCTACCGTGTTACAGAAAAGGCTAAAATGGGGAAAAGGCAGGGGAAAGCTAACATGGCTGTGCCAGCAAAGACCTTTGAGCAGGACCCACACACCACTGCACCTTCTGAGTCCCCAGGGAGGATTCCTGGGTTGTAATGAAGCTCACTGTTTCCTCTGAGGGTGGCACTAAGCCAGAGGCTTGCCACTGGCACCATTTCTAGGGTGCTACTATCTCCTGAATAAGACGGTTCCCACTGCCTTCCAGGCAAGTGGGGGGAAGGGGGTCCTTGGAACAACCAGGAATGGGCCTGAGAGTCCCCCTCCACCATGTGACTTCTGTCTTTTTTAAACAATGTGTGTGTGTGTGTGTGTGTATATACATGTGTGTGCATATCTATGTGTGAGTAGGTACATGTGTGGGGTTATGCATATGTATGCACGAGGATGTGTGTGCGTGAGTGTGTGTGTGCATGTGTGTGTGTGGGTATATGCTTGCAAGCCAGAGGCTGACGTGGAATGTCTTCCTTGATTCCTCTCTAATATATTGATGCAGGGTCTCTCCTTGAATCGTGAGCCCTCTGGCTGGGCTAGTCCAGCTGGCCTTGCCCTAGCTCACCAGCTTCCACCTCCTGAGTACCGAGATGACAGGTGGGCTGCCATGGCTACCTGGCATTGACCCACAGACAGACTACAGGCTCATATCTAACACAGACACCAGCGACAGTGCATGTGTGATACACAGAGCCTTACACTCTCTCTACAGGCACACATGGTCCATGCTCATCCTTAGTGAGGTGGCAGACAGGCTGAGCAGTTAGACTCTGAGGCAGGTTTGTTTCCCCTGCCTTACCACTCACAGACTGTTGTCTGGGGGCACATCACGTGATGTAGTTTCTCTACCACCAAGATGGAAAACTACACTATGTATGGTTGTCATAGTGACTTGTGAGACAGAGGCCGGAGGATAAAAGTTCTAGGCCAGCCTAGGCTATGTGAGACTGTCTGAAAAAAAACAAAAACAAAAATAGAAAAACAAGAGGTTTCAGGGGAATGTAGTTTAGTTGATAGGATGTTGGGCTAGCACACAGGAGCCCTTGGTTCTATCCCCTGAACCACATGAAGCCGGTGTGGTGGCATCAAGGTCAGCACTATCTAAAAAGTAAATAAATGTTAGCAGTATTTACTTCATAACATTAAGAAAATTAAAAATATCAGTATGTACAGAGTGCCTATAACAGGCCTGGTACTTAGCATTGTTTTCAGTATAGATGGTCCCCAACTTAGGTCGTGATTTGATGACCTTGTCTGGTGACAGAAATAAAACATGCATTCAACAGAAGATACGCCTTAAATCCTTACCTCTCTGTTTGCTTTTCTATCAAGAAGCTGGACAGTGGCAGTGTCACTCTCGGTTAGCCACCAGTCAGTTATGAAGGTATTACCCACACTTGACAGGGAGCATTTTCCACCTACAACGGGTTGGTTGTGGTGCTGCCTTACCGTTAGTTTTTGTTATTTTGTTTTAAAATAGGGCCTCATGTAGCCCAGGCTGGCCTTGAGCATGCTGTGTAGCTGAGGGTAGCCTTGAACTTATGATCCTTCCCAGTGCTGGGACAACAGGTGTTCACCACCACCCCCAGCTTGTGTGGTCCTGGGGGTTGAACTAAGGTGTTCCCGGATGCTGGATAAGCAGTCTACCAGTGAGCCACACCCTCAGCCCCTTGCTGCCAGTTAAGCCTGCACTCACATGATCACACACATTCTTGCAGAGTAGTGTTCACATCTCTAGGCACATGCTACACACAGACATGAGGCAACATACAAGCACGTGTACCCCCACCCTCATCCCCGGTGTGGGGCTTACAGAAGGAGCATCTTGCCTCCGTTGTCATTAGGCCAGGCCACCACACACTTGGTGGCTCCCTGGTCCACAGTGATGGTGGAGTAGAAGCACTGTGGGGAGGCCAGAACCAGAGCTACCAGCCAGATGCCCGCGATAGTCGCCTTGGTGATGGGGGCCGAGAGCCGTGGCTGGAAGGGGTGGACGATGGCCATGTACCTACAAGCAGACGACAACATTAGCTGACATTCCCCCCTTACCTCGTCGCCCAGGCCCATGCCTTCCAGGTCCTGTCCACACAGCTGCTCTGTATGCAAAAGCATACAGAATCCTGGAATCCTGCCCACTCTGCAGAGGTGGTGGTGGTGGGGAGGTGGTGACGGTCTCCAACCATAGAACACCAGTACCCTAGAATCTACCCAGGTACACCATGTATGTCATAGAACACAGACAATATGGCTACGAATGAGTCCAGACTGACCTTGAACTTGCTATGAAGCTGAGGATGACCTTGAGTTCCTGGTCCTTTTGAGTGTAGGGAATTACAGACATGTATTGTCATGCTTGGTTTATGCAGTACTGGAGACAGAATCCAGATGTGTGCTTTACCAGCTGAACTATGTATATTTGTGCAGACACAAGCCGAATCCTGCAAACATGGATCTTTATAGCAGTTCTCAACCTGTGGGGCACGTCCCCACGGAGGTCACGTATCAGATATCCTGCGTATCAGATATTCACATTACAATCCATAACAGTGCCAAAATTACAGTTATGAAGTAGCAATGCAAATAATTTTACAGTTGGGAGTCACCACAACACGAGGAACTGTATTAAAAGGTTGCAACACTAGGAAGGTTGAGACTGCTTTACACTGTGCACATGGCCAATTTTTGGTTTAGTCTCCTCTCACAGCTTTCCCTGTGTCCTAGTTAGTTTTTGACGTTTGTTCAACGTGACACAATCTAAAGTCATTTGAGAAGAAGGGATCTCAGCTGAAAAAATGTCCCCACCAGATTGCCCTGTGAGCAAGCCTGTGGGACATCTTCTTGATTAGTGTTTGACGCTGGAGGGCCAAGCTCACAGTGGGTGGTGTCACCTATGGTTAGGCAGTTCCCTGTTGTATAAGAAAGCAGGCTGAGCTGGGCACAGGAAGCCAGCCAGTAACAGCGCTTCTCTATGGCTTCCTCTCCAGTTCCTGCCTCCAGGTTCCTGCTGTGTTGGGCCCCAGCCCCCATGGACCTCTGTGCATTGCTTGCCAGCTGATAGCCACAGGTACATCCTGTTCTCTAGTCCTGGCTTACAGCCCGACCTTGCCCCACTGACATCAACATCTAGTACAAGGGAAACACAGGACGCTTACACCTGGGGTTCCTTCACTGTGCTGTAAGTCTGTATTTAAGGCTGCTCTGATGGGGAAGTCCTGTGTATATGTCAGTAAAGCACTGTTGGCCAATAGGGAAGCAAGATAGGTGGGACTAGGAGTCCAGGAGGACTCTGGGTAGGAGAAACACAGGGAGTCAAGATGTAACCACCATAGAAGTAAGAAGCCCAGACCCTTTTCTCCGGTAAGAGAAATACTTAGATTGGCAGTTATGGGTTAAATACTTAAGTCAGAGATAGCCAGTAAGAAACAAGCAAGGCCAACAGTTTCATAATTAATACAGCATCTTGTGTGTTATTTGGGGACTACAACACGGCAAAGCCCAGACAACTGGTGGGGAAAAACCAAAGCAGCTGGCAAGGAAAAGGCTTCTCTCTCTACACTGCTCCCTCATGCAATAAAGGCACGAACATACATTCTCAGCACCAATGGCCAGACGTCTCGTCTTTTATTTAAATCTCCAGGCTTTCACCCAATATGTTAGGCTTGCTTGTGGCATGGACGCCACACCCTGACTTCCTCCCAGTGGTGAACTGTCACCTGGAAGCATAAAATGAAATAAACACTTTCCTTCCTAAGCTGCTTTTGGTCATGTTTCTTTATCACAGCAATGGAAACCTTAATGAAGATGCCCTGGAACAGCCTGCAGGGCTCTCTGTGGAGTTTTCCTTCCCTCCCCTTCTGGGGCTCCTCCTTCCTCTCTGTACTCAATGATGTCATAGACCTCCTTCTCGAAGTTATCTAGAACAGGTTCAGCTGCTGTCTCTCTGAAGGGCACTATGCGGGGGTGGGGGTGGGGTGGGGGGCTGGGGGTGGGCTTGAGCTGCTGTTGAGCTCTGTGCCTGGTGAAGTGCAGTGGCCTTGACAGTGTCATCTCCATTTTCCACGTCAGGAGACAAGCAACATTGACTTTGAATCCTGGTTGGCCACAGCTCTCTACTCCTGGATTACTCCGTTCCCTGTATTTCAGGGTAGACTTAGTGGGGGCTCAAGCTTCATCAGCCTTGAGCCCAACTGAGGAAGGCTCGCTGCTTGCTTTTCCAAGGGTAAATGACCCAAAGCACCATCCTCAAGGGTGACATCCCATCCTCCTGATATACATTCTAACCTAGGGCTTGTTTCCCATTCAGCAGGGGACAGAGGAGAGCTAGATTGGCCACTGTAGGTGTCACAGGCCTGCGAGCCCTACAATGAAGTACACAGACCCTTCATTAGAATAAGATTAACTTGTTTACTTGTGTGTTTTTTTTATTATTGTTGGTTTTGTTGTTGTTTTGAGACAGGGTTTCTCTGTGTAGTTTTGAAGCCTCTCCTGACACTTGCTCTGTAGACCAGGTTGGCTTCAAAGTCACAGAGATCTCATACTTGGCATGACAAGTGTGTGATAGCATGGATGGAATTCAGGTGATCATGCTCACACTGCAAATTCCTCACTGACTGAGTTGCCTCTGCCTCCTGAGTGCTGGGGGATTAAAGATGTGCACCCCCAGCGCTGGACTAGAATAAGCTTTTAACACAAAAGGTGTAATGGCTCATGCCCCATTAGCAGAAGATCAAGTCCTGGGGGTTTAGAATCAGGCTAATCTGGGTTCAAACCCTGCCTCCACGTTTCCTAACAAGATCTAGAACAGAGAGAACCTTAGCTCTGTGGCCTTCCATTTCCAGCTCCGTGAAAATGGGTCATTCTTGCACATGGGTTGTCATATGGAGGAAGGGACACATGTGCACAGGAATGAACGTAGACCTAATGTATTCATTGTTTTAAATTAATCAGAGATGGCTTTGGTCATGGGCAATGCCTGGCCCTTCCTCTCTAGGATGAACCTGAGCTTAGGGGCAAGGCTGAGACCATAGACAGTGGCATTGGATGTATGTTTCCCCTGTTTGCTGAAGTAGAAGTGTCCATACCAGAGCATCCTGGGTGTTAAGATTGCACCCTGAGAACATCACCCCCTTGTCTACTGCTTGGAATGTTTGTCTCTAGAATTCTCCAGGCTGTCCTGATTTCCTACTCATCTTTGCAGATCCCAAACTCTCAATGAGGCCCATCCCGTGTCCAGCTAAGCCTGTAGCCCAGTGGTTCTCAACCTGTGGGTCTCTGACATACCTCTATCTCCAAAAATATTTACGTTGCAATTCATAACTAGAAAAATTATAGTTATGAAGTAGCAACAAAAATAATTTTATGGTTGGTGGGTCACCACAACATGAGGAACTGTTAAAAGGTCACAGCTTTAGGAAGGTTGAGAACCACTGAGTGTAGTCTGTCCCTCCCTACCACATCTTGGGTCTTGGAGGTCTCCCTCTAGTTAATATTTGTTCTCAATACTCATGATCACATCCCAAAATACAAATTGCAATTTATTTATTAGTGTATTTAGGATTTAAATTCTTACCTTAGCAGGAACATCTACGTGGGCTTTCCCCCACCTAAACCCCAGAACAATACTTACACAACACGCACTGAGTGTAGAGAGGGAGAAAAGGGGCCAATGAGATGGCTCAGTAGGTAAAGGTGCTTGCTGTGAAGCCTGAGGACCCGAGTTCAATCCCCAGAATCCACAAAAGGTAGAAGGAAAGAACTGAGTCCTGCAAGTTGCCCTCTGACCTTCTCAGGTGTATTGTCACACGTATGCATGCTAGCATGCATGTGTGTTCAAGCACACACACACACAAACACATACACCAAACAAACACAATAAAAAATTTTTTTTTGGTTTTTCAAGACAGGGTTTCTCTGTGGCTTTGGAGGCTGTCCTGGAACTAGCTCTTGTAGACCAGGCTGGCCTCGAACTCACAGAGAGTCTGCCTCTGCCTCCCAAGTGCTGGGATTAAAGGCGTGCGCCACCAACGCCCGGCCAAACATGATAAATTTTTTAAAAAGGAGTGGAGAAAGGAATGGAGAGTCCCAACTGCTGCCAGCCTGATCAGACCCCCTCCTCTGATACCAGTCATCAACCTCCTGCCTGCCTACCTTCTAGGCTCCCACCGGGCTTTCTGAGGTCCAGCCTCCCTCTGAAGTGGAGGCTCTAAGACCATGTGCTAAAGTTGTTTTCCTCCCCATTGGTGGAGGTTTCCCAACACCTGAAACTGTACCCAACACAAAGGAAACATCCCAAATTTGCTGCATAACTGAAAAGAAATGCTTAGGGGACATTTAGACATACCCAGGAAGGAGGAAGATATGTTCAGTGGGCACCAGCCCGATTTTGAGACTTCTGTACCCATTGCCCAGAGGGCTGTACTCCAGGCCCCTGGTTCTGCCCTGACTCACTGTCTGACCTTAAGTAGCCCTATTTATCCCAATTCCCAGATCCCTTGGTTGTAAAGTTAGAAGCTGGACCTATATAAACGGTGTTTAAATTTTTTGTGTATAGCAACTATGTAGCTTAGGATGACATTGGGCCTCTGACCTTCTTCCTGCTACCTCTGAGTGTGGGAGTTACAGGCATGTACCACCCTCTTATACCTGATTTATGCAATGCCAGGGATCAAAACCAGGCCTTAAGACAGGCTAAGAAAACACTGTGCCAACGGAGAGCATTTGCAACCCCACGCTTTTCTTTTTTTAATGAGTAGAAAGCATTGTCTCAAAGGAAATCTCTGGAGAACCCCACAGGAAACCATTTACAGCTCAGTGGTAAGAGGACATGGATGAAGGTTGCTAGAGAAGTTGGGGAGGGGTGGGGGATAAGGAAAGATGGGGAGGATCACATCTATCTAACCATGCAATCAGCACTCTATGTCCCAGGGTGTCATGGCTCTGTCTCCATCTTCCCTGGACTTCCTGGATCTTTGCCTCATCCTATCATACTGTCAGTCAGATTCCTGATTCCCCAGACATTTGAGTCTCCCTTTATCCCAGCCTGCCTGGCCCAGAAAGTCTCAGTGCTGCTTCTTCCGCCCCATCCTAAACCCACTCCTCAAAGGTCACTGTGGGTATCCATCCATACACACACCAGCAGCATAAAAAAAAAAAAAAAGCATTGCTTTAACTAGATGCAAACTCTAACCTCATGCAGCATTCAGTTTGTACAATCTCCTTGTATAAAGACAGCAAGATAAGGGGGATTGCACTTCGAAAGTCGCTGGGAACATCTTCCTTTCCTGCGTTTAGCAACCTCCTAGGGTGAAGTCATTTTGTGCACAATCTCAACTCTCCCTGCTTAGCTACACAACCTCTTGTCTTCCTGCTATGAAACAAAACCAGAGCTAGGAGGGCAATTCCCTGAGCTCTCCCGCAACGACACCCACCACCTTCCCCGATGCCCACTCTTGCCTGTCGGCAGCGATGGCAGTCATGGAGTAGATGCTGACGAACATGGCTGTGATGGGAAAGAGGTTCTGGAAATAGCAGAAGGCGCGGCCAAAGTACCAGATGTTGTGACTGGCGTAGACAAAGTTGAAGGTGGCATTGAAGGCTGCCATGCAGAGGTCTGCCAAGGCCAGGTTGATGATGAAATAGTTGGTGACTGTGCGCATTCTCTCGTGGGCCAGAATGATCCAGATGACTGTGGCGTTGCCTGTTACAGCGACCAGCACCAGACCCAGGTAGGCTGTGGCCCACAGTGCCAGCTGCCAGGCAGGCATGGAGAAGGCGGTGACACCAGTGGTGTTGCTCTCGAGGCCAGAAAAGATGTTGGTGTCAGTGACAATGGCACGGCCCCCCATGGCCGATTCTGGGCCAGGAACACAGGGTCTGGCCCTGCAGTTCTTTCTGGAATTGCTACAGAAGAGAAGTCCTCTTTGGTGTGTGAAGATATATGGGAGTGAGGACAATTTAAAAGCAGACACGTGTAGCCAGGGGGCCACACCTACAGCTCCAGCAGAAATGAGTTAGGCTCAGCAGAAAACAGGCTTCCAGTCAGACCATTCAACCATCTTGTGGAGATGGAGTAATCAATCTCAGAGCAGGAGGCATCCTGATAGATAGCACGCTGGTTCCGCTCCTTCACACCACAGTCAGAGAGAGGACAGGTCCAGCCGTGGGCATTCAGGAACTTGGTGACAAGTCAGGACTTGAATTCATCTCTCTTAGTGCTATTCGGGGTACACTTCCAGATGAGAGGTGCGCACAGTGTGGCGAGTCTGTAGGTCCTACAATCCCAGTGTGCCGACTTTCTAGTGCAGGCTCTCAAGGCTGCCAGCCCTCAGCCCCTGCTCCCAGCTCCTCCCTGCAGGGCAGGCAGGCGAGGGCCTTGGCAGAGGTGCTGCCTGCTCCCGCCCTCAACTCACCCCCTGCTTGGATGGTTGGGCTTTGTCTCTGGAAAGATTTAGGACCTGCTGGGAAGCTGGGAATAGGGAGAGACCTCGGGAAGCCGGGCACAGCCTGGGTGGGCGTGGCATAGAGGGTGCAAGCCTCAGTGTTTACATTCTGCCAGGTGGGAGCTGCTGGAGTATACTGGCATTCGCGTTGGGGAATGAGAATGCCTCCAGGCTGGCTTGGGAACCCCAGGCAAGTAATTTACTCTGCTTGCAAAGAAAGTCAGTGTTCAGGAATACCCAGTGGGGGTATGAGGGTGAGTTTGATCCGGTGTCAGTCAAGTGATAAGGGCTGGATTCTGGGCCTCTGGCTCTGCCCCTGACTGACTGACTGGCCAGGCAATCCTGGTCATTTCTCATCTCAAACCTCAGTTTCCATAGATGTAAAATTGAAATTTGAGGGGGCTGGAGAGATGGCTCAGTGGTTAAGAGCTGGGTTCAATACCCAGCACCCACTTACAGACTATAAGATAAAGACAGTGCTAAGCCACACAGCCCAAGACTTTTTCTTAAAGATAGGGTTTCTCCCCCAGAGAAGTGGAAAGAGGCAAGATCTCCAGAGCAGATTGGGAACATGGGGGGAGAAGAGAGGGAACCAGGAAAAAGAGAGGGGGATAAGAGGAGGGGAGAAGAAGGCATGGGGGAGCAGGAAGGTTGAGCTGGGGTAAGAATAGAGGAGACCAGGATGAGAGATACCATAATAGTTGGAGTTATTATAGCTTTGAGGAGAGAGCTGACACTAGTGAGATTTCCAGAGATGTACAACTAGAAAACTAAGTAATAGCGGAGAGACTACATTAATAGCCCCTACCTGACGATAAGGTTGATGACTACTTTATGTGACATCCTAGAGCCTTCATCCTGTGACCAATGGAAGCAGTGACAGATACTCACAGCTAAACACTGAACTGACCCCCTGGAGCCCAGTGACAGAGATAGAGGAGTGATGAGCAAGGCGGTCAAAACCCACAAAGACAGCTGACTGGACAAGGGGGAGCCCTTGAACCCCAGACTGATGACTGAGAGGCCAACAGGGGACCGATCCAGACTCCATGAATGTAGTGTCAGTGAGGAGGCCTCAGAAATATCTGGGGCCTTGGGTAGTAGACTAGTGTTCACCATATACAAATGAACTTTGGGAGCCCATTCCACATGGAGGGATGCTCTCTCAGCCTGGACACATGGGGAAGGGCCTAGATCCTGCCCTGGATGAAATGACAGACTCTTGGATATCCCCCCAAGGAGGGCCTCACCCTCCCTGGGGAAGAATGTGGGGATTGGGCTGGGGGTGGGGGTGGGGCTGGTGGAGGGAGAAGTGGGGGGATCTGGGACTAACATTTGAAGCATGCATGTTTCTAATTTAAATAAAAAACATACTTAATAGGGTTTCTCTGTAGACCAGGATGGCCTCGAACTCAGAGACCTGCTTCTGCCTCCAGAGTGCTAGGATTGTAGGCATGCACCACTACACCTGACTGCACGGCTTCTTTCTAAGCAGTTCTTACTGGGAATTTCCTGATGAGCCCATCAATGCTATAATAATATCTATTGTTTGCTGTCCTGGCTGGACTGATGTGCAAAGTATTGTCTGGGGACTGGAGGACCCAGCTTTTGACTTTGGAGAAGAGGTGCTTCTGGGGCTCCTCATCTTCCCTGGGATGAGCTAGAACAGTGGGTCATGACCCCTAGAACAGTCATCTGAAACCATCAGAAATATCAGATATTTCCATTACGATTCGTAACAGCAGCAGAACTGCAGCCATGAAATAGCAACAAAAATAATTTTATGGTTGTGTGTGTATGGGGGTGGGAGATGGGGGTCACCACAACATGAGGAACTGTATTAAAGGGTCGCAGCATTAGGAAAGTTGAGAACTGCTGAGCTAGAGAGTTCCGAAACTCCTGAACACAATACAGAGCTGGCCACATTCTTTGCCAGGCCACCAAGGCCGGTTTCTTCCCTTGGATGAACCACCATGTTTTGGTCTCTGTCTTTGATCACTTGGTGGCAGCAGTGGCATCCAGTCAACCCTGGGTTTGTTCCTGTCCCATGCTTGTTTGGCCCCCATCCCAGAGGACAAAGTCTGTAGCAGGAAGAATGGAAACCATTTTCTCTTTGCTAGTCCGATCTGTGCTCAGGCAGCTGCATTATGTTGAGCTTTGGTCCGCAAACCCAGCGGAGAGCAGAGATGCCTGAGAGTGTGTCACCAGCTCCAGAAACCCGGAATAGCACAACCCCGCCCCTGCCACTCCACTGTGTATGTAATGGGGATTATACTCTGGAGCTATTAAATCTGAGTTTTTATTTCCCCCCTAAATCATAAACTCTTGCAGCTTTCCAACAATGCGCCGGAAGGCTCCGGGATGGAGAGGTGCTCCCCTCTGGGGGACAGGCGGACAGAGTGTGGCTGATCAACTGTGCTTTTTCAGGGCCGGCCCTTGGAATCTGTAGGCCAATTTTCAAGAGGAAAGACAGGTATTGTTGGTTAATTTTACTCTTTTGGCTTTTTTTTTTGGTGGGGGGCACCACCCAGCTCCCAAATAAATCACATGGAATCTTATTCTTACTTATGAATGTCTGGCCTTAGTTTGGCTTGTTTCTAGCTTTTCTTAAATTATCCCATCTATCTTTTTGCCTCTGGGTTTCATCTTTCTCTATTTCTGTATGCCTCTCTTTCCTTTCTGTGTGGCTGGGTGACTGTCCCTGATGTCCTCCTCTCCTTGCTCTATCTTGCTCCTTCTTTCTCCCCCCAGATCTCTCCTGCCTGCCAGCCCCACCTATCCCTTCTCCTGCCTTGCTATTGGCCATTCAGCTCTTCATTAAACCAATCAGGTCTTTTAGACAGGCTAAGACTCACAGCTTCGCAGAGTTAAAGAAATGCAACAGAAAAGAATGCAACACATCTTTGCATCATTAAACAATGTTCCACAACATAACCAGATGTGACACATCTTCAACTAATATTCTACATTTTCCCCTTTTGTCTAAATAAAAATGCAAGGTTTTAACTTTAACACAGTAAAACTATATACAACAAGAACAGTTATCAAGTAAGAATTAATTTACAAATATTCAGTCCATTTGCATTTAGCAAATTCAGAGAAAATATTACATTATTTATCTTATCTTACTGAATCCAAAGTTTTACACCTAACTTAAGTTTCTTTCATAATTAAAGAAAACTGTATCCAAGTCTTCAACTCCACCCAAGACCCAGAAGGAATTACTATTACCTAAAAAGCAGGAAGTACATTGTAAGCAACTCCCGAGACTCTAGAAATGACAGAGACTTCTAGCTCACTGGACAGTCACCCAAAGTTTCTCTACAACATTGGGACATCCATATTCAGCCTACAGGAGTAGAGTATCTGACAGACTTTTCAGTGAATCAGGAAAGTTAAATGACTGTTCTGCCTATATTCCCCTAAATTACAACAAATACCCATAACCCACCAGATAATGAAAAGCCTCCAACAATCCAACTCTTGGGAATGTGAATGTCGTGTTCTCTAGACTGCCTCTTGTTGAATGGGAGTGAAGGCATCTTCAGGGTCCCTGAGAAATTTTGAGATAATCACCAAGTCTTGGGAAGACCAGCAGTAACCTTTGTTGATAGATATCACCTGTCAAGACTCAAGAGAGCTCCCCTGATCAAACCATATTAACCTGGAAGAAATCCACAGCTTCTCACTTCCTGTGGGAACAAAAGCCAAACCTCTCCTCCAAAGCATTTTTGATTTCCATTTGACAGATATGTTTCTTGACTTCCATTTTAAAGTTAAAGCATTCCTAAAGGGTATGGGCTGGTTTATTTCAACAGTCCCTCTGTCAACTCTAGGTTTCTTGGCAGCTGTTTGTTTATCAGCAATCAAAAAATTCAAAATCAACACAATACTATACAAGATTACAAGATCCAGATTCCCTGTGTATTTCCCATCTTTACATGGCTTTTTTTCTTTTACTGTTGTCTCTTTGAAGGCTTTATATTTTTAACCAGTTTCTTTCTTTCTTTTTTTTTTTTTTTTTTTGGTTTTTCGAGACCGGGTTTCTCTGTGGCTTTGGAGGCTGTCCTGGCACTAGTTCTTGTAGACCAGACTGGCCTCGAACTCACAGACATCCGCCTGCCTTCTATGACTGTTTGTGCTCATTTTCTTTTCTTTCTTAAGCCAACACACATTGTAAAACACACTGGACCCTGTTTACAGTTTTATTTCCCAATCTGGACCGCTTTTGCTGCGTATCTTTCAGCCTTCTTTGACTGCGCGAGCAATCTTTAGACTGCTAAGCTGCGATGGGTTCTCCGCATTGCTCTACTGCTACTCGATTGGTTGGCTCCACTGCTACTTAGGTAGTGAAAAACCAAGCCTAAAGCTCGCCATCCTGCCAGGGGTAAGTGACCAGACTGCATCCGACCTTCCTAGCTGTTGGAACGCAGAACCTGCATTGCCATGAGCGGTTTTTACCTAGCTTGCCATTTCTATTTGGTGCTGCCCACTGAACAGCAGTGTTTATTAAATGGACAGTATCCTTTTTCTTTCTTTTTTTTTCTCTTTCAGCTTTCTCAGGCCTTACATGGAAATATGAGCTCCACATTTGAGCACCAAATTATTGGCTTTTTTTTGTGGGGGGCACCACCCAGCTCCCAAATAAATCACACATGGAATCTTATTCTTACTTATGAATGTCTGGCCTTAGCTTGGCTTGTTTCTAGCCAGCTTTTCTTAAATTATCCCATCTATCTTTTGCCTCTGGGCTTTTATCTCTATTTCTGCATACCTTTCTTTCCTTCCTTCTCCATGGCTTGCTGCATAGCGAGGTGGCTGTCCCAACATCCTCCTCTCCTTGTTCTATCTTGCTCCTTCTTTCTCCCCCCAGCTCTCTCCTTCTATTTATTCTCTCTGCCTGCCAGCCCCACCTATCCCTTCTCCTGCCTTGTTATTGGCCGTTCAGCTCCTTTCAAGCTATCAGGTGTTTCAGACAGACAAAGAATCACAGCTTCACAGAGTTAAACAAATTCGGCAAAAAAGAGTGCTACACATCTTGAATCATTAAACAATGTTCCACGGGATAAACAAATGTAACACATCTTCAACTAATATTCCATAACAGACATCAAAATGGGACAGTTAAGCCAGGCTTGGCGACACAAGACAGAGAGATTAAGAGTTATAGGCCATCCTTGGCTACGCAGCCGGAACTACATGAGACCATGTCACAGACGAATAGTCTGGGGAGATAACCTTAAAAGCATGAGGGCCTGAGTTCCATACTGAGAACCCACATAAAATAGGATGGATGTTGTCTTAGTTAGGGTTTCTGTTGCTGTGAAGAGACACCATGACCATGGCAACTCTTATAAAGGAAAGCATTTGATTAAGGTGGGGGATTACAGTGTCAGAGGCTTAGTTCATTATCATCCTGGTGGGGGAGCATAGAGGTATGCAGGCAGACATGGTGCTGGAGAAGGACCTGCTACATGTTGATATGCAGAGAGCAAGATGTAGACTGACACACTGGGAGTAGCTTGAGCATATATGACCTCAAAGCCCACCCCCACACTGACACACTTCCTCCAACAAGGCCACAACTCCTAATAAAACCACTCCCTCTGGGGGTCATTTTCTTCCAAAACACCATTCCTTGGTCCCCAAGGGCTTGTAGCCATGTCATAATGCAAAAAAATGCTATTCAATCCAACTTCAAAAGTCCCCATAATCTATAACAGTCTCAAAACTTGTTTAAAAGTCTAAAGTTCAAAGTCTCTTCTGATACTCATGCAATATCTTAACTGTAATCCCCTATAAAATTAAAATAAAAAACAGGTCACATACTGCCAATATATAGTGGCACAGGATATGCATTACCATTCCAAAACGTAGGGAAGGGAGCATAGTGAGGAAATATTGGACCAGGGCAAGACCAAAAACCAGCTGGTCAAACTCCAAGCTCTGCATCTCCACGTTTGATGTCAAAGCACTCTTCAGAGCTTCCACGCCATTCGGCTTTGGTGACTGCAACACACGTCTTTCTCCTGGGCTGGTTCACTCCCTGTTAGCAGCTTTCCTCAGCAGGTATCCCAGGACTCTGGCATCTCCAAAATCTTGGGGTATCCAAGGCAATCCAGGCTTCAACGTCATAGCTTCACGCAATGGCCTCTCTAGTTCTCCATTCAAGGACACCCCTGCCACCTGCCTGGCTTCAGTGGTTTTCCTTAGATGCAGAAGCAAATTCCATAGCCCCTTTCTTCTGTCCTTAACTCCAGAACCACGTGGCTGAAACTGCCAAGTCCTGCTGCTTGCTGGGGCTGGAACATGGCCCCTTGTTCAATTACATCTTCACCAGCTTTCCATTTTCCACGGCTACCTTCTCTGCCTAAGCTTGGCTGTCCTGAAACTGAATCTGCAGACCAGGCTGGCCTCATACTCAGAGATCCACCAGCCTCTACCTCAGGAGTGCTGGTATTAAAAGGCTGTGTTCAAGGTCACCCTCAGCTACGTTATGATCAAAACATCAAAACCATATCAGGCTCTTAAGGTACTGGAGGAGGATGTGGGAGTCTGCAGTGTTCCTGGGTTATGGATCATAGATCGCTCCCCTCTGTCTACAAATGCCAGGAGTCCAGGATTGATCCTCTGGGAGGCGAGCTGTGTGCCCCTTGGCTGGGGAGTCAGTGGCCCAGACCATTAAGCCGAGAGACAGAGAGCCAGCTTCTGCCAAGAGTGCAGGCTGCTGTTGACATCTTTTTTAAACACAGAGCGTGTGCTGGGGCAGTGCCTTGCCCTAAAAGCTTGAAGTTTATCTAGCCAGCAGAGAAAGGCTGGAGTGTTTACATCTGCCGTGCCGCTGGTATACACAGAGCTCAGAGGTTCTTAACACACACCCAGCACCGAGCTCTCACAGAATCTGGCCATCTATGGCAGGCAGAGGAGGAAGTAGTGAGGCAGCCTGACCCCCTCCCTAAGTAGGAGTGGGGGGTCCATCCCTGAGCTAGCCTGGGTATCTCAGACAGAGGGGACTTGGCATCTACCCAGGATGTCGGCCAATGTGACACTGCAGCCTGGCTGAGGCGAGGAAAAGGGGCTGCCAGAGTCTGTCTGCCAAGGGACTCCAGCCCCTGGGACCTGTAGGTGGCTAGCTAACCAGGTGCTTAGACAATGGGCTCAGAGCTAGGAGAAAGAGTGATGTATTATCTTCATGCGGTCCCCAATCAAGATGAGGAGCCATGTCCCAGGCTGGCAGCAGGAGCTCCCTGGAACTTTCTGTTGAATGGCTGACACGAGCCTTCAGCTTCAGGGGAAGGCAGAAGAGGCCTCTAGTGGTTTTGGATGGTGAGGAGGGACCAGAGGAAGGGATGTGGGAATGAGCTTTGATGATGAGACAGGTTGGACCCAAGCAGGCTAACAGGAAAGTTGCAGGAAGAGTATAAACCTCAGTTCACAATTCCTGGGATTAAAAAAAGGTTTCATCCTAGCCACAGGGTCCATTTTGTTGAGCTGGCATGACTTCCAGTGCCATTCACTTCATGGTGAATCTCCCTAGCTCACAAAACTGCACACGGTGCCGAGGCTTGTGGAGGGGTCTGGATGGCTACTGAGATTTCTCAGGCCCCTATTTCTTCAGGCTTCCAGAAAATGACAGGGTTTTGGGGGACTCTTATTTCTGAGAGGTGCCTGGGGCCCAGGAATTTGGGGGCTTATCTGGGGAGAACTGCAGGACCATCTCTCCAGAACCCCACCTTGTGGTCATTTCTTCTACCTCCCCTCAGGGAAGGGAACGCTAGCTTCCCTGGGCCTCACCATCATTTTCCTTCCTCTTGTCTCAGGGAGCCCTCCCTTCTGTGAATCTTCCAGTGTCCTTCGAACTCCACGGGGAGATAATCTGATTTCCTCCAGGGCATGGGGACTTCTCATCTTCAGAGCTTCTTAGGAAATGGAAAAAAAATGCATTCCATCCTTCCATTGTAGGGGAGAAGGTCAGGGAAAATGAAAGCTAATTTTCCACATTAACACAACCAGGAGCCCCTGGTGGTGAGGGCCTGTAATCCAGCACTTGGGAGGTGCAGGCGGAGGTTCCAGGTTAGTCCTGGCTACGTGAAAGGTTTAAGGGAGGCTGTGATATATGAGAGTTTGCCTCCAAAATAAAATAACAAAGCAACCAGACTATCCACATCCTGTCTAGGAGAGGGGGCCGGCTGGGGAGTGAATGGAAATATAGCGGTGTATCACCAGGTCTGACTCAAAGGGCTCTTTTGACCATTGATGTTGACCCAAGGGAGGCCTATGCAAGGCCACTCAGATCAGTGGTTCTCAACCTTCCTAACGCAGTGACCCTTTAGTACAGTTCCTCATATTGTGGTGACCCCCCCATCATAAAGTTATTTTCATGGCTGCTTCATAACTGCAACTTTGCTACTGTTGTGAATTGTAATGTAAGTATCTGTTTTCCGATGGTTTTAGGTGACCCCTGTGAAAGGGTCATTCGACCCCCCGAAAGGGTCATGACCCACAGGTTGAGAAGTGCTGATTTAAATATTTACTGACCTCACAGGCAGGGAGCACAGGCTGGCGTTGTCATGGCTGGACTGAACTGGGAATTATATCATGCTGGCCCTCATAATAGGCATTTGGGTTACTTGTGTCTATTGAAAAGACGTCAGGCAGCTGGAAGGTTAACCCTCCTGAGACATAAGAAACAGTGAGGAAAGGAAGTGTTGTGTGGCTTCAACTCATATGGAATACCATTTAGTCGTGTCTGTCATAAATAACTTCACATAAACAGAAAATGCTTAGCTCCACACTCTTTCCCTCTGCTCCCAGGCCAGCCTCGGTGACTGTGAGACCCAGCCTCAAACACACAGTCACTTTCTGCACCTTGAAGTCGGCTCCCGTGACTCTGCCCAGGAGCTATGACTGTTACCTGCACATCGCCGTGTTAGCTTATCAGCATGGTCATTGTCAAGCATGTTTCTGCATCTTTTATCTTTATTTTATGTGTCTGTAGGGGCTTGGGGGGGTGCACATGCATGTGGGTGCTCCTGGAAGCCAAAAGAGATATCAGATCCCCTGGAACTGGAGTTACAGACGGTTATGAGCCAACGCAGGGTCGCTGGGAATTGAACCTGGATCTCTCTGAAAGAGCACAGCCATCTCTCCAGTCGGTCTTTCTTATTTTTTGAGGCACTCTCTCTTCTTGAGCCTGGAGCTCATCAATTTGGCTAGGCTGGTGGCCAGTGAACTCCATTCTCCCTCCCCTAGCATGGGATTACAGGTGTACACTGCCATGTCTGGCTTTAATGTGGCTCCTGGGGATCCGAACTCAGGTCTTCCTGTGTGCACAGCAGCCACTCTACTGACTGAGCCACCCACCCCCAGCCCATGTCCAGGAAAATTAAATGAGGTCCAAGGTAGGACGGTCAAAGCTTCACCCCTTCATGTCTCACTTCCCACTGGCTTCTCCGAGACTGGAAGTTTCTCCTGAACGTCCCCAGAGTAGGACGTCTTCCCACAGATACAGCTTTCTCCTTTTTAATCCTTAGATACTAGCAGATACCACGTCCTCCAGGAAGCCTTCAAGTACTTCCTGTTGGCCACCCAATAGCACTTGCTTGCTCTTCTGTAGCTGTGCCTTGTCTCTTGAGTGAAGGGTAGAGACGATTGGTCTTGAACTCTCCTGCAACCACTGACACAGCCACAAGCTATGCAGCTTCCCAGCTGGACCAAGAGGCTGAAGTTCAGGCCAGGTACTCACTGGCAGACTGTGCTGGGAATCAGGCCTCCAGGCTCTCTGCTACTGCCCAGGACTTCCTGCTCAGCAGTGTTCTGCAGAGACCCTTAATCACTGATGCATCAAGCTTGTGGCTGTCCTGAATGATGCTGGCCTGAGCACCAAGGGAAGCCATGTCTTTCTCATCCCTTTCTTTTTTAATTTTTTAAATTTAAATTAGAAACAAGCTTGCTTAGCATGTCAATTCCAGCTCCCTCTCCCTCCCTTCCTCCCCTGCCCCCCCCAAGCCCCCCAAGCCCCTGACCCAATCCCCACTCCGTTCCCAGGGAGGGTGAGGCCCTCCATAGGGGATCTCCAGAGTCTGTCATTTCGTTCAGGGCAGGGCCTACCTCTCCCAAGTGTCCAGGCTGAGAGAGATCCTTCATTGTAGGATGGGCACCCAAAGTCCATTTGTGTGCCAGGAATAAATTCTAATGTACTACCCAAAGTCCCATAGATTGCCTAGGCCTCCTCACTGACACCACATTCAGGTGGTCTGGATCAGTTCCATGCTGGCCTCTCAGCCATCAGTCCAAGATCTCCCCCCTTGTTCAGGTCAGCTGTCTGTCACTGGATTCCAGGAGTTCAGTTCAGTGTTTAGCTGTGGGTATCTGCCTCTGCTACTGGATGGAGGTTCTAGGATAGCATATAAGGTAGTGTCAAACTCATTATCAGGGAGGGGCATTTAAGGTAGCCTCTCCACTATTGCTTAGTTTGCCAGTTGGTGTCATCCTTGTAAATCTCTGGAAACCTCACTAGTGCCAGATCTCTCCTCAAACCTATAATGACTCCCTCTATTATGGTATCTCTCATCCTGATCTCCTCTATTCTTCCCCTGACTCAACCTTCCTGCTCCCCAATGTCCTCCTCTCTCCTCCTCTTCTCCCCCTCTCTTTTTCCTGGCTCCCTCTCCCCTCCCCTATGCTCCCAATCTGATCAGGAGATCTTGCCTCATTCCCTTTCTCTGGGGTACCATGCATATCTCTCTTAGGGTCCTTCCTGTTTCCCAGACTCTTTAGCAGTGGGATTGTAGGCTGGCAATCCTCTGATCCATGTCTAAAATCCATCTATGAGTGAGTACATATCATGTTAGTCTTTTTGTGACTGGGTTACCTCACTCAGGATGATTTCTTCTAGTGCCATCCATTTGCCTGCAAATTTCAAGATTCCATTGTTTTTTTTTCTGCTGAATAGTATTCCATTGTGTAAATGCACCACATTTTCTCTATCCACTCTTCACTTGAGGGGCATCTAGGTTGCTTCCAGGTTCTGGCTATTACAAATAGTGCTGCTATAAACATAGTGGAACAGATGTCCTTGTTGTGTGAATGTGCATCTTTTGGGTATATGCTTAAGAGTGGAGTTGCTGGGTCTTGTGGTAGACTGATTCCCACTTTCCTGAGGAATCTCCATACTGATTTCCATAGTGACTGTGTGAGTTGGCACTCCCACCAGCAGTGGAGGAGTGTTCCCCTCTCTCCACATCCTCTCCAGCATAAATTGTCTTCGGTGTTTTTGATTTTAGCCATTCTGACAGGAGTAAGATGGTATCTCAAAGTTGTTTTGATTTGCATTTCCCTGATGGCTAAGGATGTTGAGCACTTTCTTAAGTGTCTCTCAGCCATTTTAGACTCCTCTATTGAGAATTCTCTATTTAGTTCTGTAGACCACTTTTAGCTGGATCCTTGTTTTGGAGACTCCCTTCTTGAGTTCTTTGTAAACTTTGGAGATTAGCCCTTTGTCAGATGTGGGGTTAGTGAATATCTTTTCCCATTCTGTGGGCTGCCCTTTTGTCTTGTTGACTGTGTCCTTTGCCTTGTGAAACTTCTCAGTTTCAGGAGGTCCTATTTATTAATTGTCGATCTCAGTGTCTGTGCTACAGGAAGCTGTCTCCTGTACCAATTCGTTCAAGGGTACCTCCCACTTTCTCTTCTAAGAGGTTCAGTGTGGCTGGATTTATGTTGAGGTCTTTGATCCATTTGGACTCTACCCCAGCTCCTCCCTGAGCTCAACTTCCCTTATCTCCACAATGTAGGCTCACTCTGTAATACACAGATGATGCCACCAGGGGGCAGACTTACAAAACAAATCCTGTGACTACTGTATGCAGTTTTATTTCTTTCTATAAAACTAGGATTTATAGTCCTGGCTGACCTGGGACTCATTCTGGCCCCAAATTCACAGATACCCACCTCCATCTGCCTCCTGAGTGCTGGAACCAGAGGTGTGAGACATCATGCCTGGCCCTGTGACTACAGAACTTTTAAGAGCCTCTCCATTAGACAACAGTGATAGTGGTGGCAGTGACTATGACCAAGCATGACATCAGAGTACCCTCAGCAGCTTCTTTCTCTCTCCATCTCTCCACTCGAAGGCTTCTGTCCATGCAGCAGCTTATATTTCTTAGCCCACCAACCTCTCTCCATGCCCACTCTCCTGCTGCCTTTTGTTTGCCAAGAGTCATGAGCTATACTGCTTTGTGCCCTAACGAGGCCACTGGCTCCTGGACTTTGCAGCACACTGGAGTGATGTGGGGAGCTTCAGAACCTCCAGATGCCCACACCACCCTTGAGACCAAGGGCGTCAGGATGCCTGGGGCAGGCACCAAGTGCAGGGATTTTGAAAGAGCCTCAGATGGCTGCAGTTTGAGGTCAAATTTAGACACCACCCTGAGATTCTCTTCTATACTTTGGTTGCTCAGCCCATCTGTCAGACCCTTATGTAACATGGCTCCTTTTCCTAGAATTCAAAGAATTAACTAAAGGCTTTCCATGCCTGCACACTCACTACCCAGAACTGTTTTTTTTTTTCAACAGATCTTCTGCTGTTTCTGCATGTGACAGATTGAACACAACAGCTTTCCAATTGGAGAGAGGTGGCTTTTATAAACAAAGATTTACTACAGGGCATGGTGGCACGCATCTTTTATTCCACCACTTGGGAGGCAGAGGCAGGCGGATCTCTATGAGTTCGAGGCCAGCCTGGTCTACAGAGTGAGTTCCAGGGCAGCCATGACTACATAGAGAGAGCCTGGGAGGTGGGGAGGATTCTTCCTGGCAGAGGCGGGTGAATCTCTGTTAGTTTCAGGCCAGCCAAGGGTGCCCAGCGAGACCCTGCTTTGTCTGTGTGGTTATATACACATGTGTGCAGGAGCTCACACAAATCAGAAGCCTGGGATCTCTGCAGCTGGAGTTACAAGTGGTTCTGAACCACCTGACAGGGGTGCTGGGACCTGAACTCAGGTCCTCAGCAAGAGCAGTAAGAGCCCTTAACTGTGGCACTGCCTCTGCAGCCTCAGAGATCATTGTTACCCTTGTCATTTTGAATTTTGTACCAAATTCTGATTTTGGCAGTTCAACCCTGCAGAGCAGCAGTTCTCAACCCGTGAGTCGAGATCCCTTTGAGAGTCAAAGATCCTTTCACAGGCGTTGCCTAAGACCATTAGAAAACACAGGTATTTGCACTAGGATTCATAACAATAGCAAAATCACAGTTATGAAGTAGCAACGAGAATAATTGTATGGTGTCACCACTACAAGAGGAACTGTATTTGTATTACATGGGGGTGGGGGTGTCACAGCGTTAGGAAGGCTGCGCGGGCTTAGATGTCTGTCAGTGTGTTCAAAACCTTTCTGTACTGATTTCTACTTGAATTTCCAAACTTGGCTCACAACAGCCCAAGATGCTCGGGGCTACAGAAAATATGGCAAATGATTACAAGTCTTGGCTGGTTTTTAGTTTTTGGAGACAGAGTCTCACTGTGTAACCCAGGCTATGCTCACAAACATTGTTCTTCTGAGTCAGGGTCTCATGTAGTCGAAGCTGGCCTCAAACTTGCTAGGTAGCCAAGAATGACCTTCAACTCTTGATCCTCCTGCCTCAGCCTCCCTTGGCAAAGATTACAGACACGACATACCACAAGTTGCGTTTCATACAGTACCTTTCTGGAGAATTCTTCTTAGGTTACAGAATTCTGTCTGAGGCGTCGAGTGCCCTTCAAGTGAATGAGATCTTGGTGACGTACAGGCTCTTTGATGCAATTTAACATCCTCTGCGTTCGTGTCATTTCTCTGTGGTCCACATTCAAGAGTTAAAAATGAAATACTAATGCTTGCCTGGCACTCATTTCTCCAGGGACCCGGTTCTTTCTTCTAGACGAGAGCAGATTTTACAAAAAGAAAAAAAAAAGGAATTATTATAAAGACCTTGCAAATGAGAAAACAAAAATCACACACTGAAATTAACCAGACCCAAAGTGCATACACCTCCGTGAACTTCCAAAGCGTCTGGACAGCCAGCCTGCAGCCGTGGAGCTTCACATTGGATTTCACATCTCCACTATTGGATACATTTGATGCACTCGTCCACCACAACACGAGGCAATCCATGGCAGAGTTGAAACTAAAAACAAGAACAAGAACAAAAAACCCGACTTGCTTTCTATCTTCTCTCCTGACTCATGTTCTTATCTGCGTCAGTCCTTCCTCCTCACCCACTATTTTCATTTCTACATGCTGAGAAGCTGGACTCTGCTCCTAAAGGGGGGTTTTTAGGGCTGGAGTAATGACTCAGCACTTGGGTGCTTGCTCCTCTTACAGAGAACCTGGATTCAGGTCAAGCCCAGTTCCAGAGGATCCAGCGCCCTCTTCTGGCTTTCTTGGGTATCACATACACACAGGCAAAACACTCATACATATAAACAAAGATAGAGGAAATATAAATAATTTTAAAAGTTTTTCTTCACCAAAAAGAACCTTTCTTGCACAATCTCTGTAATCATTGCTTCTCATATTAGTTAGAAACATCCTCAGGGGAGCTGGAGAGAGAGCTCAATGGTTAAAAGAGCACTGACTGCTCCTGCAAAGGACCTGGGGTCAATTCCCAGCACCCACCTGGCAGCTTATAACCGTCTGTGACTCCAATTCCAGGGGATCCAGTGCTCTCTTCTGGCCTCCTTAGGATACTAGGCATATACACAAAACAACCATAAAATAAACTTAGAGAAAGAAAAAGGGAAAAGAAATATTTTCAGATACAAGTAACAAAATTTGAGTAAAAAAAATGATTGTCGCCAACAGTTGCTGACTTTTCTTACTTAATAAGACCCTTATAAAGAGGTTAAAGAGGTACTTTCTGGCTTTGGCTACGTGGATCGGCATCCGTGGGCACTGCAGCTCCCGGCATCATGTCTGCACGGGCATTTATATCAGAAAAACAAAATCTTCTGGCTCCGATGACAGCTGATAGGGAGGGACGGTGGTAATGAGATGTGTCAGCTTTTCAGCCTTCAACACGGAGTCAGAGAAGGGCGGTGGCAGTGGGGAAGGGCTAGGTCACTTGGCTGACAGCACGGGCCACATTTATTCATCTTTGCTTTACCTCGTATCCCTTCTTCTTCCTTTTCTTTTGTATTACTCTACACGGTGAGCTTTCTCTCTCACTTTGTCTTCTAGGCCACTGAGTGAAGTGTGTGTGTGTGTGTGTGTGTGAGCATGTCACTTCCAGGAACTGGTTATCTCCTCCTACCTCGTGGGATCTGGTGATGGAACTCACGTTGTCAATCTTGCCAGCAAACATCCCTACCCACTGAGCCATCTCGTTAACCCCAGACCAAGGTTGAATTTTCAGTCTTGACTGCCCCCTATTGGACACTGGCTCACCACCAAGAATCAGGGATCGCTTCTGCCCCGAGGATGTCAGACCTTCCCTCCTGGTCCTGTCCTTCCACCAGGGCTCAGGAAAGTGAAGCCCTCCTGGTTCTGGCCCTTGTAGAGGTGGGACGTGAGTGTTCTCAGACTCAGCTGTCCCTTTGATCTAGGCCCCCTGGTCCTCCTGGCTGGGGGAGAGGGATGCACAGCCCCGACTCAATCATGGAAATGGCAGGGTCCATTTCAGCCAGATTTGTAAAGGTTATGCTTTGCTTCATGGATGAACATTTTCTGTATAAGTGGATATTGTAAATCCAGGCGTGACTTCATGCATGACACTGGCCCGGCCTTCTCAAGAGGCTCCGTCAGTGGTTTCATTGAATTAGGTTGGTGGTCCAGTCAAGGTGATGCTTGCTTTGTATCCGGTTACACGGGAGGCAGAGCCTAGAGGGTTATCAAAGGCAGCCTGGGCTTGAAATATAACCAGGGGCTGGGGAAGAATATGTGGTCAGTCACATCTATCTTCCTAACACTGGGGAGGCAAAATCAGCCAACCTCAGTGTCAGCCTCAGCTTCAGCCTCACGAAGAGTTATCCCAGCCCTGTCTCAAAAAACAAAACAAAACAAAAATCAAAAACCCACACAGAACTGCCAAGATGGCTCACCGGGTAAAGGTGCCTGCTGCCAAGCATAGCCGCCTGGACTTGATCCTCAGTCCTATATAGTGGAAGGAGAGAAACTTTCTGTTAGATGTTCTCTGGCCTCAACTCTTGAACTATGGCAGGCCTATGCACACATACATAAAAAATACACATTAATAAAAAACAGATTGCATCTTAGTCTGGCAGTGGTGGGGCACGCCCTCAATCCCTGTGCTCGGGAGGCAGAGGCAGGCGGATCTCTGTAAGTTCAAGACCAGCCTGGTCTACAAGAGCTCGTTCCAGGACAGTTTCCAAAGTCACAGAGAAACCCTGTCTTGGGGGGGGGGATTGCATCTCATGGTAAGAGGGCATTTGTTTCATGCAACTTTTTAACCCAGTGACGTTGTTACCATTTGCACAATGACAAAAATTGCCCAGTGGTGGCCCAAGCTTTTAATCCCAGCACTTGGTAGGCAGAGGCAGGCGGATCTCTGTGAGTTCAAGGCCAGCCTGGTCTACAGAGTGAGTTCCAGAGCAGCCAGAGCAGTTACACAAAAAAACCTTGTCTCAAAAAAACAAAAAACAAAACAAAAAACCCTAAACAAAATGAAACAAAATTGCCCAGTGCATGTCTCTGAAACCTAAGGATTGCACAAGGGCTCACTGTGTTTTATTTACCAAGACTACCAGTCTGGTATTTAATGTGAGCCAATTCAGTCCCTAAGAAGGCACACTGGGCTTGCTGGACTCACAGCTCTTGAGGATGCACAGGGCTCTCTTGTGGTCTCCATGGGCACTGCACTCACATGCACAAACCCCCACACAGACATACACTTACACAAACATAATTTTTAGAAGGCTCAGGTAGGAAGATTGCAGGAGTTCAAAGAAAGTGTAGGCAACATAACAAGTATTTGGATTTTGTTTGTTTTATTGGTTGGTTTGGTTTAAAATATGAGAACTGTGATATTAGAAGCCACTTGGGGGCCGTTGGTTTGGTTTTGTGAGAGAATAAAATTGGAGGGTGGCTTGGTCTTTTACTAAAAGAAATCTACAATGCTCTCCACCCTGGCTGCCTTTAATTAGCAGGTTACCCAGGAACGCTGAAGCACTAAATATCAGGCTCCCAGAGCCCCCTTCCCAGGCCTCTGCTGCCACTCCCCACGACACTCCGAAGAGGCTGGGTTCTCCGCAGTCATGGAGAAATAGGTGGGGCCATTCCCTCAGAGAGGGAGAAAGAATGTTGCTTCCTGACTGCACAGAAGGTTGGGGACAGCCATGAGGAAGTGAACACCAACCCCAGGTTCCAGGTCCTGCAGGTTTCAGAAGGTCTGTATGATTGTACGGGATACAGTCCTGCTTGTCTTGTTGACCTCACAAAGGTCTGGTGCTGTCTCATAGGGAGAAAAAAAATGACAATGTAGTTCCTCTTGTTGGTAACAGAAAATAGAATTTTGTTAAGGGAAGGGCCTTCAGTTTTCTGAGCAGGGCCCAGAGGGCTTGGTCCTTGGGACAAGAAGCAGAAGCTGGGAAGCAGGTAGGAGGAAGTTGAGATGCCTGGAGTTAAAATACAGGAAGCAGAGAAAGGAGCCAGGGAGCTTCAAACACACGGTTGACCTCTCCAGGACCCAGCAAGGTTTTCATCAAATGTCTGAGGGGTTGGATCTCTACTGGAAGCTTGGGAAAGGGTCCAGCTCTGTAGCTTGCTGTAGGTGAGGCTGCCAGCAGCCAGTCTGAATGTCCCCAGGAGGAGCTAACTGGTGGCACGCGTTTATTAAGGTCTTCATGGTCCCAGCACTATGTGGCCCTGTCATCAAGCTCTGACCATGCTTGGTGGTGTGTAGCCATAAGATAGATAGTCTTTCTAGAGAACACACCTTTAATCCCACACTCAGGAGGCAGAGGCAGGTGATTTCTGTGAGTCTGAGGCCAGCCTGGTCTACAGAGCGAGTTCCAGGACAACCAGGGCTACACAGAGAAACCCTGTCTCAAAGAAAAGGTCTTGATTGTCCTTTCTAACTATCCAGTAGGCATGAAGACCTGGAGCAACTAATCTAGGGTTGTCCACGGTGCCACTTTATCTGCGGTACAGTCTATCACCAACAGCTGCCAGGGGTCTTAGAACCCGGCACATAGTCGAGAACACCGGTGAGTCACTGTCCCTGGCTCAGAATGGCACATCCATATATATGTCTTGTCTTGGTGTAAAATGTTCTGCCCCTTCTGTTCCAGGCCTCCAAGAGCCGATTCAGACTCTGTTGTCACCATGCAGAAGCTGTCATTTGGTTTCATTTTAAATTAAAAAGTGTGTGTGTGTGTGTGTGTGTGTGTGTGTGTGTGTGTGTGTGTGTGTGTGTAGAACAGAAGGCAGCTTTTAAGAGTCAATTCTCTCCTCCTACCATGTGGGCCCCAGGGATGTCTCTCAGGTTATCAGGCTTGGTGGCAAGTGCCTTTACCCACTGAGCCATCCTGCCAACCCTAAAAGCTGTTGTTTGAAGCTTTGTCCTCCAGAATTCACATGCTGGAAACTTCACCCCCCAAAATTCCTCTGTTAATGGTAATCGGAAGTGAGTCCTTTGGGAGGTCATCAGGAACAGAGGAGGTCATGAGGCTGAGCCTCCCATGATGGCTACTTTTATCTGTATTTTAGGGACAGGATCTTACTGTAGCTAGCTCGGAGCTCACTACAAAGCCAAGCATGGCTTTGATATTCTGATTGGCTTGCTCCCACCTTCTGAGCGCTGGAATTACAGACCTGGTGACCTGGTAGTGCTGAGGGTTGACCCTGGCTTGCACTCTGCTAGCTGAGCTACATTCTAGTCCACAGTAGGGGCTTTATAATGCTGGAGCAGTTGTGGAATGGGAGGGAGAAGAATTTTGGCATGTGATGCCCTACTGGGTTGTGACACAAGAGTGCTCACTGGACGCCAAGCACAAGAGGCACTATGTTCTTGGACTTCCCACTCCTTACAACTATGTGCTAAGTAAACACCAGTACTGTATGAGTTAGCTTGCCTCCATTATTTTCTTACAGCAACAGAAACCAAACTGAAACTAGATCCTCAGACTGCCAGGGGAGCCTAGCCAGATCCCCTGAGCCTCCTCCTTCCCGGCAGCACCCAGCTTTTCTGGAAGCAGGTGCCCTTTCCCCCACTACAAGCAACAGGTGGAACTCCTAGGATACCAGCCATTCCCTGCATTAGCCACACAGGCCTGGTCCAATATTCTGCCAGTCAGTGTACCCAGGCTGCTTTCCCAGAATTCCAGGCTGGGCCCCAACAAGGCCAACCCTGGCTGGTGGCTGATTCTGAGACCCTCTGCCACCTGAGCCATGGGACCAGCCTCTATGGCATTTTCTCAGTCTGTCGGCCCTTGGCACTGGCCTCTTCCTGGAAGAATCTATGACCTAACTCGAGAGTATACAATGGCTAAGACAGGACATTTGAAGAACCACAAGAGGTTAATCAACATGTTAAATATATTCAGCCTCACCAGTCATAGGGAAATGAAAACAAAAACAGGAATGTTTTCTTTTAAGAAACATTTTAGGGGGTTGGAGAAATGGCTCAGCTGTTAGGAGTACACTCTGCTCTTCTGGGGACCTGGGTTTGGTTCCCGGCACCCACTCTACGTATCTCACAACCATGTGTAGCTCCAGCTCCAGGGGACCCCACACCTTCTTCTGGACTCCATGGGTACCTGTAAAAACATGCCCACATACTCACAGATACACATATACAAGATATTAACAGTGTATCTTTAAAAATAAATGACTAAGGACAACAGCAACAAGACATTTCAGTGCCAGTTACTTGTGAAGCTGAGGCAGAAAGATCAAAAAGTTCAAAACCTAGGAAACTTAGTAAAACGCTACCTGGAAATCAGAAATAAAAAGAGATCTGGGAATGTAGTTCAGGGACAAGAGTGATTGCCCAGCAAGAGTGAGGTCTGGGGTTCAACTCCGGGGACTGCAAAAATAAAAACAAGAAATCCTTTAAGATCCACAGTGTCCTCCTCGTTGGGTTTTTGGGCAACTTGACACAACTAGTCATCTGGGAAGAGGGAGTTCAGCTGAGAAAATGCCTCCACAAGGTTGGTTATGGAAGCTGGGCATGATGGAGCACGCCTTTAATCCCTGCACTCAGGAGGCAGAGGCAGGCAGATCTCTGTGAGTTTGAGGTCAGTCTGGTTTACATAGTTCCAGGACAGCCAGAACTATGTAGAGAGACCTTGTTCTAAAATAAAATAAAAATAATTGACTTATGAGCAAGTCTGTGGGGCTCTTTCTTGGTTAATGGTTGATGTGGTTGGCATAGGCCACAGTGGGGAAGCTACTCCTGGGCAGTTGGGTCCAGGAAGTACAGAGGAACTAACAGAGTATGAGCTCGGTCTCTGCTTCAGTTCCTGCATCCAAGTTCCTGCTCTGCTTAAATTCCTGCCTTGGCTTCCCTCAATGATAAACTGTAATGGGGACATGTAAGCCAAATAAACTTTCTCCTCCCTGTAGTGGACCTCATAGGATTATTTATAGGGAGTGACACTATTAGGAGGCGTGGCCTTGCTGGAGTGGGTGTGGCTTTGTTAGAGGAAGTGGGTTACTGGGAGTGGACTTTGAGGTCTCAGATTCTCCAGCTAGACCTAGTGGTTCTGTCACTTCCTGATGCCTGAGGATCCAGAAGTAGAACTCTCAGCTATCTCTCCAGCACCATGGCTTCCTGCCTTCTACCGTTTTTCCCTCCATGATGACAATGGACTAAACCTCTCAACTGTAAGCCAGCCTCAGTGAAATGTTTTCCTTTATAACAGTTGCTGTGGTCATGGTGTCTCTTCACAAGAACAGAACCCTAACTAAGACACTACCCTAATTGCTTTTGGTCAGTGTGGTAGTCTGAATAAAAATGGTCCCACAATCTGTTCCACTATGTTCATAGCAGCTTTATTTGTAATTGCCAGAACGTGGAAGCAACCTAGATGTCCCTCACCCGAAGAGTGGATAGAGAAAATGTGGTACATCTACACAATGGAGTACTATTCAGCAGAAAAAAATAATGGAATCATGAGATTCGCAGGCAAATGGATGACACTAGAAGAAACCATCCTGAGTGAGGTAACCCAGTCACAAAAAGAGAAACATGGCATGTACTCTCTCATATATGGATTTTAGACATAGATCTGGGGAGTGCCAGCCTACAATCCTATGGCCAGAGAGTCTGGGAAACAGAAACTTTATTTAGTGGCTGATCGAAGAAGAGGCAGACTCCCTTGGTTAAGTACTGAGCTGAACTCAAGAAAGCCAGTAACAAAGAGGGAGGACTGATGATCAAAGGGATTAAGACTGGGCTGGTTTAACCCCCAGAAACAGCTGACCAGACAAAGGTTAACTCTTGAATCCCAGGCATTAGCCTGGGAAGCCAGCATGGGACTGATCAAGACCCCCTGAATCTGGGTGTCAGTGAAGAGGCCTAGGGAATCTATTGAGCCTTGGGCAGCAGATCAGTACCCATCCCAAGTATACACACGGACTTTGGACTCCCATAGAACAATGTGAGGTGCACTCTCACCCAGAACTCTTGGGAAAGGGTCTAGGCCCTGCCCTATATGAAATGACACACTATGGACACCCCCATGGAGGGCCTCACCCTCCCTGGAGAAATGAGGGGATAACCGGGGGTTGGGGGGGGTGGGGGGGAGGAGGGCACGGGAGGAAGGGAGGGAATGGGAGAGGGACCTGGAACTGACTTGTGAAACAACCTTGATTCTTATCTAAATTTAAACTGGAAAATAAAATAAAAAAAAATGGTCCCACAAGCTTGTATATTTAAATTCTTAATTATCAGGGAGTGGCACTACATGAGAAGGATTAGGAGGTGTGGCCTTATTGGAGTAGGTGTGGTCTTGTTGGAGGAAGTGTGCCACTGGAGGAGGGCTTTGAGTTTTCAAAAGTCCAAGCCAAGCCCAGTTTCTCTCCCTCTCCCTCTCCCTCTCCCTCTCTCTTTCTCTCTCTCTCCTCTTTGCCTCGCTCCGTCCTTCCCTCCCTCCCTGCTGCCTGTGAATTTGGATGTAAAATTCTCAGTAACTTCTCCAGCTCCATGTCTACCTGCACGTGGCCATGTTACCGCCATGATGACAAAGAACTAAACTTTTGAAAATTTTTGTTGTTGTTTTTCTTTGCGGGGGTTTCAAGACAGGGTTTCTCTGTGGCTCTGGAGGCTGTCCTGGAACTAGTTCTTGTAGACCAGGCTGGTCTCGAACTCACAGAGATCCACCTGCCTCTGCCCCACGAGTGCTGGGATTAAAGGCGTGCACCACCAACGCCCTGCTAAACCTTCGGAATTTTAAGGCAGCCCAATCAAATGCTTTCTTTTCCAAGAGTTGTTGTGGTCATAGTGCTTCTTCACAGAATAGAAGAGTGACTAAGACAATCAGTGTTTTATTATAGCAACAAAAAGTAAACTAAGATGTGCATGGTGTAACCCCACCACTCAGCAGGCTGAGGAGAAGCACTGGGCGCTTCAGGACAGCCTGAGCTACATAGTGAACATCCCTCCACCCACCCCCATCCCCACCCCTGTCTCCATCCACCGCCTCCATCACAAAACAGCAGCCAAAGCTCACACTTGTAATTCCAGCCCTAGGAAGATATGGGTAGTAGGATCAGAAGTTCAAGGTCATTGTATTAGTTACTTTTCTGAGGCTGTGACAAAATGCCTTGAGCAGAAGGAACTTGAGGAGGAAAGTTTATTTGGGCTCCAGCTGCAGATGGTGGGAGTCCATCATGGCAGAAAGGCTCAGCAGCAGAAGCACGGTGGCTGGAGCAGAAAGCCGAGAGAGCTCATCTCCAACCGTTTGCTGAAAGCCGAGAGAGCATCTCCAACCACTTGCAGAAAGCCGAGAGAGCTCATCTCCAATCACTTGCAGAAAGCAGAGAGAGTGCATCTCCAACCACTTGCAGAAAGCCGAGAGAGTGAACCAGAAGTGCAGTGAGGCTGTGGACTCTTAAAGCCCACCCAGGAAGACTGCATCTCCATACCCCCCTCAAAGAGCACATCATTTGGGGAGCAAGTATGCAAAGGCCCAACCCCATGGGGACATTTCTCCCAAAAACCACTTGGGGCCCTGACTGGGAAACCAAGGAGAACTCTGGTTGTCTGGTTTAGGGAAACGCCTCCTGAACTTCTCCAAACAGCTCCTCCTTTCAGAGAAGTGTGGTCCAGAGGTTCTTGTAGTGGTACAGCAAAAGCTAACTGATACGTTCCAAGATTCTAAACCATCATCATCACCATCAGCATCATCATTCTCCCCCTCAAATACCTGCACCTATTCCTGCCTTTCCTCTTCACCCTTCGTAATGGCAGGAACATCTGCCTGCTTGTTCAATGCAAAAGAATCCAAACCAAACCGTGGGGTCATCCCAAACATGTGTTTCCTCACAAGCCACCTCACCCTTTAGTAAGCCCTGCCTTTCTGCCAGACAAGTTCAGTGTTTTGATATCACAACAGGACACCATCACCTACAAAATTCAAGACTGAGAACCAAGTTACAAAAAAACCCAAAAAACAAACATCAAAAACAAAACAAAACAAAACCCAAACATTTCCCGCAATGCTCTCAGTAAGTTTATGATTTTGTATTAGGCTGAATTCACAGCTACCTTGGGGTGTGTGGGGCCTGCCCTCTAGAAATAGCCCAATCCAGCCATTTGCCTCCATTTCTACTGCAGCCTCCTCCTCAGCTCCCCTCAGCTCCCGCCAGCCCCCACTCAATCTTCACAGCTGTCTTCTAAACTGCAGGTTAGATTCTGTGTCACTTGTGGTGATATATTGTTTATGATTTATTAAGGCTTACCTGAGGATTCAGAAAGGAAAGTCAGTCACAAGCCTTGAAAGCCAGACACACACCTTTAATCCCAGCAGCCAGAGGCTAGGAGGTGGTGGTACACGCCTTTAATCCTAGGACTCAGGATTCAGAGATAGACGGATCTCTGTGAGTTCAAGGACAACTAGATCTACATAAGAGTGGATCAGTCTAAAAGAGAATTATAGCTCACACCTTTAATCCCAACATTAGGGAAGTATATAAGACAGAAACAAGAGTTCAGGAGAGGCATTCATTCTCTAGCCACACTGAGGAGAGGCTACAGTCAGAGGCTTGGGGAGAGCTAGTGGAGACAGGACCAGCACATTCAGCCTGAGGCAGAGGTGAGAAGCTAGTGGCCGGCTGCTTTGCTTTTCTGATATGCAGTTTGAAGCTTGAACCCCAGTATCAGTCTCTGGATCTTTTGTTTTTCGTGTTACAGTCATTTCCCCACATGAACCTTACCAGAGGGCTGCACTATAAGGGGAAATAAACAGAATCTCCTTGGTTTGGTTTGGCTTCAACGGCTAGGCAGAAGTGGCAAAGTTAAGAACGATACAAGAATTTCTTCCTAGCCATTGGCCCCGCCCCCTTGGACTCTCCCGGAAGCTTTCATAATGGCCCCTGCACCTGTCATTCTTCCACTGGGAAGCTCATTATATCATCAGCATACACCTGCGTCTGAAGTTAACCTCTTCTGTGCTTTTGCACACAGGTGCACTCGTGTGTGTGTGTGTGTGTGTGTGTGTGTGTGTGTGTGTGTTCATGTTCTTTGTTGCCTGTCCCTACATTCCCCACGCCTCAACAGGACAGACATTCTTTGGTCTAAATTCTGATTATTTCCTTAGATCCCTGAAGGACTCGAAGCACTATGCACATTCACTGATGGACCGATCGACTAAGAAGCCTAAGGTTGCCAGAGCTGGATAGAAAAGTCCAGCCTCATTGTTTCACAGACGGGGAAACACAGGCAGGGTCATGGGTTCAGGGCAGCTGCAGATTTTACCCAAGGACATCAGCTATGTAGAATTCTGAGGTTCTTCTCCTTCCATCATCCCAGCCATTGCTGACAAAGGGTAGCTTCCCTCTAAATGTCCCTGCCAAGTTATCACGAAGAGAAATCTCCACACATATTCTGAGGCCAATACAGACAACACAAACCTTTATGTGCAGGTAGCTACAAAACAGGTTCTGTAACTTCAGTAAAGTCACCTAAGACTCAACTCTCCGTCCTTGCAGGAAGGGTCTGCTCAAGGAAAACCAGGGCATTCTACAGACAGGATTCAGGTAACTGACAGCTGTATGCACGGAACAGAGGATCCCCTCAGGGATTTAGCCCAGTGTGTTGTCTCTATGTGAAAAGGGCTCCTCCATAGTTTTTACTCTCTTTGGACAAGGAAGGGCGATGTCTGAGATGCTTTCCGTTATTTATGCCTAATTTATTTACATGTGTATATGCTTCATAGTGACATGTTTTCCAAAAACAAAACAAAAGGCAGAGGCCTGGATAGATGGCTCAGCACTCAAGAGTGCTTCCTGTTCTTGCAGGGGATTTAAGTTTGGTTCCCAGCACCCACATCTGCTGGCTCACCACTGCCTGTGACTCCAGCTCCCGGGAGTTCAACATCCTCTTCTGGATCCGGTGGTACCCACACACTCGTGGCATTCACATACACACATAAATAAAATAACAAGAATAAATCTTTAAGGAGAGAGAATTACCAGGATTAGCACCTGGCCAGCCCACCCCCTGGACATTTCCCTTCTGCTCTTCAACCTAGCCTAGGGGACTTGCCTAAAGGTGCCATTCCCAGATTCACCACCAGAGACCCCCACTCCGCACTTCCAGAGCTTTTGTCTCGTGGCCATGCATTAAATTACTGAATGTCATAAACACAGACTGCCTGGTTCTCAGGCTCTGGGCTGAGCTAGGCCAGGCCCGGGGTCAGGAAAAACAAGGCAGTGTGGCTGGGACCACTTATCTAGGGAAATGGGCTCACAGCTACCTGTGGCCTAGGCTGGCAAGGCCAGGAGGGAGGCAGGTCAGCCGCCCCCCCCCGACTGTATGGTGACTGGGTTTGAGGATAGGTCTAGAAGAGGATTTCCTGGGAGAAGAAGCTTTAGGAACAGGGCTGGGCGCCAAAGGGGATTTCCGTGATCAGTTGGGGGAAAGGCTGGGGCAGATCTGTGCCCGGAAGACTGTTACTCCAAGGGGACCCCTGAGTGCCAAGCCTGGGCAGCCGACTTTCCAGGATGCAGACCACCGTTCCTACACACTCACTTGTGTGTTTTCGTTTTGTTTTATTCTCACATGTAGCCCTGGCTGGCCTCAGACCCAGGAGATCAGCTTGCCTCTGCCTCCCAAGTACTTCACTTGCACGTCTAACATCCTCGCAGTTCGTGCCTCTTTCTCACAGTATTTACTCACAACAGTGGAAAGCACGTTTTATTTTTGACGGTGCTTAGAAACTCAGGCTCTTAGGCAAGCGCCCTACCACCGAACCACACAGCGCCAGCGCCCTAAAGCCTGCTTTCTAGTGCGCAACTGGGAACGCTCACCCTTCCTCCAGGGTCTCTCCAGGCCACACGCGCCCACGCCGGGATCCGGAGCGTGGTCACCCGGTCCCCGGAGCTTTCGCTCCGACGAGTCTCGCCCCCTCCCCTCGCGGGGTCTGTGCTCTTGTCTGGAGCTGAAGACACGCCCCCGACACGCCCCCTCGCTTCCATTGGCCGCCGGCATTGTCCGCTCCCTGGCCCGAGCGGTGATTGCGGCTCGCCGGTGTCAGTCCCCCCCGAGAGAGCGCGGGCAGCGGGGCAGGCCGCGGGACAGCCGCAGGTGGGGCCTGGAGCGGTGGCCGAAGCTGAGCTGCCCCGCAGCCCCTCGCGGGAGCCACGATGCCCCGCGGGGACTCGGAGCAGGTGCGCTACTGCGCGCGCTTCTCCTACCTTTGGCTCAAGTTCTCTCTCATCGTCTATTCCACCGTGTTCTGGGTGAGTGATCGGCATGGAGCTGGTGGCTCCGGAATTGGGGGAGGGAGGGTTTGGGATGGTTCACACTCCTTTGATGACCCCTACACCGGATCCAGGGTTGGGTTCGGCTTCAGTTCCTCCAGGGAGGCCGCCGAGAGTCCGGCTCTTCTACCCACTTCCCTGGAAACAGGGATGTTGTGGTGGCCCCAGCTCTGCTCGATTTCAGTCGCCCAGTCCTCAGTTTTAGAGACGCTGCCCACAGGACTCCACTTTGTTCACCTGTACTGCTGCTCACCTATGAGCGTCTACCTGATGGGGTCAGCCGTGCCCCCTGTGCCTCCTCTGGCTGCTCCGTAGGCGGTTGGTACGGTGTTGGCCGCGCCCACCACGCCTGCAGGGTGTGACTCCCCATTACCACAGCTAGAGGTGGTCAGCTTTTGTGCTTGTGGTCACCTGGATTCCAAGTCTGGTCCCTGCTGTTACTTGCCTGAGACTTCCTTTCGGCCAAGATGCTTCTCTTGGGAGTCTCGCTTTCCTCCTTGATGGGAGGAGGATGCGCTTGTCTTCTTGGAGTGGGGCGTTCCATTAGACGACTGTGAGGCTCCTAGGTCACAGTTCTGGCATTTCCCGCGGAACATCAGGATGGCAGTGGTTGTAGACAATCGGGCTTTGAATACTGTCCACCACTTTCTAGCTGAGTGATCTGGGGAAGTTCCTTCATTTCTCTGACCATAGTTTTCTCATCTGTAATTGGAGACAGTAGTTATTAAACCCTTGAATGGTTGTGGAAATAAAGTGGAAGTAGTCCAAGTAGACTACAGGGAGCTCAAAAAAAAAAGGGGGGGGGGAGATAATAATAACATTATTGTTGTTTAGAACCAAGGTCTCTCTGTGTACCTGCCTCTATCACTCAAGTGTTAGGATTAAAGTCATGTGCAACTACACCCAACTTATTATTATTATTGTTATACAGTGAGACCATGTCTATAGCTGGTGGGGTGTATGTATGTGTGTGTTTGCTCATTTTTTGGGGGGTTCAAGACAGGGTTTTTCTGTGGCTTTGGAAGCTGTCCTGGAACTAGCTCTTGTAGACAAGGCTAGTCTGGAACTCACAGAGATCCGCCTGCCTCTGCCTCCTGAGTGCTGGGATTAAAGGCGTGCGCCACCTCTGCCCAGCTTTTTTTGTTTTGTTTTTTTGTTTTTGTTTTTGTTTTTTTTTTTTGAGACAGGGTCTAACACATTTCAGGCTGGCCTAGAACTCACTTTATAGTCCAGGTTAATCCTGAACTCATAGTAATCCTCTTGCCTTAGCCTCCCAAGTGCTGAAATTATGGTTGTAAAACACCATGTCTGGCACCATCAATGTTATTACTGGTAAGGAATCTAGACATGAATGATATAGGCTACCCCAAGGGATTTCCTTTTTCTTTTAGACAGGGTTTCGCTTTGTCTCTGCTGGTTCTATGGTTCTAAACAAACTGTGTAGTTGACAATGACCTTGAATTCCTGGCCATCCTGTTTCTACCTTCCACACACTGGGTTCTGGGATCACAGTACCACCATCCCTGGCTTACCAGGGCATTTTAGAATCACTGGACATCAGTCTAGAGGTGAGGATATCTTTCCATAGGCTGGCTCTACCCTTACATCCATGGAATAGGCCTCTGCCTCCAGCGTGCACTTAGATAGACTTGTCCAGAGATCCCGAAGGGTCCCCTGCAAATAAGCTCCTCCCCCTCCCTCCTCTCTCTCTCTCTCTCTCTCTCTCTCTCTCTCTCTCTCTCTCTCTCTCTCTCTCTCTCTCTCTTTCCTCCTCCTCCTTCTCCTCTTCCTCTTCCTCATTGCATCTTTTCTGTTAGAGGGAGCTGCTGGGCTAGCCAGTAAGGCTGACTCTGAATGGGACCCCTTTGTGAGGCAACCCTGCTGTAGCCAGCAGGTTTCGATTCTAGTCTTGTTATGTCCCGGACTCACTGGCATATCGTAGGCAAAATGATATCTCTGTTTTGGGTCTCAGACTGCTTCTTCTGGTCTCTGGCTACCTTCCAGTCCAGTTCTTTGACTCCAGCACCTTGAAAGAAAGATAAGCAGCATTGCCAGGGCCCCAGGGGAGAGGGTGGAGTGGAGATGTTAGGTATTAGTTGCAGGGAGGCTGTAGATGATTCGAGCTAGAACTCAGAGATTCTCACCCAAAGTCGCATCAGAATTAGCTGGGTATTTTCCAACTCCAGATCCCTGTGCCTTGGCCCAAGTGTCTATTAAACTTGTACCTCAGCTCCTCACACGGCTGCAGTGTGCAGTCAGGGCTGAAAACAGCCGGCACAGGAGAACACGGTGCTCCTTCTCAATGCTTTGCCTGTAAGTCAGATAAAAGGCAAGGCTAAGGGAAAGGGTGGGAAGTTGGGGGTCCTCCTCTCTCTCCTCCTCTTCAGGCCCAGTCTCCTCACACCATCCTTCCCTCACCTGTAAAATGGAAATTCGTTATATCTGCCTTGCACCCTACGATGTCCCTTTTTAGGACTAGCTGATGAGAGAGTGAATGAGGAAAGAGCTATGTGGAGATAAACTGTGGTGGGCCTCACAGCACCCAGGAAGGCTTAAGGCCTGAAGATCCCAAGTTCAAAGCCTACTGAAGCTACAGAGTGAGTTTAAGGGCAACTTAGTGAGACTGTCTCAAAATAAAAAGTGAGAAAGGACTTGGGATGTTTCTCAGTGGTAGAGTATCTGCCTAGCATGTGGGAAGTGTGTTCAAACCCCAGCACTATAGAAACTTCCAGAAACCTTCCCAAAACTAAAGGCAGACACAGTTATATGGAACCAAATGAACTTACAAAGTCATTGTCCCTTGCAGCCCTCGTAGACACCCATGGAGGCTCTTGCTTTTCTTTACTTGAGGCTGAGCAGTACCCAGAACTTTTCCTCTTCAGCCAACTGAGCTTGTTGTACTCCCATCCCCAGTAGAATTTCTGCTTAAAAATATCTTCCTACCCAGGCCAAGAACTCAGCTGTGGACAAGGCTTCTGAGGTGGCTCCAGGTGCCAGAGTATGACTGCAGGGTGGTGGCCGCTGCAGGCTAAGTAATTTGTCTGGATTGAGTTTACTGCTAATTGGAAACCATTTACGGAAAAACCTATTATCTTGATGCCATCTCCTGCCTCACCCCTGGCAAGAGGGTGGGTGGGGGCAAGGGTTACTCACTTTAGAAACCAGAAGTTCCATGCATTTCTGTCTGTAAAGACTGGGGCAGTGGTGCATGCCTTTAATTCCAGCACTCAGGAGGCAGAAGCAGGTGGATCTCTGTAGTTTTGAGGCCAGCCTGGTCTACAGAGCTAATTCTTTTTTTGTTGTTGTTGTATGTTTGTTTGTTTGTTTGTTGATTTTTCAAGGCAAGATTTCTCTGTGGCTTTGGAGGCTGCCTGGAACTAGCTCTTGTAGACCAGGTTGGCCTCGAACTCACAGAGATCCACCTGCCTCTGCCTCCCAAGTGCTGGGATTAAAGGCATGCGCCACCACCGGCTATAGAGCTAATTCTAGGACAGCCAGGCGACAACAAAAAGACAAAGATTATCACCAAGAACCTTCTGTCAGGCTTGCTTTCTCTTTCATCCTGAGGTTTTTGTTTTTGCTTTGGGTTTTCTTTGTTTGTTTGAGACAGGGTTTCTCTGTGTAACAGTCCTGGCTGTCCTGGAACTTGCTCTGGAGACCAGGGTGGCCTTGAACTCACAGAGATCCACCTGCCTCTGACTCCCAAGTGCTGGTTAGATTAAAGGCATGTGCCACCAATGCCCATCAATAGTGCCACTTCTTATGAGGTTATGGGGGCCAGTTACATTCAAACTACCACAGAGGGTCGGGGAGATGACTCAGCCTGATGTCCTGGGTCTATGGACTCACTTAGAGGGGAAAACCATCTCCACAGAGTTGTTCTCCAGCCTCACATATATGCCTTGGGACCCACGTACCCACACAAGCAGAAAAGAATCGGGGTCTTTGTCTAAAAATAAGAAATGAAGCAGATGGTCAGTGGCAACCTGCTCTCTCCCTCCTGGCTTGTCTTAAACACAGGGGACTCTGCTACTAGTTTATTTATTTTATTTATATAAGTATGCATACACGCACTCACACTGCATGGAGGAGTGCGGGGAGCCCCTCATCTGTTTATTTGACGCTTTAATGCCTTTGCTTTTTGGGGGGAAGTTCTCAGCTATCCCAGGCTGGCATGGAATTCATGAAGCATCTGAGGATGACTGAACTTCTGATTCTCTTGGATGCTAGAATTATTGGTGTGCACCACCACACCCAGTTTATAAGATGCTAACAATTGAACACAGGGCTTTATGCACTACGGACCGAACCAAATCACCAGGATTTTGCTCAAAGTAAAATCTTTGTAAATTTTAGATAACTGCCATCATCTGCCTCTGTCATTTAATTAATATTTTATTATGTGTGTTTATGGTATGTATGTATGTATGTATGCATGCATGTGTTGTATGTACCACAACTTGCATTTTGGAGGTCAAAGGACAACTTTTTGTAGTTGGTTCTCTCCTACCTTTTCTGGGACTCAAACTTGGGTTGTTAGGGTTGCAAGGCAAGAGCTTTTACCAACTGAACTATCTCATGAGCCCCAAGGGGATGCCTCTCTCTATTTGGTGGTCTTATAGACTTCATTCTAGGCTGACCAAAGTTTATTTAATCTGATCACAGCTGGGGAATTCTGTGGTTGTTTCCAATCTATTGCTGCTCTGGGTAATACGGGGGTCACTCTATTTAAGTTTGCATATGTGTGTAAATGGCAATTTTAATATCTGTATTTAAGTTTACATATGTGTGTATATGGGGTAATTTTCAGAAGAATTACTGGGGTGAAGAGCTCAATACAGAAATATATACATGTGTTTTAGAAAAGCTAGCTGTGTGCCTGTAGTCCGTTCTCAGCTTAGCCAGTAAGAAAGGACAGCCAAAGCCAGAAGTCCCCTCCTCCCTCCTTATACTGCTGCAATCACTGCTGGAACTTACAGCCTTGGAGAGCAGCAATGCTAACTGGACTTGGGCATTGACAGATTTCCTCTTCCTCCTTGCCCCTCCCTCCCTTCTTGCCCTCTGCCATTAACTAGACCTGCAGCCCCTAAGTTCAGATGCTATTAAATTGCCCCGTATAGAAATAATATTGACCAGGCAGTGGTGGTGCACACCTTAAATCCTAACACTCGGGAGGCAGAGGCAGGTGGATCTCTGAGTTCAAGACCAGCCTGGTCTACAAGAGCTAGTTCCAGGACAGGCTCCAAAGCTACACAGAGAAACCCTGCCCTGAAAAACCAAAAGAAAATATTATTTACTTAATATATTTCTTTTCTATATTATTTTATTGAGATAGGGCTATACTCGGTATTTCAGACGATCCTTAAACTCATGGCAATCTTTGGGCCTTTCAGCATCCTAAGTGCTGGTAGACATGTATCACCATGCCTTTAAACTGGCTTATTTTTCAAATGTTAATTAATTAATTAATTAATTTTGAGGCAGGTTATCTCTCACTGTGCAGTCCTTGGTGGCCTGGCTAAAGACTAGAATGGCCTCAAACTCACCTCTTCCCAAGTGCCAGGATTAAAGACCTGTACCACAGCACTCAGTCCAATTTTATTTATTTCTTGAGACAGGATCATATATGTAGTGGTCCAGCCTGGTCTTGATGTAGTCCCAACTGACCCTGAAGTTGTTCTGAATCTTAACCTCCAGATCCTCCTGCCTCTGCCTCCAGGCACGCACCACCTCATCAGACTTCAATTTATTTTAAAAGAAGACATGTTATATGACTACTACCTGTGGGAAACCAGCACCCCATCACAGAAAGCAGACAACAATAAAGGAACATAGTTTAGGGCAAAGGGAGACAAGGTTATAGCATCCCAGCTTGATGTGGTGGCTGTGGAGGGCCATGGCCGCCATGCTCACTCTGTGATTGAAGGCAGGGTCAAAAGTGCCCACACCCTGAGGGACATGTGTTACATGAAGACCCTGCCTGAACCATCTATACTGATGTCCCTCGCCACACTGAGGTGGCTTTTTTTTCCTGTTTGTTTGTTTGTTTGTTTTTCGAGACAGGGTTTCTCTGTATTGTTTTGGAGGCTGTCCTATCCTGGAACTTGCTCAGTAGACCAGGCTGGCCTCGAACTCACAGAGATCCTCCTGCCTCTGCCTCCCAAGTGCTGGGAATAAAGGTGTGCACCACCAAAGCCTGGCGAGGTGGCTTCTTGAGTGTGTTCAGGATCACCTACTCGGGGTTGGCCTGAGCCCCCAGGTTTCTCCCTGACCCGTGATCCCTGCTTCTCCTTGCCATATCCCTAAGTTGTCACCGAGTCTTATCCAGAGGCACCCAGAGCCTCCTCTCCCTGTATGCAGGGTGAATTATTGTACCACACGTGTCCTGAGACCACAGGGGCCACACCTCTAATTTTAGCATTGCCCAGAATGTCCGGAGGATCTGTTTACACACTGCTTTTTCTTGCTGGGCTTCAGGCTCCAAGAGGTTAGGGGTGTGGCTCACTCTGAATACCAGGTTAGGGCTGAGCATACAAGGGGAGAAGGAGAGCCTAGGTCGTGAGGGTGAGGGAGTTTCACCTGTACCCAAAGGCCAGGATCAGACACCGGACAGAGCTGAGCCTGGCAGCTGTGTGTGAATCCCTGCTGTTGGTCGGCTTTCAAGGCTTTGAACTTGAAGCTGGCTAAGCTGAACTTGCAGTCAGTCACTGGCTGTCTAGAAAGCCAAGCCTGTTGGATTTCCTCTTGGGTCAGGGTGTGTGTAGTGTCATTGAGGAATCAGGAGAAGAACCGGCTGTGGTGGTGGTGAATGGAGAGGGTAGGTGGCAGACATCACGAGTGCGGGAGCAAATAGAAACAAATTACCTTCTCTCAGGATGGGCCAGTCTTCCAAGGCATTCCTCAGATTCTTTTTTGTTTTAAAGGTTTATGTATTTATTTACTTATTATGTGTATGAGTGTATGAGTTTATGCACACGGCCTGTGTGTGTGTGTGTATGTATGTATGTATGTATGTATGTATGTGTTGGGAGGAGGCCAGAGAGGCTGTCAGAACCGTTGGAACTGGTTCCAGACGGTTATGAACTTCCCAATGTGGGTGCTGGGAACTGAACTTGGGAGCAGCAAATACTTTTAACCACTGAGCCCTCTTTCCAGTCCTTTTTCCTTTCTCTTTTCTTTTTTGTTTAACTTTTTTTTTGACAAGGTCTCATGTAGCTAAGGTTTCAAAGTCCTAATATTGCTGAGGGTGGCCTTGAACTTCTGATCCTCCTGCTTCTGCTCCCAATCACAAGCATACACTACCATGTCCAGTTTTCTATGTGGTGCTAGGGATCGAACCCAGGGACAGCCTTGTGCATTCTCAGTGAGCATTCCGCCACCGGAACTAGATCCCTAGCCTTTGGTTTCGCTGTCATTGAGTGTGAACTCTGCACTCTGTTACACCTTTGCGGACGTTCCTGGGCTCTTGATGCTTTATCTGCAAAGCGGGCATTAGAGCCGAGCACACCCAGGTTGTCGAGAGGGAGGGGACTGGTATGCAAACAAGCTGGGAGCCCGGCCTGGCACTAAAGACACTCCACTCCTTATATACACAGGGCGCTGCCTAGCGCTCCTCCTTCCTCTCCCTGCCAGGTGCTTGGCAGCCACCGTGAGAGAACAAGAAGGGTCCCTAAGGACACCCTGGGATTTAAAAGAAATTAGGGTGGGGGAGCTGCTTCAGAACAGTCCCCCAGACCAAGAACTAGGTGTCTGCCCACCACCTCCCCACCCTCCCCACTCCTGGAGATCACAGCTCCAGGGTAAAAGTGGGAGGTGGCCTCATTGGGAGGAGCCACCCTATTCCCACTATATGGTGACATCAGACTGAAAGCAAAGTGGTTCCTGACAGATTCTCATTGCTGTTTGACACAGGGCCTCTAGCCCAGGCTGGCCTGGAACTCCCAGTGGTATCCTTGCTTCAGCCTGCAGAGTGCTACCCGTGTGAG